AAATTCACTTAAAATCCTCCATGAAAATGACTAATTCATGATAAAAAAAAAACTCATCTTCCACATAATTTTACCATATAATTCTGTGATAATATGAGTATATTAATTATTTTTTCTTAAGTGAATTGTTTTTGTATACAACCTATAAATGTTTTTTTTTTTAAAAAAAACCTTCTTTAATAATACATAAGAAAAAACTTACTAAATTTAATGGACATAAATGACCAAACTACAAATATTAAAGTCGGTATTTGTCATAGGAATATTTTTAATTATTATTTATTAAGAAATACCATAAACGACCACTAACTATAAAAGAATACTTGAAACCAATACTTGCCTTAACATTCAATTCTACACAAAATATGCAGTTCTTATTTCAATTTTAAAATTAAAACATTGAGTTTAAATATTGACAATATTTTAATGGCATGCAATTAGTTGTGTTTGAACAGAAAGTGTTAGGTATAGGATTATTGATAGTAACGAGCGATATATTTTTTTACTTTCAAAAATAAACAGAATTCAATCTATTTGTAGATCATTTTTTTTGCTACTCCAGAATGTTGGCTCTAGTAACGCCCATGCCTATAAAAACCTACATAAAGACGCGGATTCAGCCGCCGCATAAAATCGACAAGATTTTGTTTTGTGTGTATCGGCACACGATACTGTAATAATTATTACAGTATTCTGTATAAAAATATATAAAACGTTTAAATTGTTCAATATCTTGTCAACGGATTGGCGGAAATCAAAGATGTGAATACTAAAATTGTTTTAAACTAATACTTCATCTATTTATGACCTTTTTATAACGGTTGCCATTTGAAAATAAAAAATATGTAGTCGTTTAACACCACAAAAATAAGGGAGATAAAAAATAATGTTAAAATGTTAATATCACATTTTATAGTTGCTTGTTTCTTAATTTACCAAAAAAAAAAATAATTTTAAATTTTAAAAGTATCAACACTATCCGAAATATCTAGTGTAAAAGCTTAAATGAATCACTCTGTACACATATTATATAAACCAATATATATTGTAAAAATATATTGTATATAAACCAATTTTATCCAGGAACTCCAGACTGAAGCGCCGATGCTAAACGATAATTATTATAATTTTAAATCTATTTATTACCATGAATAATGCTATTATTTTTATTAGTTATAAATTATTTATAAGTACCTACCTACTATAACTTAACTTATGCCTATATTATGATACTTAAAATGTATTAACCTAACCTAATATTAAAATTAATGTACTTTATTTCCCCCTCCCAAAAAAAAAAATAGATAGTTCTTCAGTAAAGATGACGATTTACTGGATGTGGCTGGAATCGAGATCTCACACATTTTCCTTTTTTTGTATTCCAAGAAAATTAAATTCTATACAAAACTTATCGAAAGAAAACCATTAGTATAGAACATATTAGAACATACCTATATATATATCCCTTATTTATCCGGAAGCCGTTGTCGACTAAACTAAGCCTGCTGTAGTTATTTTCTTACGGATGACAATACGCGCGTTATTCTGTGCGGTATGATTAATAGCTTCTCGCTCTATAGCGGCGTATAATAATACCGCCCGGTATTCGCATTGTTGCCTATATATTGGTAAATAAATTACTGTAAAAGTATATAGTTAAAATGAAATATCGTTTTTAAACGTATAGGATACGTATTAAACAATATACGAGTAATCATCAATTCTGATACATATTGTATTGTTTCCATACATATAGATTAAACAACACGCATACCTATTTATAAAATAAAACACCCGTGAGCAGCAGAGCACCGTTGCTACACTCGAATTTTCCCCAAGCCGACTTGTTGCCGTTGCTCACAGGTATTAACGATAATAATATTATATTATATTCTACTTAATTAAATTGATTTTGTATTTATTTTATGATTTGTATTTACTAGTCACTCATTAGCCACGTCTCACCCCTATCCTATTTCACAGTCTACCACACATTTCCTCATTTAAGTATAAAAAATATCCGGTAAATTATATAAATAATCGAACAAATAAATGTCCATACAAATAAAGCAGTTCTTGCGGTTTTCCTAACACAAAAACAAACGGTGAAAGTTGGAAGTTTAAATCACCAAAAGGTGGTATTCCTTAATACTATTACATTAATCACATAGAAACTATCATCTCCCTGACTTCATTTAGGGAGTTTACAGGTTGGGTAGAACCCTCAACAACATGGTGAAATTCATATTGAAATTCAACCAAAAATGTTATCAATACACCTATGAAAAAAAAAACTTAAACCCTCGATTTGAATTCAGTTATTCCAGAGGAAACTACAAGTGTCCAAAATTAGTGATAATATATATATATATATAAGTATACATTTTAGGACAAACTTGACAATAATTTGACAGCAAAATCGCCAATTGCATAAAAATTCGATATTCACTATAGTACCTATATTCATTGACAAAATTATTAACTTGCAAATTACATTTTTTTTAAATGCCTATGGAAACGGAAATTCAGATTAGCTGGCTTTCCTAATTTGTTTTACAATATTACATTATATGAAGCTCATGACTTTTAAATAACACAAATTATAAATTTGGTATGGTCTTAAATGCCTAAACCGCAAAAGAAGAAAAAGGAGGATGCGAAATCGATGATTGCGCTCTATCGAAGCTGTATGAGTAGTGATAAGCCGTGAAGGTGGCGGCGGGTAGGCAGACCCGCGAGATAATTTTTTTCGTAGGTCATCACTTCGTTTCTTACTGAGAACAATAATATTTGTTTGTACCTATTTTTCGATTTTTCCTACAATTTTTCCCGCTTTTCCCATGTTTTTTCCAGGTTTTCCCATTTATTTGAAAAACAGCTGGAAAATCAAAAGATGACCTCTCTCAGTCAGATTTCCTATCAAAAAAATTGCTATCATCGTGTATCGGAGCAAAATTCCTGGTAGAAAAGTTGTTCACAGGTAAAAAAAACATCATTGTAAAACTAAAACATTTCTCGCTGTGCTTAGAATCTAAAAAAAATAACCTTGTTTCCCCCCATAATATTCTCATTGAATATTTTAATAAAGTATTTTGTATTTTTATTTTGAATGGAAGTGATAAATAGTATTGTAATGGAATGTATAATATAATATTATAAAATGTATAGAAAATGACTCTTTTAGAACCTTAGGTATATTATTATACGCGGGTTACAGTTTAACTATATCTGTTCGAAATAATGCATAATATATATTTCAATATATGTATTATACATATTAATGCACAAATACCTACAATATTTACTTGGTAACCAAAGCATAAATAGGTACTTATACGAAACTAAAATATGTTTTCATTACATACTACAGACTATACACTAGACTGTATTTATTTTATATAGACGACAACAATAGTAATACGTGAAATATAAATCCATATTTCAAGTTTGACAGACTAATAACGCGGTGCATAAAAATTGGACGTAAACTTGAGAGGTACACTAAATGATTGTACACGTATACAATAAACTAACAACGTAGGAAAACGTTCAGTTGGAAAACAAATTTTTAAAGACGACATTCATGTCTTCTTTACAACGAGTATTGATACGTTTTTAAATAAACGTAAAAAAAAAAAAAAATAGCGGTTTATTTCTTTTCTTGTTTTAATGGACTCTCGTAGTAAAATAACACTAAAAGATTTCGGTAGGGATTATTTTTTGGATATTTCTGTGAATGCCCTGAAACACATAATTCGAGCTAAAAATGTTGGGGAACGGTGAGTACTGTATAATATAGTGTGTACCGCAGTGATCTGACGACAAATACAATAACTTTTGTTTTGTTCAAAATTATTAAGTTTATTTTGGTTTTTGTAATAATTAATAGATCTTTGCACTATAATTCTTCTATTTTATATTTTTATATTATTTTAAAGTTTATTGAAAATGTATAATTTGTTTACAAAATCAAAGTTAGCCGTTTTATAAAATTATTTTAAAACAAAATGTTTGAAGTGTAATTTCTTAAAGTTTTTAAAAATATTTCTCATGAACTAATTGGTAAATCAATTGATATATTTAATGATAGCAATGTTAACAATTTAAACTGTCGTAAACTTAAACAAATTTAAATAAACTAACGACTCTTTATTACAAATTTTCGTAACACCCAAATTTAGTTTGAAATCGTATATAATAAAACGCCATTTTAAATTTTTCAAAAGAACATTTTGAAAGATTTAAAAAAAATGAATCGATACTGCTGATAGATGTGTTACTGTTGTATGAGGGAAGTTAGGAAGTTAGAAATTATTTAATTTACATTTGATCGCAACTATAAAATCATTGCTATCTAAAAACAACTATGAAAAAAGTTCAGCTATAAATGTTTTAAAATGCTACAATAACGAAGTACGATTCTGAACCGAAGTTCGGAAAAACATGTTTTGGAATGCTGTAATTTAATTCTACGACAAAATTCTGCTTCGATAAAAATCTCACCAGATAAAGAAACAGATTTTTCGTGACAACTTTTCCTTCACATTTTACATAATTTAGCCTGGCCGATGTTGAATTTCACATTACACATTTGAAAATCAATAAATGAGCATGTTTAAAAATTTATTTTGAGTGAGTGTATATGAAAATTGTTTCAATGTTTGGAAATCCTTGTTTCAATGTTTATCATTTAAATTCAACTGAAACACAAATAAGTAAATCTTAAACACTAAATTGTAATTTAAAAACAATTCAACGTAGATTTTCAAGGTTCTAAATTTTGAAGAATCCTGAACAAAATATACAACTCCAACCGTTTACAGATTTTCTTCAGAATCACCTTTTCCTTTTTCTTAACCTAACATAAATCAATTCAATAGTAAAATCGATAAATATAGGTACGTTGTAAATTGATGTACGAAAATTTATAAATTTATATTACAATATAATAATTAATGAATATTTTTTGTGGACACGTACCACGTTGCGGTTTTCCGGCGATGGTGTTTAGACGATTTTGGATTCTGATGTTCATTATGGCCGTGTTCGGCTCCGGTTTCTGCGTCCTGGAAGTGTGGAAAGCTTACGAGTCTAGTTTCACTAAAACCATAATTTTGTCTACGTCATTCCCGTATGCCCACACGCCGTTTCCGTCCGTGACCGTATGCGAAGCGAGCAGAGTACACAACACCATAATCAAAAGTCTGTATGTCTATAGTCATAAAGCGTCGCTATAATATTATTATTATAATCGCCATCAACATTACTCCGTGTCAACAGGTTTCAAAACGCTTCTGGCCGGCCGGGTTCCTACGAAGAAGCTCTGTTCAACATGATGACACTTTTGGCCACCATTCGTTTACCCCTGTTTGGCCGATTTGGTCAAATGAAAAAATGGAAAGCGCATTTCGATGAACTCAACAAACTCAACATCAGCGATGTGCTTTTGCAGGTATACGTCATCAAAATAAATTATCGTATTGGGATGTTGCCTATTTATCGAATCTATAGGTTACAAAAAAAAAAAAAATCACCCAAAAGTAATAATAATTATATTAAAACTTAAGGTTAGGTTAGATTAGGCTAACCCATGTTTCGAGAAAATTTTAACCGCTTTGTGAAACGATATTGAGATTAGGTAACCTTTGAGCCGTTTGAATTTGAGCACTTCTATAAATGCACATTATTAAATGTTATTCACTATAATAATATATTGTATTCATATTTTTATTGGAAATGTGTTATAGTCGTGTGTGTGGTAGAGGGGGGTGCGGGTCACTTCATTAGTTAGTCTAGTCCTACGTAAAAATTCAACCAAATCGATCTCGAAATCCGATACTATATTAAGTATCGAAGATAGAAATATTGCCCTTTTTTAATTTATTAAAAATAATGTTTTTTATCGATTTAACATGGATATTTCAGATTTTAATATAATGGTTTAAGTTATGCTATTGTTTTTACCACCCTATATATATCTATATATATATATATAAAAAAATACAATACATACTTTCAATTAAATATATAATTTTAGCGTTTTGTTTTCTCTCTTTCACGGTCCGAGTCAAACAAATTTAAAACAGGTATGTAAATAAAATGAAAATATACTTTAGTAAAATGCTGGTATAATATAGTGACAATATCATTGGGAATGCGTTTTGATTGTTTGATCTGTAATTCGTATTATTAAAAAATAATTGTTTGAATTTCCTTCACGCGTCATTAAAAAAATAATAATAATAAAAATCATCAACAGTAGTGTAACATTATAACAATTAATTCTAATACAATATTAGGATTATGATGACTCATTTATAGCTATGTATTTATATTAAAGTACATGCAGGTACATCTCAAGCACACGAATAACGTGTTTGCATGATATCCATGCGTAAACACAATAATATCGCGTATATCGTTTGAATCCTAAAATGTGTTTTCAGGAAGTCGTAAAACATATTATAAACACGTATATATAATAATCATATATTAATGATAATATTATTATTTGCAGGCGGTCCGTCCTTGCGACGACATATTCGACTCGCCGTGCTGGTGGCGCAATCGTTTCTACAACTGTTGCGAACTGTTCGAACTCCAAAAAACCTGCTACGGGTATTGTTACAGTTTCAATTCGGACGTGTCCGAGTACAGTAGACAGTATGTCGTCGTTATTTGAATTACCCATATCATATATTATTGTCGTTGACTAGATTTTCAAAACGTAATGTCATAAATAATATAGGCTGCCCCGTTTATACAATATATATTATACAGGCTGTCCCACGAAGATATACCCCTAGAATATTTCCAGAGATAATAAAGATAATCAAATTCTGTTCCTTTTTTTATGACTTACAGGGAAGAGAACTACAGATATTTATATTTGAGTTGATTTTGTTTTTTTTATTTATTTAAAACATTAAGAAAATAACTTTTTATTTTATTAATTTTGGGAAATTTTAAGATGGCCATTCTATAAAGATTATTTTTCTAAATATTTTAATGTATTACACATTTATATCCGATAAATAGACTCTAAGTAACAGTCGTTTTAAATTCTACTAACCCGTGTGAAAACCGATGTTATCGCTTAACACAGTTAGGCCTGTTCTCACTAACGTAAATGTTAATTTTTAAACAGAGTTTATAAAGTAATCGACCTATCGTGGTCGGTTATTAGCCATAAATTCAGTTTAAGAATCAGATAAACGCCTTTTTTTACGTTGGTGAGAACGACCCTTTCCGGATTATTCCATAGATAACATCGGTTTTTACACAGATTAGTAGAATTTAAAATGGCTCTTACTGAAAAATTACTTATCAGATATAAATGTGTGATACATTAAAATGTTCAGAAAAATAATCTTTACAGAATCGCTATCTCGAAATTTCCCGAAAATAATAAAATAAAAAGTTATTTTCTTAATAAAAAAAAAAAAAAAAATTAACTAAAATATAAATATTTCCTCTTCCCTGTGAGTAGTACAAAAAAAAATACACAGAATTATCTCCGGTGATATTCAAGGGTTATATCTTCGTGAGACAACCTGTATATATTATATATATAACCCAGTGGTGTAACTAGAACTTCTAATACTCATGGCAAAATATTGTAAAATGGCCAATAAGAAAGAAAAAAATAAAAGGCCCTCATATGTCCAATAATGAATTGGGCCCTGATTTGGGCCCTTGAATGTCATAAGCCCGTGGTTTATTGCCCGTCATATCATCCCCTATCGCTACGCAACTGATAAAATCATAAATAGTTAATTATACCAATCGATCGAACAAATCTCGAGCGAAACGTATTTTTTCTGAGACTGAGACAAAAATCATCAAATACCTACCTCAAAACAAAATCGAACCGTTTCAAACGAATTAATAATAATATCGTTATCATTGTCCGAAATTGGGGGAACTGAGGGACATTAACCTCACGAAATTCGGCCGAGCCTCCCAAAGCAAGTTCTCATCAAATTATTACACTAAATACACGTTTATTATTTAGTCGATATTATGAATAATTTAAGCAAAAAACTGCTTCGCTAATCCAAAAATGAAATTGAACAATCAGTATCGTATTATTATGTCCGTGAAACAATTTTACAGTCAGGCGGTCAGTGGCGTAGCCAGCGGGCATAATTCTGGTAAGTCCAGACCTAACCAATTTTTTCTAAAAGTATATGTTTAAGAATACAATAAAGTTAAAATAAAAAATTATTAGTAGTCTTTTGCATACAAACACATCGGGCCAATCCAACTAACAAATTCTAGCTGTTTTCGCCAGTTATCAATGCTTACGGTTATTTCTAAAACGTCTACATAAATTTCCCTACCAGTATTACTTTATTTGAAACAATTTGTCTAAATATTTCTGACAATTTTTCTAAAAAAAAAATAAAGCTGACAACAAATCGTCAATACACCGAAAAATCTATAGCACGCAGACATAATAAAACTTTGAACCTAAAAGGATTGATGGGACTAAAGAGCTAAAACACTAACATGTATGCTAATTAGTTGACCTGTTATCTATATCCATTATCTATGAACTACTATTACTGAACCCTTCATTTAATTGACAGAGCTCTATACGTATATGGTATACTATAATAACTATTATTATTAACATTTCAAAGTTTTTCGCAACTAAATGACTTAACAATGTTTAATAAAAATAATACATTTTGTCTCAATCATATTATTAGGATAATATATTATAATAAGTTATAAGCTGTGTTGGCCACTTTTAGATTCTGAGCAGAGAGAGGAATATATTGGTTTTACAACGATGTTTTTTTTTTATCTGTGAACAACTTTTCTACTAGCAATTTTGATTTGATTTACCATTGCTGACAAAAAAACGATTCTGTTCGGTTATAAATATTTTGAAATATTACCATCGCTTTTACGAAATTCGTCGAAGTTAGATTCGAATATGCATATGAAAAAACTATTACCTATATTATGTTGAAATATTATTTATTTTTTTAAAGTTAAACTTTTAATAAAACTCGTATTAAATTTGTCAATCATTTCTGTTTCGACAAACAATTTTTATAAGTTTCCGACTAAATCTCGGAGCTGACTTATTAAATTACAATATTATGGGAGCGCATACTTGAAATTAGGTCTTTTCCCCCTTAGTTAATGATTACTACTATAATATTATAACTATATATATATTATACAAAGTTGTCATACCTATGTAGCAAGTCAACATCAGATCCCCACTTGGAATAATTATTGTTTGTGTGCGGCTAGCCTTTGGATATTGCAAGAACGTTTTATATGAATTTCGTGCACTATATAATGCTTACTTGCATAAACTTGCGTTCACCGAGACGGGAGAAAGGGGCAGTAATGTTTACACTCGTGAGTAAACATTGCGTATAAAAGCAGAACTTTTAATAAAATATTTATTTTTTCGTCAGAAATACTTAATATAATATGTACTACTTTTACTATATATGTGCTTTTCATCCTTCATTTCTTTCAAGAATTTTCGTTTAGTTTTCCGTCATTTGAATCGATAACAAAATATTTCTCTGTATATAATAATATAGTCCTACACTTTAAACGTAGAGTTTTCATTTTAATATTTTTCCCCGCTAATCCCACATCACAAACATATCGTTCGTATTTGTTCTGATTTTTTTTAATATTTAATATTCGTAAACCCGAAATCCTGCTCTGAATTGCAGTTTTTACCACCTTCACGCCTTGCGATCATCGTCGTTGGTATTGTTTACTTTAATTTGTGTTTTTTCCAGAAAAACGTTGTTTTATGGAATGTACGGAGACAACAAAGATTTCTGGTTGGACGATAAAGGATTAGCGAGGCCAAAGAGAACCGGCGGTTACGGTCCATGGTCAGGATTAAGGTTTTCCATGCGTGCCCAAAAGATTGCGCCGTACGTCGACACTAATCCCGGAATTGTGGTATAAAATATACTTACATATTATCAGTATTATTAAACAGTTTGTCGGTATATCTATAAACTTATATAATATCAATTTGGGTTTAAAGGTGACTTCACACTGCTCCCTAACCGTGAACCGTGATTTTCGGAAAACAAATTTAGCGCTTTGATTGGCTGAATCTTGTGATTTCTAAGTAGTTAACCACAATATTTATAAGTAAATACTATGTTATATTGTAGAGACGAGAAAATAGAATCCAATCCTACTCAAGTCAAATGTTTACAATTATATGGTTATTGATTATATATAGGTATTATATTATTTGAATCTTTAGGATCTTTTAAATCCACATATTTAAACAATTTTAGGAGGATTGGAGGATAATCATTGATACTAGTTATATTAATTTCTTGGTCGGTTCTCGGCGGTTTCCTAGATAACCCGGGAGGTCTGCTTTCCCTCCCGGGTTCTTTAGAAGGTATCGGCCTCTCGTGGCGTTAGGTACTAATAGTGGTACGGACTTCCCCGCGTCGTAATCCGGCATGTACAAATTCTCGTTAGGTGGGCGAGTACCGATATTTTCCCACCGAGGTTATATCCGGTGAGAGATCAGGACTACGGGCCCACCTCTCCACGTGTTCGTTTCGGGGGTCTCCTAGCGTTCCGATCGTTAGGTCACAGCATGGGATGTTCTCGGGTGACCCACTTACCTCTGGCAACGGAGATTGTGTTAACAAACGCGTGTCGGTAGACATCCGGCTGCCTTCGGTGCGGACTGATCATCTGCTTTGTCGGTGGCCGGGCGTCCGGATACGTTCAACTTTTGGCATTTATGAAAAATAGTTCGGATGGTCTTCGAAGCCCCGGCATCGACCCATTTTCTGCACCGAACGGAGACCCGGGTGTCGGCTGCGGTTTTGTGCCTTGGTCGGTGCCTAGTGGTTAGCTTCGAACGGGCTTATGAGTTTTGGTGAGCAGTTTTTCATTAAGCCAGTGGCCACCTACCAAACGGCGGCCTTATCGTAGGCAGACGGTAGACGAATTAAGTAGCGGTTGAACGAGCCTCTCCATAGCGTGTGGGGCCATGATCTTTCCGGGTCTCTTAAATAGCTACCTTTGGCTAATATAAGTTACCCGATTGTACCGCGCTTAGGCGCGGATTAAAAATCGGGTCCACTGATACTAGTGGTACTCGTCGACTCGACTAGTCTGATAAAAACTACTCGTATTGTCTGATGAAAAATAATCATACTAACAAATAAAAATGAAACTATTTTCATGAAATGTTCGAACATTTTCGGTTGACGACAAATTCACCGCCATTATTTTTCGAACTCGCTTCATTATCATTTTTCGAACAAATACCATTCGCCGCATTCATTATAATACTGTGATACGATGTAATTTTATTTTATACACCCTCCCCCTCCTCTTCCTCTCCAATACGAATGGACGTGAGTACAAAATGCAATACTTGTAATATTTCAATAATCATGGTTGTACCTCAATTTATTGATATTTTCATCACATGTGTACCTCGGCCACTTAGAAACACGCTTGATTATTTACCACGACAACCCTGACCGTCATTAGACTGTAAGCCCATTGTTCTATGAATATAAAATAATATTACAATATAATGTATAGTATTATAGTTATTATAATTCAACCTCAGAAACCTCGCGTCAAGTATTCGTAGGTGAAGTTTTTTCTGGTGGCGCGCGCGGTCTAGTTAAAATATAACAACAGACGGATATCATTTTTTATCGCTATCTATACTTTTATATTATATTGTATAGCATATACCAGTAGATAATATCACAACTCAACAACGAGTTGTACACATACGTAGTATTTATTTTTGAAATTATATTGTGAAATACCTATAATAATAGTGGTGGCGTGAAATTTTCTTTTCTACGTAGCGATTTCATTAAAATTACAAAATATCTCATACCAATCCAAGCACAGAAAAACCAAATTAGTCTAGGAGCTGCATCTAAGGCTACTGAAGGTTCCTGTACTTCATCTTTCTATTGACATAGGTACTATACGATTAAGTGCCAAATCCATACACCCACCCAACTATATAATTTGGTTATGAAACAGCTGCTTCATAGAATATCCATTCACGCCACCACTATTATCTAATGATTGCCGCAATCCGTGTCGGTATATAACTTTATACAATTTCATTTTTAACTATAAATCTGATTTATATTATTTTCAATCGCTATGTCCAATTATTTAATCTTTATTAAAATATTATTTTTAAATGTTTACCCCTACTCCTTATGTACCTTATGTGTATTGACTTTTCTACACAGATACAATAATAAATATTCTCCTTTCGAATCTGTTTTTAAAAGTGGGATGAATAAAAATCAAAATTTAGTAATATATTGTATTTATGGTTGTACGGAACAGGGATAAAATTTTAAAAATATTATAAATAAGATTCTTTCATAACTGTAAAAACTGAGATTAATTTTACTCAAAATCTTCGTGTAGATAATCGGTAGTGTACTTACGTATTTAAAATACAGGTCATGATTAGAGATCCGAGTGCTTTGCCAACTGAACTGGGAATACGTGTGTCTAAAGGTACCAGCGGTTACATAAGAATATGGGGCGATAAGGTGTTGCCGACAAGACGTCTCGTGCGCGTCAAACCCGAAAAGAGACACTGTTTGTATCCCGACGAAAAGAAATACTTGGGCCGAGGCTATTTGCGATCGAATTGTCTGTTCAATTGTTACGAACGGTTTATGTACCACGATTGCGGCTGTGTACCGAGTTTCAATTATTTTCTCTACAAAGCGGGTTGGTAAAAAAAAAAAAAAAAAACTATAAAAACAACGGCAATATTCGAACGGAAACAACAATCACGTCATAATGATAATATAATATTTTTGTTAACAGATTTTCCTTATCCCGAGTGCAATCTAGAAGGACTCGTATGCTTAGCCGACCATTCGAGTAATTTTCTTTAACATAATTATTGCTATTTTAGTATTTTTACACTTTGGTTTTTTTTTTTTTTTTTTAATATTAAAGGTCTATACTTAAAACGTGAATTAATAAGTAGGTACGGTGAAAACGGAGTTCGTGTACACGTGAATAAAACTAAAACACGTGAACAGAAATCTGTGAAATTCGTGAATATACGTGTACACGGTTTTATGAATTTAAATGCAAATTTCACATGAACCCGTGAACAGATAATCCTTATTTACTTTGTTTAGCCTTCCACCGTGACCCCCATAGAAATACCCGGGGTACGCTTGCACCGTATGCAATTAAAAAACATTAAATAATATTATAATTATTTTTGTATCGCGTTTTTCATACTCTTAAGTTAAAATATATTATGACTGAAATCGATTGCATACCTATTTTATTGAAATAAAAGTTATATATTATATATGTGGACATATCCAAAAGAACCGGAGGAATAATTTATGCCTGTTATATTATAAATAATTTATCGTAATATTAGTTGTGTGGCGTCTGCTACAGCAACCTTTCAGAATTTGAAATATTAATTGACGCGCCGCGAGAACAATCGATACCTACCTATATTTTTATACTTCGAACGCCTTGTTTTGGCTTATGTCACGGTCTTCGCAGTAATAATAATAATAATAATATTAAATAATATAAATCGATCATTCGGTGAATGCTGATGATAATATCGTATTCGAGGTCGTGATAATTTTGGGGGGGCACGAGACTTTATTTTAATTTATTTTTTATTAAACGCGAATGTAAAAATAATAATACGTAACTTGATTAAAGCAAAACAAAACAAATAAATTGAATAACGCTATACGATATTTTGTCGAAAATCGTAATTTGCCTTTAACCAATTGTTACTATGTCATGTACTACACATTAATAAACTTACGATTACGCGGTAATCGAACTTTGGAATCATAATTATTATGAGGTTTTTTTTATCCTTTCCGAAAAACTGTCATAGTTATATCATTATAATAGACTGTGAGGCTCCTATAGTTTCACACTCTGAAAAAAAAAACTAAACATTTACTTGTTTTCATTTACATACTTATGGAGTTGGCGAACACTTATGATGGTGTTAATGGTTTTAGCGAATCTAATAAACATCAACGACCGTGACAAAAACTTATCGTCGGACCTTAGATGCCAATGCCCTGACGACTGTCACAGCCAAAAATACAAATCAAACATAATCGTGGCAAATGAAACGTGAGTATACCGCGGTGTATTATAATACCTATATTATTAGCCTATACAGGCTGTCCCACGAAGATCTCCGGAAATATTCAAAGTGTATATATTCGTGGGACAGTCTATATACACCAGCAATTTGAAAATTATTTATCGTTTTCAGGACGAGCGCCGACCAAATTGTCGTAGATGTATTTTTTCAAACGTCTACGTGTTTTCTGTACGAAACGGATATCGTATTTGACTTTATGAACGCTTTAGGTGACGTTTTAAATGACATACCCGCGTAATAAAATAAATTATAAATACTCATAGTCATAGATAATTTAGGTACATAAACGATAGAGCATGTTGATCTCATAGAGAATAACCCGCGAGGCAGAATGTCAGAAGAACCCCAAAGTACGGTATACTTCGGGCTAATGTATAGTGGTATCTATCGATTTGTTATTTACATGGAAATAACATAGGCTTATACGGGTGATTTTTTTTTTTTTATCATGAACCAGCAATTTTCTCGATAGATTTAGTTAATTTGATTTCTGTTTTTATTGTGGAATCGATTAAGCTTTATTTTAAAACAATTTTTAAAATTGTTATCCCTACTCCATACACATTAAATAAGGATGTATTTTTTAATATATAAATAAATAATTTATACTTAGAAATAAACAAATGAATGCGTCGCTTTGAGTAATATGATATGTGTATTGTACGAACAGATCGAATTAAAAATTTATCATCAGGTAAATCAGAGAGATTATTTAAAATGAGTTATTATTAGATATAGATATGTTAAGCAATATAAATTATCTGGTTATTCTTTACTATCTAAAATGTAATGAGACAAAATATTATTAAAATCGGTTAGTACATTTGAAAAATTACATTTTTTTTTTTTTTTATTTCATTGTCTACATGTAATTATCGTAAAACTGAATTAATATAAATGTTATTTTAGGTATTTAATATTTCGAAATCTGTATTAATATCAAAGTTTATAGTATGATTATTTTCTAAAACATGTTTAGCGAAATTTGAATTAAGGGCAGTCTTTTTTAATTTTATTTCAGAAATGTGTTCTTTTTATCTTATTTTAAAATGTCTATGTGTCCTACCTATATAAAATGTATTACAGTTACTTTTAAGTTTATATATACGAACATTTTCTAAAGAACAGAGATTTTTTGTGACGTTTTTAGTTCGATTGGTTATATGTTTGATTAAATTATTATTAATCTTAAATACGATTTTTAAATTATTTGTATTATTGTTCAGAATGTTAGCGAATTCGTCAGATATATTATTTTTATATTTCATACTACAAAATTTCAAAACATTATTTGGTGAGTTGTTGTACATTATTTTTTCTTTAATACGTGTATGCATTTTTTTTATTAGTTTTTAAATTGAAATTATTTCTACGGGTATATTATAAATAATATTGAATTCGTGTTGATAATTATGTTTATTTTGTGGAATACGTTCAATCCTATAAAATATTGAATTGAAAAATAATTTTGAGAATAAGGGTAATTATTATTTATTTGTATTTCGAGTGTAAATTAAATGTTTTATTTATTTTGCTTAAGTAATTAACTAAATTTTCTACTTCTCTATTTGAACTTCTAAATAAAATAAAAATGTCATCAACAAATCCATAATATGCATTTATATATGGACTGTATATTTTGTTCTTAATAATAATATATCGGTTTCATAATTTTGCATGTAAATTTCAGATAAAGAGCAAGGTCCACCCATAACTAACCCTACTTTATTATATATTTTTGGTTTTCAAATAGAAACCCCCTTTTTAAACAAAGATTCGAATTTAAAATATTTTTCTAAAAATTTTGATATGCCTAACATTAATGTCAAATTTACATTTATGAATTATAATCGTTTAAAGTTTAGACCGGGGGAATAAAGAAGGGTAATACATTTTCAACATGTATTACCTTTTATTATTCCTCCGGTCTAACCTCTAAACGATTATAACTCATAAACGGTAAATTTATTATTAGTGTTAGTTGTAAAAAAATATTCTGTATTCAAAAAGGAATGTTCCTATTTGAAAAATTAAAGTATTTACTAATTAAGGTATACATGGAGTAGGGGTAAAAATTAAAAATAAAGCTTATACAATTCGACAATGATTAAAAATAAAAAACAAAATCATATAAAATCTTCTGAAAAAATTGCTGTTTCATGAAAAGAATAAATCACGCTGCATTAATAGATACAGTACACATTATACTCGATTTGTAAATAACACGTTATTTGTTAACATAATTTGTGGGAAAGAGCGTGAGTATCTATATATGAGACTAGGTTATTTTTTTCAATAGTAACTATAAATAATTTTATAATATTCCTTAATTATAATTTAGATTTTATACAATATGTTTTACGAAGATATACCCATTTTAATATCTCCAGAAATAATAAAAACAATCAAATTCTGTATTTTTTTTTAAACTTATCAACTTTTTATTTTAACTAAATTCGTGGTTTTGAATATTTTAAAGTTCAGAGAAAAACAATGTACAATTCGTTAACCATAATAATAAAAATCAATTAGTGATTGCGATTACAACCTGTTACATAATTATAGGTACTTATTTCTGAATTTTAAAAAATTATTAAAACTCGCGAATTTAATAAAAATAAAAAGTTAAAACGTCAAAAATTCTTAGTAGAATTAACTCTATAAAATGGCTTTTTTCAAATTTTTCGAAAATAATAAAATAAAAAGTTATTACAGAATTTGTTTGTCTTTATTATTTCCGGAGATAGTAAATTTGGTATATCTTTGTCGAACACTCTGTATTTGTATTGTGTAATACAATTGTTTGTATAAATATTTGAAAAAATAAGTTATGTGACTCTCTCTCTCTCACACATGTCTTTATCTTCATTAAATAGTTATCACTAATAATAATTCATTCGTTTTATTGAAAATACCTAGGTAAATAAAAAAATAAATTTTATTTTTTTTTTTAGCATAGGGCTAAACAGATTTAATGTGAATTATACTACGAGTTGTAAGAGAATTTTGTCTATGGTATTTAACTATTGGTTAATAACATTATATTAAACAGTTTGTCTGCAGACAACGCAATTATTATTTTTTATTATTGGGACAATAAATACCACTAAGTTAATATTTGCATGTCAAAATGTTAATTAAAACCGACAAAAAAACTTTTTAAATGATATAATACCTATATCTGAATATAAAACACGGATAGATATATTAATGTGTATTCTATCGTGATATTTTCATTAAAAATGAATTAAGTATAACTAGAACATGGAATTATATACAATAAAAGTATTAAAATTGTCATAATGCAGTAAAATATTTCAAAAATGGAATAACTACGTATAGTAACTAAAAACTAAGCTGATACTGAGAACAACTGCGGCCACTGTTATAGGTGGGTAGTGGGAAATATTGGATACATACAATATTTTAGCATATATAAACTAACTTGTATCTGTAACCAACGATAAACCATTAATAATGAAAAACGATTCGGAACGAAATTCGGTTATACATGTTTTGAAAGACAAATATTGAATACTTAAAATTTTCGTCAAAATTTGATTTTAAAACTTACGCAAAAAAAGGGTATATTTGACCACTAAGTACTTTGTATAATGAACCTCCCATAAAATGTTCAAACATTTCTGTTAAATCTAACAATTTATCTACAGAATACATATCAAATAAAAATTACGCAAAACACTCGCAAAATTACAATGTCTATAAATAGCTTAACAATTTCTCAAATGTTCTGAAAATTTTACCACGTCTATAAAAGTAAATATAATTTTTACGTCAACATTTAAGGTCTCCACGGATATTACAAACTGAATTACATTAAAAAAAACCAAATTTAAAATAATGAAATCGTAACACCGTTAATCTGACAATTTTCGTTTCATGTTTTTTCCGGTTATTCTCAATTATTAAAATAAAGCTACAGAGAAAATAAAAAAGCGAACAACTCACTCATGAACTAAATTAAAAATGAAATAAAAAAAAAAGTATTTTGTCGTTTATCTATTGGAGCAATATTTATGCTAGAAAACATAAGCCGTAAAAATTTAAAATTACGAAATCATTGTGCCATAATATTTCCCTATTATTATAAAAAATTCTTAAGATATAAAAAAACGACACCCTTTGTCAGTGGCTAAGTATTAAAAGAAACAAAATCGATATGATGTAATTTTTCGATTGGAATAATATTTATGGTAGAAAACATAAGTTGAACATTTGAACATAATAAAATAATTAAACCGGGACGCAACGTTGCCGTAAATATTAATCAATTTTAATTTTTTGGTTTTTCTCAATTATTACGAAAATCACTTTTGATATCGAAAAATTACTTATTTCGCCAGTTGCGAAATATTTATAAGAACAAAATCGATTTTTGTTATTTTTCGTTTGAAGTAATATTTCTGGTAGAAAACTTAAATATAATGCAGAGAGCCGTAAATATTTGCCATTTTACCTATTATTTTCTTTCGGTTTTTCCCAATTATTTCACAAGCCTTTGGACAATGACCTTTCACAAAAGGTCTATACTTTGGGGCAAGTTTTCTGGTAGAAGAGTTGTTCACAGACACGAAAAATAAAAAAAACACATCATATAGTAAAACCAATAGATCCCGCATTACACTCTGAATCTAAAAATATAAAAATACACATCATAGTAAAATAGATCTCTTGCTACGTTCCTAATCTAAAATATATTCAATGACACAATATTATTAAAAAAAAGTGTTACATTAATTATTATTTATTTTATTAAAATTAATTACTAAATGATATTCAAGTTTTTCTTCAGTGAAACTGCGATATTATTCAACCGATATCAATCGAAGTAATTTGAGTATATTTAAAATAAAATAATATCATTGAGACCTACAAGTAAATTAGTAATATGTATACCTCACGTGTCAGTGGTCTCTTCAACCACAATATAAATAAACGTTTTCCCAATTTTAGATTCTGAATGAAGTGAGAAATGTATATTAGTTTTACAAAGATGTTTTTTTTTTAGATTCATAGTATAGCGAGATGTCTGTTGATTTTTCTATGATGTGTGTGTGTCATTTTTTTTTCTCCCTGTGAACAACTTTCCTACCAGAAATCTTGCTCCAAAGTACCTTTCCAAAATAAAATATTCTCTAATGGATGCATTAGGGAGATCATTTTTTAATTTTTAAATTATTTTTCTAGATCCGATATTCTGGTCAAGAAGAGCTTTATAAACTAGCAAAACAAGAAGATAACTAATAATAATGGGTGATCGGAATGCTATAGCAGGGGAAGGTTCAGATGGTTAAAAAGTAGGAGCATTCGAGCTAGGAACTAGAAATGAAAGGAGAGACCGCCTTGTAAACTTCTGTAAGCAATATGATTTGACCATAGCTAATATATTACAAAATATTCACTACAGAAAAAGATATACTTGAAAAAAGTCTGGGTATATCATAAAATATCAAATCGACTACATCATAGTGAGGAACAGGTTCAGAAATCAAGTACATAAATGCAAAACATACCTAGGTGATGACGTGAACACGTGAACAGCAACTAAAATCTTTTCATGATTAAGTGTAATGTAATATATAAGAAACTGACAAGAACACTATTGAACAATTAAAAATACAAGGAAATATGACTTGGGAATGCTAAATACAGCCTATGCATCCCATATCAGGAAAACAAATTAAAAATTAAATCTACTATCACCAAATGATACCACTGAAGACAAATGGAATCAAATAAAAAATGCTATGCATGATACAGCAAGTAAAATAAACAAGTTGAAAATAAACTCACCAAAGCCTAAGGAACAATAGATAAATGATAATATTATAAGAAATATTGAAGGGAGATGGAAGTATAAAAACAGCAAGGATAATCATGGAATACGGAGATATAATAAGTTAAAGAATAAAATTAATAGAGCAGCAAATTTTTAAGAAATAAATAGTTAGAAGAAAAATTACAAGATGTGGAAGAATTGCTTAAAAATAACAGAATGGATCAAGAATTTAACATAATTAAGAAATTCTTTAGAGAAAAAACTAAACTAAATAGCAAAATAAGAGACATAGACGAAAACTTGATAGTGGACAATGATAAAATAGCAACTAAATGGAAACAATATCTCGAAGTTCTATAACAGGCAGGAGAAACAGCCGGTCTCAGTAATAATAATAATACAGATATCGATATGCAAGGAGTAATCTCAAAAGATGAATTCAGCAAAACTTTAAAGTTAATGAAAAAATTGACCGGTATTGACGACATATCAATGGAACTTATTCAAAATGTGAGTACAGAAATACAGAACGAGCTATTTAAATTAGTTAATGATATATACACTACGGAAGAGATCACAGAAGACTTCATAAAGTCATTATAATACCTATACCTAAAAATGGAGCGACTGATAAATTTTATGAATTCAGAACGACAAGTTAAATATGGCACACGCACCCAAAATTCTAGTAAAGATAAAATGCAATCGAATTGAGAACATCGTAGAAAAACAGTTAAGCAATGACTAATTCGGGTTGTGAAAGAACAAGAGTACTAAAGAGGCAATTTTAGGCTTAAGAATATTGGTAGAAAAACAAATAGAATTTATAACGTTTATAGATTTGGAAAAGACTTTTGTTAAGGTACCGTGGATAGATTTATACTTTAGAAAGAATAAGAGTTAACTACAGAGATAAAAGTATAAAATATAATTTATACACAGACTAATCAGTTATAATAAAAATAACTGGCAAAACAGAGACAACGATAATTAGGAAAGGTTATCTACTCTTATCACTTCTATTTAATATTCATGTTAAACAACCTATTAAATAAATAGAGAAAAATTTTCTTAGAAATAAAATAGACATAAAAGTTGGTGCAGAAATGATATCCCTTCTTTGTATTCGTTGACGACATTGAACTCTTAGTCAATAATGAGCATGATTTGGAAAAAAACACTGGAAGAAATGGAGAGGTGCTTCCAATTGTGATTCAGTTAAAAATATTCCTAAAGACTTGAATTTTGGACAAAATAAACAAATATTTGTTTTTTCTAGACGTTGTAGAATTTTAAAAATATTTTAGCTATTTATAGATATTTTAATTTTGCGAGTTTTTTATTTAATTTTTATTCAGTGGGCATTCTATAGATTAAATTGTAAGACCAAACAGAAATTCTTGAAAATTTAACAGAAAATTCATTATAAGTCGTACTTATATGTTAAGAAAAAAATATGCAATAACATATAAATCCGTGTTCTAGTTATAACCATACATAAAGGTAACCGAATTTAAAAAGTGGTTTCATCGGTTTTCTTATACCAGGCCCGTAGCCATGGGAGAAATAGACGGCATTCCTCCCTAGACCCGTTATTTGCCCCTTTTGCATTTTCATCATAAACGGCTATTTTCGAATTAATCGTCATATTAGAAAAAATAGTGTAAGTGTACAGAGTCATAATATTGTTTTTTTTTCTAACGCCCCTCCTCTATAACTCGGTTTGCCCCCCTGAAAAATTGATCTAGTTACACGAACATGTTTCGTGCGCACGACATTTTGTAGAATGTAATATCTATGGTTATAAATTATAATACATATTTAATATGTCTATCGTGGTTTGAAATAGCTTATATTGATAATATTGGTCTTTAAGTCTAAAATGGCCGCGCAATTTATTTTTAGCTTGAATCACCGATTTAATTTTCCACCCGTCCTTACCAAAAATCTACATACTAAGGATAATTTCCTTGTTGATCTTAAATGAAATTTATCAAATTCTCACAGTCTAAAATTCTTTTAATGACTTTTGTTTTATAAAAACATAATAATTCTTGTTATATTTCTGAACAACCAGGCACTTACGACCCACCCACCCGGTTTTTTGTGAATCACGTATACTAAAATTTATATACGTGACTCAAATATATCTCCTTCACGCTTCCACTGCAGTCAATTATCTAGATTCTAAATAATTATTTTATTTAACTGCTATGATATCAATATCCGAATAATTATTTATCTGTTCCGTCTTTTCAGTTGGTTACGGAGGAGTTTGCGGTCTTTTTCTTGGTGCATCGTTGATCAGCGGCGTCGAGCTGATTAATTTCTTGACGTTTCGTTTGTACGATTATTGGCTGAAACGTCGATACAGAAACAAAATACGTTTTATTAATTAATAATATGGCTTTTCAATGAAAAAAATTTACATAATATCGTACTTATCATTTTTATGTATGCGCATATTTATTTTTAAAACATATAATTACTTTTAAAGACATTATTATTTGAACATGACAAAGCATTTACACAAACATTCTGTAAAAATATTTTATAGACGCCTGTAAATTATAATGACTCTACAACATGTAAATGTGTTGCACAAAAAAAATTTAAGTATAATGATAACAATGGTTACCGGATAAACTAAACCATTTATATTCGATAACCGTGAACCGTGGTTATCTTACTTGAGTAGATAACCGAAATCTGAACAATGATAAGTAATAAAACTGACATCTTCAAGATTCAATTACAGACGAGTACTTGGTATTTTCCACTTAAACCGCTTACACCTTTTATCATTGATAAAACTGATTTTTCTTAATTTTTTGATATCAAAAAGTCAATTTGGCCAAAAGTGTTGCTTATGTTCTTTTGCCCATTAAGGCTGGATATTATATAGCTAACTAATAATCATATACTTTAATGCTTTAAATAGATACATACTATTAGTGCATTTCTTTTTTGTTTGCCGTTTTCTTTATTAGATTAAAAACATGGATGAGATCACGCATAAGGAAAAGTAGATTGACTGGCTTAGCATTACTTAATGTACACAGGGATATAAATGTATTTGTTGAAAAATCATAGATCAATTTGCGATTGAAACAAAAATAACATTAAAATTGTTATTATAAATTGTGTTTATTATATATATTATATATTATATTGTTTAACTATGTTACTGTTATGTAAGTATGAATGATATTTTTAATTTATAGTTTTCACAAATTATTATGTAGGTAGAGCGTATTGTTTTAATATCATTCAGTTATCATGAATTAGTATGTTAATAAGTAGCTATATACGAAGAAAATAATGAAAGTATGTGATAATGGATATTTAACACCTCCCCCCCCGGTTAAGATCCCTTGAATTATACACATGATATCAGTTAGCCCCCTCCGCTTTAAATATTCTTCAGATCCGCCCCTGCTAGAGAGCCTATATTACGATCTTAGAAGAACGTTCTTCTAAGACTGTGGCTTATATAATGGTAGAAGCTATACTATCCAAGTGTTCCTAAATTAATCTGATAATCCAACGCAGCTATCCAACGCTGCTCAGCAGCTGACTGATAGAGTTTAGCTATCTTTAGTAAGTAAGGTAACTGTGTCGTTTATTTCAGGTAAGCAGGTATACTGATAAGAACCGTTTATTTTATTAGTAATATAAACAGTTTATTTTTACTGTATGGTACATAACGATTATTTTATAATGAAACCAAACTCTATATACGAAAAATGGGACGACAAAAAGCGCAGTTTTTCTGCCATCAGAAGCGCGTCATTCGATTAGAGTGCTGTTTTACATTATAATAAGATTATATACGTTTATAGTTTATTTCCAAATCAATACTACATTGGGTATCAAAAAATGACTATCAATGTTAGTGGCTAGATATTCTAAGGAACAAAAAAAGTCTCTTGGCATTTTTTAATTAAAACAATATTTCTGGTAGAAAACATCGTGTGCAAAAATTTAAAACTACGAAATCGGGAACGTTGTGGCGCACGTGGTTCGATTTGAACCCGACGTTTTGCATTATATTATATAGTATATTTAGGACTATGTACAGTTTTTTTTTGTTTTTCAAATTAAATATGATTTATTATTACATACAAATATTGTTTTCTCAAATTGGCTTATGATTTATAGCTGCTAACCTAAGTTGATATTGAAATATCATTATTATAACTGAGATCCCAATTTTTATTAGATTTTCGCGAAACGGTCCACGTTGCCCGGAGGCTTATAGCAATTAAAATCGCCCCTCTATTGAGCATTTTAAATTTCAAAATAAATGGCTTATCTACAGAGTACCTACTAAATAAAAATTACCCAAAAAATTCGAAAATACTGAAAATCTACTAGATTTACCACATATCTTTGATGTCTTTTAATATTAAAAAATTATCTTATTTTAACCAGAAACAAACTTAGTGAAATACATTCCAGAGGATTTTTGATTCGTCCTTCAAGTTGTCCTTTTGTTCTCATTTCAGCTCTAAAAAAATAACATTACAGAATTTAGTTTGATCTCCTTATCTCTAATCTTCATCTACAGCGTATACTGTTTAGTTTAGAAAAACCCCATTAACGATTCTTGTACACTCTCCATTTAAGTATTATTTGTCAAAAAAATTGATTTGGAACATATTGGTTAATACCATTATTTAAAGTTAACCTATAGACAATATCACCAATATTTCATTCTTATCATTTTTCATTATTCTCATCGAGATCTATATTATTAAGTATAAAACATTTGATTAAAAGTTAGAATAAAATAAAATATATAGATTTACAAGATTAAATGATATACAAATCGAGTCAGCATTTAAATGTTTTATAAAAGTATTTCTAGCACACAAAAACCGTATTTATATTGTATTATACATGTCGAGTGTTGGAATTAGAATTTGGAAACACGTTAGCACACTAGGCATAATAAATTTGAACACAACTTTTTTTTTTTTCATATAGATTGGTAAATTAGTTTTTGTTTTGGCACGTAAAGTGTTTATCACTTCCATCTGGTTAACACTATCCCATACACAAACTATCAGATTGCTGATAAAGAAATCCGATTGATCATTTCATCTCTCGGTTTAGAATAGATTGGTTGCACGTCGAACGAAAAATAGTAGTTGGAGAAAGTGCTTATGTCAATTGATTAGCTCTTAACGCGATCTAGCGGTTATATTCATAATCTAAAAAATATTATTTTAATAATGCTTCTTTTCTGCACAGAATGTACCATGCGTACTATGCGACTAGAGGTACTTACTTAAAATGATACTGAAATTAATTATAGCTTTAATATTTAAAACACTGTAAATTATATTTAAATTTTTTCTTTTTTTTTTCAAAATAATGAAATTACTGTTATATTTGTAAACCACACGAGCAATCCAAAACATCGTTTGGTGGTCCAAACATTAAAAACAAGCGTATCAAATGGGAAGAACGTTTAGGGATGACATTAACAAAAAATCATCGTGTTTGCCTAAAACATTTTAAAGATACTGATATCATAAGTAAATGGGAAAGTAGCAAAGGAATCAACAAATATTCAGTAAGATCACTAATGTGTATAGTCCCTAGTGAATAGTTTTAAATTAAATTATATTGACAAAATTATAATTACCTACTTTACAATAATAATATTAAATATGAAGTATAAACATATTTTAATTTCCCTAGATTTGTTTAAAAAGATTCAGTCTTAGGAATGGTTTTAGGAACCATTTATTGAAAATGACATTTTGAATGTAACAGTCTGTGAAATAACTGAAAATATAAATAGTGTGAGAATTTAACAAACAATTACATATTTAGTAACTACACAAATGATAAATATCATATTATGTTTAGGCATTGATGACAAGCCCCTATTTCAGCCCTAATTTCAATGAAGCCCCATTGGAAACTACTCTAATTACATCCCCTGGGTTAAAAAGAAAAAAAGTTATTATATATTTATAAATTTATAAATATTACTTAAAAAAATCCAATTAATAGTATAATATAGTTTGAAATATTAAAATCATTACCTATTATTATAGTTTAATAATAATAATATGTTTAGTTTGGCCATTGGATAAAATATTATTTAGTCATTATTTAGTTTATTTTATCTATTTTGTTCACTGAAGCTCATTCATTATTTCAAATAGTTTTTATGGCATTGAATAGTATAAAAGTTCCACCAAATTGGTTCTTAATGTTGGAATCGATCAAAACTAATTCTGTAATTGTATTTCATAAATTAAGTCCATTGAGAAGTGATTACACCAGATACATAGAAAAACAATTAGTCATAACTAATGGTTAATAAAAAGAGACAGGAAATAAACAATAATTAAGAAATAATTATTGCTAAATGTAGTTTGAATACTTAAATACAATTTTAATGATATTTGGTTATTATCATCATACTTGTACATACAAAAATAATTGTATTAATTAATTAGATACTATAAACATTACCAGTTTATTAATGGTTTTCAATCAATTTTTGTTAGATTCTAAAATTTGTATACATACTCTTGGTAAACATATTAATGATTCAGAATTTGGTCTAGATATTAATAACATTGAAGACATATAGTTACTTCTATCAAAACTTCATGCCAAAAGAACTTGTAAAGGGATTATATCTTGTTCTGCGTTATCTCCTGATATTAAAACATCTTTTAGGCCACAATTTATCAAGTCAAATAGACAGTTGCAGTATGTTAACTGTACTGTGGTATAAGAAAATAATGAAGAATAAGAAATCAATATTAATAATATTTAACAAAATAATCAAAGTAATTAAAATTATTGGACAATATTTTTTGGAAGTGTATGTTTGTGGTGTAAAAGGTTATTTTACTCATTTCATAGAAAACAATCTAAACAGTTAAATAGAAAGTTAAATAGAATTTAACATTTACATGCCAAGAAAATAGAAGTGAAATATTGACCAATATATTCGTAATGTACATTACAATGCAAATGAGGCAATATTTATACTTGGATAATCAAATAACAAAAAACAAAATAAAAATAATCAAAATTAACTAATAAGTAAAATAAACAACATATTAATAATATATTGTAGGTAACTAAACAAAATACTTTCCTAAAATTAAATACTTTCTTTAATGACTTAATTATATTTTTAAGATTTCAGTATTTCACAATTATTACCTATTATTATTATAAATTCTTAATCACTTATTCAATTAATTTAAATATGCATACGTCATGTTTATTATTTTTATGTTGACATTTGTATTTACTATTTAAGTCCCTAATTAAATTTATTAGGAATTTATTTGCTCGATTTACTTTAAAAAGATTTACTATGGAAATGTGTTGTAAGTCAATATGTACCTAGTATAATAGTATGTATTAAACAATGACAATATTGTAGTCCGTAAAATAGTGAATGATTGACAATGTGCAAAGACGTAAAGTGGAACAGTGAATAATTGAGATTCGAAATACCAAGAGAGATTAAAAATAAGTTAACATATAAAAAAATACATTATATAAATAATAAATATATTATGGGTACCTAATGAAAATCATCGTAAAATAAAATTACTGTTTTTAGCACGATTTAGTAAAATATATAGAAGTCGACGCTAGATAACACTATCATGCTTCCCCTTCAGCGGATTGGTTAGCAGCTGAGTTTAGGAACAGTTAATTCTAGCGGCTGACCAATCTGCTGAATTTAGGAACACACGGTATGTAAACGTTTTGACTGTTTGCCACACATACGCCATGAACAGGCGCAGACTAGGTGGGATGCTGTAGCATCTCTAGCCCCAAGTTCACTTGCCCTTTTATGTATACATTTGTCACAAATCAATAATTACAATAAATAAAACTGCAATAGTGGAAATTAGACGATTACAATCTTTAGACAGACTCAAGACACTTAATGATTGTTGGGTATAGTTACCAATAATAGTACTGTAATCTATCTATAATAATTACAAAGATAAGAAAGGCATAGTTCTTGCCGTTCTTGGTATATAACATTAAAAGTCATTAAATGATTTTCGCAAAAAACATTACTTTTTAATACGAGTCTTTAAGAATAAAGTTAAAAAATCAACAAGTTGGTGAGAATGGGCCTGAGTATAGCTATGGTGGTGTGCAAGCAAATAGTACCTAAAAGTTAGACTGAAATAGGAAAATCAGAAACCTGCATTGGCCACCAATAATTTGTACAGAAAAAACTTGGAGTATTTTTTCTGCAACTATAGGTACTTGGAACATAAGGTAATTATATTATATTATTTAAAGTGTTAATTCATAGTAATGTTAATATGTAATAATATTTTTTAATTTTAGGTGATTTTGCAAATATAACCATAACTTGATTATATATCAAGTAACAATTCTAAACCTATTCTTAAGTTATAATGATAAAATAAAATATTGTTGATACAACAAATCAAAACTAGTAATAATTATTTGTTTATTGTATGATAATAGTTAATGTAAATGTAAAAAAAAAAAATCACATGAGACATCTAAATCAATTTTAAAGAAATTATTTACTAACAAATTAGCCATTAAATATAGCTGAATAGGGAAAAAATGTATTTTCAAAATTGCTACCCCTCCAAAAGTTATTGTAGATAAGTTAAAATTGTATTTATAATTATTAATACAATTATAAAATGTATTATCTATGAAATACATTTAACCATCTCAAGTATTTTATTATAATGTATTAGATAAAATTTCCTAACTATAGTTTATCGAGGAAAAATTCCATTAATTTATGTAATTTTAAATAAATAAATCTACATGTTTTTAATATTATCTTAGTCATATTTTATAAATATATTCTTGTACAGTATATTATTGATAAAAAATTAACTGAAACATGAGACTAAAAGATATGAAAATAATAATTTTACTTATGAACTAAATAATATCATTGTTGTATATTATTATTATTATTATAAGTAGTAATAATAATATATTATTATTGGTTGATGTAATCAAAATCTGATTGTAAAATGAAATACAATAATCAATACAAATTTAAATATTTGTTTTTGATTCTATAAATATATATATTATTTGTATTTTCTTTAATAATTTGTTTTTGTTACTATATATAAAATCAATAAATCACTTAGATATTTTGATCATTGATGTAATATGTGGTTATCTTTATTAACTATATAATATAATATTACTTATTAACGTAATTATTTTTTAATACATTTATGTTTGATAATTGTATTTGTTTATATATATATAAACTGGTATGGTATTAAAGTATTAGCTAATTTTTTAAAGAACTAGATAAGAACTTGAAAGAATCAAGAAATCTTATTTCAACTGTTTTAAAAATAGGTTTTCCTTTCTGATCTATAACAGGGTTTTTAGTAATTGGATCTATATGTAAATATTTTATATTTTTTGAAAATGATATATAATTTTATTTTCTTCACTAATTGCAATTGTTTTTATATTATCTTTATCAATACCTAATTCTTTTATGAATAAATGTGTGTCATAACCAGATAGATTGTGGAAAAATAATGGAATAAATCTAGGAACCTTATAATTTAAGTTACATATAGAATGAGCAGCTCCTCGATATTTTCCTGTTAAGTGATTGTGATCTTTAGCCTTTTTCATATTATCTTCAAGATCTTCAAAGAACATCTGTTTTTTTTCATAAAATATTCAATTTCTTTTTCTATATCTTCAATATTTTCTAAATCAAAATTTTCTCTTCATTCTTATCCTCAACTATTGATACTCCTTTTATTATAAGATACCAATATGTCATAGCAAAGTCAAACTTTTCAGATTGCCAATAATTAATAGTTTCATCAAGTATTCTATTTTTTTTTTCACTAGTATTGGTGGTAAATCACTTAAAGATTTTTCACATATATGAGTTATTTTTTTTTTTAAATTCAGTTTCTTGTTCTTTGGTTGTTATGATAGGTTTTTTTACATTTAAATAATTTTTTTGCAATATAAAGCTTCATCTTTTATTTTCTCATAAAAAACTTTTGCTGCATCTTCACCTGAATATGTTACTAGATTACTTTTACTAGTATTACTATATTTAACATTATAACAAAAACGAATAGATAAATGGTTTTGATATGTTTTTGTATCAGAAGGTTGACATGTATCAATTTTGGACAACATACTTTCGAAATCAGCATAAATAACAAAAGGAACTTTATAAGATTGATTGTATTTTTCAAATTAAAGAAAACAATTAGATATGCTCGATAATATTGCATTAACACATTTATTATTTCTGCAATATTTCTCATGGTTTGTTAGATTTTCTTCACTAAGAAAATGAGATAAACACATGTTGCATAAATGTGCTTTGTGGACATGTTTTGTTTTTTGTGAACCAACTAATCGCATTAAGTTTCTAATCAAACAATAATGTTCATTATTTTTTTCTTTAATATAAAATAAGTTAATATGAGTTTCTTTTTGAATATCACATATTTGTAGTGGTACTATATCTGTATTATCTTCATAAGTAAACACATTAATCGACATATTTGTTTTTTTTTTTCGAATTTAGGAATATCTTTTAATTTAACTGGAAATTCAATTTTTAAACTTTTAAATACTTCATCAAATTCATTTTCCCATTCTTTATATTTGCTAACTCTATTTGCATCTTTATCACTGGATGTAAAGCAGCAAGAATTGATCAAAGAAAACATTTGTTATCTTCGTTTTTAATGTTGATAGCTTTTTTTATCAGATATCATTTTTGGTAATTCAATATTTGATGCCCCTCTAAGTGGATTATATTTATACATGTTTATGTTCATATTTATAACCTGGTTAAATATCCAACCAGAACCCTTAGCTGTAAAAGCATCTTCTCGAGATTGAATTGTTTTTTTCACATTGTTATAAAATTCATTGAAATTACTAGAATGAAGGAAACGTTCACTTTCTGATCTAAAGCCTGTATATATTTCCTTGTTTGATGCATTTTTCTTGATATATTTACAATTTACTATAATAGATATTTTAAAATTAACTTTCTCTTTTAAATATTCTAACATTTTTTTCTCAACGAACTTTTTTGAATAATTCAAAAATTGATTGATATCTTTAAATTGTCGTGTATTTTCAACAGTAAATGATAATATTCTCTCTTTAAAAGCAGACCGATTATCAGTAGTAATATCAACAATCATTAAAACAGGTCTCTCTCTCTCAAATAAATAATAATCATCCAACTTTGAGAATATTATGTGTGTTGGAATCTTATCTTCAAAATATATTCTACTACAATCATTTTTTTAGTTGATCTTTTCTCAATAATATCTATAGAAAATTTGCAGAAAACTGTGAGGTTTTATTGTTCTCTCTTTTCTAAGTGTTGGGATACTATTTCTAATTCTCTGATTAGTTTTTTCATGAAAACTAGTTTCAATAGTTCCATTTGAATCATTTCTTTGATGTTTTAATGATTTTAAATGTCTAGACCAATTTTTATATGTAGTTGATTTTCCACACATGTTACAGGCCTTTTTTAAAGTTGTTCTAACATTAATATTTTCTTCCATTTTATTATAGGATATATTTTCTTTAAGTAAGATTCAATTTTTAATTTCAATTTTTTTTTTTCAAATTCATTTTAAATAAGACAATCTTGTTTAAAATATACAGTTTAATTATTGTTAAGTGTTACAATTTTTAAATTTCAAAATTTAGTTTTTTGTAATTCTTCATTATAGAAATTTCCTTCAATAATTTCATTATTTAAGTCTTTAACTTTATTAAAGTAATTGGATTTGTTTTCAATACTTCTGTAATAATAAAAATTTCTCTTGTCCAATTAGAGTTATATTTGTTATCAAACGCTTTTCTGAACTTCTTTATTCGAACCCTATCAATAATCTTAAATTTAATTTTTGATTTAGATATTTCATCAGGGAAAAATTTAATTAAAACTTTTTCTTCATTAGATTTGTTTACTTTAAATGGTATCATTCCAATTGTTCAATGAATATCTTTGAAATTATATTCGTTTAATAAATCTTGTAAAATATCAACCATTCTTTTATTTTTCTGAACTTCAAACTATATTCTCATTTTACCCTTTAAAGTTCTGTTGAAACGTTCAATAATTGCAGATTTCTCTTCGTTTTGTGTGATATAATTTTATATTGTGTTTTGTTAACATTTCTTTAAACTGTTTATTTACAAACTTTGTTCTTTTATCAGTGTGAAGTAATGTTGGTGAATTATGTTTCTGTAGTTTAGCTCTTTTTATTATTTCTTCAAAACCTTAGTAACATTTTTTCCATCTTTTTTCTTAAGAGATTCAACCAAGCAAATTTTGATAAAGTGTCTATAACATTTAACAAATATAACCTGAATTTTTATCACCATAATTTCTCATTAAAACTAAATCTGCAGCCCACAAATCATCAATACCATGTGTTTTTATTTTCCTTTTTAGAAATAGAGATCTTACTGGTTTATGAAGTTCTTTTGCAATATTTAGTTTATCTTGTTCTGTTATTTTTTCAAATTTTATTTTTGAGATTGTTTCTTTTCCTAAAGGAGTTTTAATAAATTTACTTTTGTTTATTTTACATTTTAAACATTGTCTTAAAATTCTCTATAGACCATTTGTTGTTTGAACCTTGATTGGTTTAAATTTTTTAGTTTTTTTGCATTTGTGACAGTGTATTGGTTCTAAAAATTCTTTGTCCATATTTATTAACATAATAAATTAATTTTTCTTTCTTAATAGAATATAATACATACATTGGTCTTGCTTTTTTAAATTCAATAGGTTTAAGATACATCAGAGGAAGTTCTTGATGTGTTTTATGGAATGTTTTCTTATATGACATATACATATCATATGCAAATGAAAATTTCTCATTTTTCCAATCTAAATTTAATGACTCTTATGGATATCTCTATCCATCAATTTCTAGCCAAATATTTTTTACATTACAATGATCAAAAACAGAAGCTTTTCTTAATTGTGTTTCTAATCCATTTGTTTGGAAAGCTACACTTGCAAATAATGGATTATAAACGTTTCTATATGTACTTGCAATATTTCTCTTGAATGTTTTACCATTCAAATTGGTTTCATCCATACATTGCCAAGGTTTAAAATTTAACCTGTTAATATTTCCTTGAGATAATTTTGTTAATTCATTTATTAATTGTATTTTATAAATTTCTTGATATTCCACTGATGAGATTGTAATCTCAAAATTCTCAATAATAACTTTTCCAACATCAGATGCTGCAGAAGTTGAAGAAATCCATCTATATAAATGCATCATCGTCTTAAGTTCTCCTAAAATTTATTTTAATTCTTCCTTTAAAAATTGGATATTTAATATCTTTAAAAAAAACCTAAACATAGATTATACAAATTCCCAACAGCTTCGAATCTTCACCCACCTGTAAATCTTGATTGAAATCCAGAATTAATTGTTGGTCTATTTTAATTTAAAGAATAACTAACACATCCTTTGATTATCCTTGATCTACCAACATTTTCAATTTGATCTATTAATGTTCCATTTTTTGTTACTTCAATTTGTGAAAATAAAAATGCAACAAAATTATCATCTAATTGAACATTGCTATTAGCTTCATATTCAGTATTGTTATTTTTTAAATATTTTCTACTAATATTATATTTTACATGTTTAATATCAAGAAAGCTATCAGAACCTTCTATTTCAAAGGTTTAACACCCCCATCTCTGTTAAAATTTGTTTCTGATGTTGCTTCATGTTTTATATTGTGATCGAATAATATGATTGTTATATTTATTAAAAATACTTTCCATTTATTATAGAAAAGATAAAAAAAATAAAAAAGATTTAGATATATAATTTAGGTATATTTTTTATAATTTTTAATAAAACCAAACACAAATATCCACAAATAGGCGGATTATTATCTTGAAATCTTCTAGGTGTTATTTTAAGATTATTTTCTCTTAAATATTTTACTAATTCTTTTGGTGGATTGGCATTACCATAAGAATCAAAATAAATGTTTAAATTTTCATGTTTTATCCATGCAACCCAATGTGATCCCTTTTGACCAGAATTATTTAAATTTAATATTCCACATCCATTCGTTAAAGTTTCTATAGGTAATTCATCTCTCAAAACATCTTCCAAAAAATTTTTTTACCAGCTTTTATGATATTGAAATTAGTTAATGGACTGATTTTCTTTTTTTTATCACAGGAGTACTATAATATCTTTTCTTCTTTTTAATTCCAGATCCAACTTGTAGAGTTTTAACATTATTGAAAATTTTTTCCATTTCTTTATTATGTCTTGTTCTTTTTCCGCTGCTATCTTATGTTTTCTTTCTATAATAGTATTTGCCATTAAACTTATTCCCCAGCTAATGCACTTGCAGCTCCTATTCAAACAAAAAGAATTGGAAGAAATCCACCTTGTTTAATTTATTCATATTTCAATTCTAACCTCGATCCTTTTTTTTCTTTCTTAGATTTGTTTAATTTTTTTATTTGTGTTTCGGTTAAATTAAACTTTTGATTTCCGGTTCCAATTTGATTGTTTGCAAGCTGTATCGTTACACCTATTTTTTAACTATATGCAGATTTAATTTTTTTCAATTGTGCATCGTTTAAATTAAGATTCATTTATTGTACAAAATATTAATCTTTTTATTTAAATAAGACCCATTCCTAATTTTCTTTTTACTTTCATTATATTACTAGTTACAAAAGCTGCTGTTTTTTCACTCAAAGATGTTTCAGGATTTTTGTATATATCTTTTGCAATATTTTCTAAAATTAAATTAGCTTTATGTCTAGATTTGGTATCTTTATGTTTTTCATAGTAAAAATCATGTTCCATTGCAGCTTAATCTAGTTTATTTATTGGTTTCTTGAAGATGATTATTTGTTATATCCATTGATAAGAATCCAAATGGTTTTTTCCAACATTTTTTACAAAGTAAATTAAATAAACTTAATTTATTATCACTTATAAAATCTTCTCATATTTTTTGATTATAATGATCCGGTTGTTTAAAAATAATTACAAAATTTAAATTGTTTCTTATAATTTTTAAATCCACAACAGTATAACTTTGTGTTAAATAAATACAAGAAATATTTTTATGTCAACCTCTTATAAAATATTGTTTCATTATTGATTGTTTTTCTAAAACACAATCATCAAAAATAACTAAACTCTTCTGTTTACATTCATCAACAGAAACTATACCTTCATTAGAAATAACTGTTTCAATTTCATCTATATCATTAAATACTTCTTCTAATTTCTCATAAATTGGTTGATCAATGGTTTTTGTAAATATATATAAAGATTTTCAAAAGGAACCCAAAAGTTTGATATAATATTCCACAATAAATTTGTCTTTCCAGAACCTGAACTTCCTACAATTGACCAATGTAACGGTATAGGAAATATAGATCCATCATTATCTTTTGTTTCCTGATATGGAAATGGTCCTATATTTTTATATTTATCTAAAATTTTCTCAAGTTTATAATGCTCTTTTGACACATTTAATAAAAGAAAATATTTATTTTTTTAAAAAAAAATTAAAAGATTAAAATCTTTAAAATTATAATTTATTAAATTCATACATTTTCAACATATTTATAACCATTAAGTTCAGTTTGTTTCAAATATTTTTCTCTAGGAAAAAATTGTATATTTTCTAAAATATCTTTTTCTCTTATATTTATCTCTTCTTCAGTGATTTAAAAAACAATATTTGATTGTAAAATTTATAAACTATAAAAAATTATTAAGACTTTTTTCTGGGTAACTGTTAATGTATTCACTGGTATATGTCCGGTTCTCCCTATAATAATTTTTTTTTCTCGATTATTTGTATAATCTCATCTTCCGAATTAGGTAATATAAATTTTAATGGAAAATATCCAGTTATTGTATTTTTCATTGTGTTTAAATACATATCTTTTTCTGGATCAAAACCTAAATATTTATTTAACTTTTCGTCTAATTTAAAAAAAACATTAGATTTGAAATTAATTTTATCTCTTCCTATAGAAATTATTAATGGTTTCACAATTTTATTAAATTCATCTATAGTATATTTTCCCGATTTTAATTCAATTATATTACCTTCAACTTTTAATAAACAATCTGTTTCAATATTTATTAAATTTGAAGTAATACTAAAGCCTAAAACACCAACAAATAAATCATCTCCAAATAGAGGATTTTCTAACCTTATGAATCTGTTTTTTATTTTAATTATTCTCATTTATTATAAATAATCTATTTAATTTAAAATAAATTAAAAAATAGCTGTATTTTTCTTTATTCAAATTCAATTAAGTGTAATGCTTTTCTATTGTTAAGAATTTTAGTACCTTTGTAGAGCATAGTAATTTTCTCATGTTGTTCGTTAATTTTTTTATAATCACTATCAGAAAATTTTTTTTGGCAAATTTAAATGATATTTATTATCTACATCAACACGCAATTGAGGCCCATATTGTGATTTATTAATGTAGAAATTATCAACTGTGTACTTTTGATTCTCTTTTAAATCCTCTAATTTAATGTATTCCTTAAAGATGTTAGTATTTAATTTTCTCTTAATAGCTTCCATTTATTTATTATAAGGAAAAAAAAGTTTTTTTCAAAACTAATTATAAGCGGTTGGTCAATATTCAATAATATACATTTTTTTTTTCAAGTATAAGGTTGCAGTATCAAAATTAAAATTGAATATTTTTTTTTTTTATATTAATTACGTTCTTTTTCGAGTTTTAAGCTTACCAATGTTTTCAACAATGAGTTCTCAACATTCCATGTCAATTCATTCTTTCAACAATGGATTCTCAACATTCCATGTCAATTCATTTTTCCAACAGTGAAATACCAAATTTATTTTTTTCAACATCTCAATTCTAATGGGCTAAATTTTTTTCTCTTATTCTGTATATTTTTTGAAATAATTTTGTTAAATGTTTCTGGTACAGTTTGATATTTAAAAGATCAAAAAAAATAATGTAAAAATTATTGTTTAGATATGATAAATATCGGCAGTTTGTTATTTAAAAAAATTCAGAAAAATAGTGTAAAAACTATTGTTAAAATTGTGATAAATATCGACTGTTTGATATTTAAAAGATTCAGAAAAATCTATTGTTAAACTTATGATAAAAAATGTATTGTTAAATTTGTGATAAATATCAAGCTGCGCCAGAACCAGCATATTTACACTACTTATATATATATATATGTATAGAATTAGCTCTGAATAACCTGACTTCGCTATGTGCAGTTATTTTTGAGTTGCAACTTTTATGTATCAGTTTTTATATTAGTTATAGGTTGTATTTAGATGTCTCAAACCGGTGTTGCTTGTGTATTGCAACAACCAGACAAATTTTATATTTTAGAATTTTAAAGACAAGTTCTAAGAGACAATTCTTATTGAAGAAATATTGAAATATAAATGTATCTTCTATATTACTATAGTATAGCTTTTTAATTGAATAAAATGTTTTTACATTTTATTATTATTCATATTATTAATATTGTTACTATTATTATTATTAGAGGCATAACTGCACAGAAATGGTGTTGAAATTAAATGAAATTAACAAACAATATTCAGTAGATACTATGGATACGTTTTGACCATAGATACTACATAATCAACAAAAATTATACGACAAACTACCAAAATCCAATCCCTGTCAGCTGTCCTTTAGGGGTTGAATTTTAGAAATTTCAAAAGCTATAAACCTTCTCCGGACCATGTGGAACATTTTGCAAAAACCCTATGAAATATGTCCAATAGTTTTTGAGTCTATAAAGTACATATAGACAAACAGACATTCTTTTTTATAAATTGAAAGAAAGATATAGAGGCAGCATACTTACAAAAGAAATCAAAGTACAATATAAGTTTATGTACATATACCAAATGTATGATTATTTTTATTGAATTATATCCTATCTCCTATACCTACCTAATTTACTTAGTATTATAGGTACCCATCATATCATACATAAGTAAAAAAAACACTTTAAATTTTGTACACTTCACCAAGTATACCAAATACAATTAGCTGACCAATATTATAAATATATACACAGATTGCTGCAACTGAAAATAAATATAGTTATATATCTAATGGATATTATGTGATGTCCATTAGATATGTATAATGGATATCTATTTAAACCAAAAAAAAAATATAGCTATTTTGATATCCATTAGTCATTCAAGATATCCACTAAGTATATTTAATAGTAATGTATATTTATTAGATCTGTTGTGTATAACCAATGCTGAAAATTAATTGAAGACATTAATAATGGAAAATATCAAAGTAAAAAGTCACAAATCAAAAAATTAATCATTTTAATGAATACCACATTATTATTGAAGAAACTTAAAATAAAATATAATTTTTAATTTATTAATGTTAATTTTTTCATTTCTTTAATAAAATTGTTGAACTATTAAATTAATATTGCCATTTTAAATTTAAAGAAAACATTATAATAAAGCTAAATAGTTATAAGTGATTTGCAAAGATTATTAATTTTGTATAGGAGCTAATAAATAATAGACAATCCTCATTCAAAATTATAATAGGTAAATTTAAAACTACCTTTTAGTCATCAGGGTCCCCATTCCATTTAAGTCTTTCCTCATAAAATTGTATAACTACTTGTGGACATAATAGGTTGGCTTCTCTTGCTGTAACGAGATCCGCTTCATTTCTCCCCTTCCATTTTAGTATAAACATTAATTCACCAGTTGAATCTGAAGCGCCGATAATTCTTTCAGCCTGGCGGTGTCTAGAATGTGAGTCAACTTCAATGGAGGAAACTGCATTATTTGGTAGTTGGACTAGTCTTCTATCTTCAAGTTCTTCTGTTTCTTCTTCACTTTCTTCTTCATTATCATAATCGTCATCACTGTCATCATCATCCTCGTCGTCATCATCGTCATCATCGTCTGTGTCATCATCATAATCATCATTCTTAACTTTAGTTTTTTCTACTGTTTTTTCACCTTTATCATCCTTAATTCTTTTTGATTGAGGTAGTGATAATTTGGTTGTCTCTTTGGATGTACCAGCATCAGATGCTGACAGTTTCGAACTACAACTAATATTAGTTGAGTTTGATAATGTACGCTTACGTCCATGTTCAAGTTGTTCATTAAGTATCCCTTTTTGCTTTTGTTTAGCCTTTTCTTCAAACTGTTGAATAAGAAATTCACAATCAAGATGTTCCTCAGGCTCCCAAGTATTATCTTTGTCGTCATACCCTTTCCACTTTAAAAAGTATTCTACTTTATTGTTTATAACCCGTTTATCTAAAATCGTCTCCACATGATATACTTCTTGTTCTTTAGAACCACCAGATTCTACAGCAATTTCTTTCACTCTAAAATTTAAAAAAAAATACATTTTTATACATATTTTTGTATAAAAATAAAATAGGATATACATACCAATAATATTTTAAAAATAATAAATATTGATATTAGAAATTAGCATTAACAATGGTGTACATATTTCAAAAATATATTATTTCATTGAAAATAGTAAATTCCTTTATCAAGGATTTGTAAACTGTGAATTGGAGGAACTTGGAGGTGGAAAGGGAAAGAGGGAAACAATTTTGCTGGATAGAATGATCTTCAGGGTCAAAGCCGTCCAAAAAGAAGGATCTGTTAACAGGAAATTAAAAAATTATTACACATCATTCAATATTTAACACTAGTTAATTATCCATCAAACTTTAAGATATAGGGTGTTTTAGAATTTGTTTTTCAATTAGATGTTCTTTTTCTATTGTTTTCCTTAGAGATGAACACAGAACTGCTGCATGGGTTGAATTAGGCGATCTCCTCTGTGTAGAACTTTTATTAGCTTTATTATCAATATTATAATTTATAAAAATAGCTGGAATTTCAAAATGATGACTAATTTAACAGACAATGTAAGAGGTCTTATCTATTTTCTTAGACGATACTTAGATACAACTGCTCAGTGTCAATAATGTTCCCTATTTTTTTTCAGAGTTGTTTAAGTTGCAAGCATCGTTTTTAGGAAAAAAGTTAATTTTTTGTTTTAATTATTATGTGCAAATAATAATTTTTAAGAAGAGATCATTAGATCAAAAATTATCAGAAAAAATATAACTCAAATATATTAATTTTTTTTTTTTAAATTAAATAATTTAAATTTTACCTCACGTTTTAGACCTTTAAATGTAAATTTTTCGATAATTTTGATAAATATGAAAAACAAGTTGGGAAGATAGGATATAGAGGAAAATTAATTTGTATCTGTAATCAACGATAAACCATTGCTTATTAAAAGTGATTCTGAGAGTTCAGTTGATAGTGATGGTTTGTCAACAGTATATATATATCATATTATGGTAAAATAATTACACAGGCATTATTTATTTTCTTTAATAATATTGTTAAAAATTTTCCCGTTTTCCCTGATTTATCATACTTATTGAGAAAATTGAAAAATTACTTCCCTAAAGTACAACCCCAAGAAAATTTTTTTTCAGAAAAGAGGCTACATTGTATATATTGGAGTAAGCCTTCTGGTAGAAAGTGTTAACATATGAAAAAATAAAATGAAAATAAACAAAATAAACATCTTGGTAAAACTAATACATTCATTGCTACACTCAAAATCTAAAAGAAATTGCTTTATGACATTTATATCATTTTAAAATAACATTGGGAAATTGTTTGAAAGCTACTTTGTTGTTGGAATTTAATGATTATTATGTTATCACTACAAGAATGGATAACCAATTTCATTGTATGATGTATGTGTTATTATTAAGTGAATAATCGGGAATCGGTTATTTGAATATTTCAGTATAAATTCTGATGCCAATGTCGATTGCCTGTGTAACTTTTTTATATTTTTCCATAAATTCAATAATTAATATTAATAATGAGTAAAAGTAAAAGAAAATAACTTATTGCCTAGTAAGAAATAGTGACGAAAAGGTGGATAAAAATAATGTTATCAGATTACCATTAAAATTGACCATTTTTCATAATTTTCTTTGCTTACATATTACAGGAAACATATTTTCTATATGCAACATCTTAATTTTTCTGGTCTTTTTCTGTTTTAAAAAATAAGAAGAATTTTGAATTTTTTATTATTGCTCCTTCATTTTTTCTTCATATTTATTCCATAATAATTGTTAGTAGTTATTTATTTTCATTTTTCATTAACTCAGATATGTATACTTAGCTATGTACCTACTATTTACATAATAAACTCTTTCAATAATTGTAAAAATAAGTCATATCAAGTGTAACTCACTTTTCAATTATAATGATTCTCTTGGTAACTAAATGGAGAATAAGTTAAAAATATTTTCAACCCCTAAAAAAATATATTTAAGGGTGGTTAAAAGGGCTGATTTGTCAAAATTATCCAAAAATTTACTTTTAAAGGTCTAAATAGCGAAAAGTAAAGTTAGTTAAGATTATTTAATTTGAAAAAAATATTAGTATATTTATTATTTTCTTTTGATAAAATAATCTCTTCTTAAAAATTATTATTTGCACATAAAAAATCAATTTTTTTCTAGAAACAATGCTCGTGACCTTGACAAATCTAAGAAATATTGGGGAACAATATTAAGCTGCTCCAAGGAACTCAATATTACGAAAAGAACATCTGATAAAAATAAAATATTCCGAAACATCCTAATATATATAATTATCAAATATGTCAATTTACATTTTTTCTACTTTTAGAGCAAAGTGGAGTGTTTTACAATGATTTTTTTCCCCCTTAAGAATATATATATATATATATAGAATATATATTTGCCTTTTCTAGACGTGGCAAAATTTTTAAAACATTTTAGTCGTTTTAATGTGGATAAAATTGTTAAGTCTAACAAAAATATGCTTAACAATTTAACAAGAGGTTCAATAAAGGTCGTACATTCTGATAAAAAAAAAAAGATATACTTCACACAATCGGCAAGCTACTGTTGTGAGTGAGAATTTGGAAAGGTAGAGGGGAACTTTAATATATATCTGTACCCAAAGATTAATCATTACCAACGAAAAACAATTATGAGCAGAATTTGGCTATAATAAATGTTTCTTACATTATTTCCCATTTAATATGAAAACGCATAGGAAAATCAGGAAGTACTACTCCAGTCAGATTTCCTTTCAGAAAAAATGCTTAACTTAAAAATGGGGACAAAGTTTCTGGTAGAAAATGTTCATGGAAAAAATAAATAAACAACATTGTAAAACCAATACATTCTTCACTCAGAATCTAAAATTAGTTTAATGGAGAATTTTTTTTTTATAGGAATTTTAATACCTAATTTTGATGAAAATCGTAAATATTACAGCGTTTTAAAAAATGTACAACCGAACTTTACTCAGAATAGTTATTAGTCAGCAATGATTTATCTTTCATACAGATATACATTAAGTTCTTCTCTAAATTCTACCCTTCTCATCAACATATCACCTACAACTGTGGCCCAAACATTATGAGAAGTATATCAATATTTCTTTTATCCACAATTTAAAATATTTAATGTGATTATTAATGACAATAATGATTCAAATCATGACAGTAATACTTCTGAAATATCTTATAATCAAATTCAATTATCTGATCATAGTAACAGAGAAAAAAAAATTGATTTGTTTACATAGAACATTTTATACAGTTATCAATACATAGGCCGCATTCAAATATTTTATTAAATTTGACCAGGCTAAAAATTTAACTTAAATAGACCAGGCTGGGCTGAGCTATATATTTCACTGAACTGGGCCTAAGTTTAAAATTTACTTTTGGGTGGATATGGACTTCAAAATTTAGGCTCATGCAGAGTTTTATTAAATATATAGCTCTTGCTAAAATAGCAAGTTCAATAAATTTATAATTTATACACTTTAAATATTAATTTCATACTAATAGGTGATTAGAATTTAACTGTCTTTCGGTTTGTAAATTTGCCTTAATTTTCAAAGAGAAAAATAATTTCCATACTGCAGGTAGTATAATTCACAGGAGTTTTGCTTTACTTAAACTGTTCCAAATGAATAATATTGTCAATTAATTTGGATCTCAACTATACTGTATTTCTTTAACAATAATTTAATTAATATAAATCGTCATTATTATGCATCATTGTTTATAAAAAAAAATAATATCAATAAAACAATAATAAATGGCCATTCAAAATTGTGGCTTTATACCTAACTTTAAAAATAAAAAATACGCTTTCATGAAAAGTTTGTTGGCAGACATAAATTGGGCTTAATTGTACCTAGTAAAAGATGTAAATATAGCCATTGATTAATTGTATAAAGAATTATTTAACATATTACATACACAAAAAAGTATTCATAAAACAACATAATTTTACATGTGTTAACTTTAAGCAGTACCTAACAGATTTGCTGGTGCATTATTATTTGATAACCATAAACTTGATAATTACCTGATTAATTAATTATAATTTATTACGAAATATTGCATTAAATTATTACTAAATATTGTAATAAAATCAGGATTATATAATAATACTGTAATTATAAGTATATATAGGGTAATGGTACCAGTTTTTAACAGTTCACCAATCTTTGACAATCATTATCAATCAATTAAAATTATTAACTTTTAACTGATGCAAGAATCTTCTTGTTAACATCACAAACAAAATAATCCCAATTTTTTTAAATTTCATACCATTGGATCATATTAAAGCCAATTTTAAGTTTGTGACTGGATTCTGGAATCACTTTTATTTACAATATCAAGGAAAATAATCGTATAGGTAATATTTTCAATAGGTTTATATAAAAAAAAAAAATTATAATCAGGTATTTAACTCTTTTTTAGAAAAAATAAAACTTAGCATGTCTGCTAATAGGTTATTTGATTGAAGTATGGCTTTTGAGTCTAAGAAAAAATGTTAAATATTGATAAGTAAATGTCTCATATATTTTTTGTATACAGTCCTAGAAAAACCTTTATCAATTTATCGATAGAGGTTATCTTATCGAATTACGATACTTTATTGAACCTCTATCTCGATTTTAGATTTTCTTACTTTTTAACTGATTTCACAGACATCAAAGATTTTTTTGTTTTATTTTGTATGGAATTTATATATTTGGAGGCTCTAAGTAGGGCTGTTTTAATAGGGTTATTTCTAAAAAAAGTTTTTATTACAACATATTTGTTTTATCGGTTTGAAATTCATATCAAATTTTTTAACAGTAGGTACCTACCTACATATTTTAGGTAATTTTCACAAAGAAATCATTAAATTGGTCAACCAAATAACATAAAATAGTTTGAATTACTTATACAATGTTATATACGATAATTCACTATTCACATTTACACTCATACATATTTAGGTAATTGATAAAAAACCAAAAATCAGGTTTTCACAAATAATAATAAGTACCTACATACATATACAATTGCATAACGAAATATAAAAAAAAAATGTTTGAGTGCTAACATACTGAAAAATGAAAAATTTGACTGATGAAGTTTTCTAGGATTGTCTATAAACAAAAAAATTAATATAAAATTTGTCTATAATTTAATTTTTTTTTTCTCAGACCCAAAAGCCATACTTCAACCCAAATTTAGAATATACAATATTATGAACAATAATTAACTAATATTATACAAAATAAGCTATAAATAAAATTACTACAAACACTAACTATAAGAATCTGATGATAATTATTTAACAAGAAAAATAATTTTTTTGGTAAAATCCACCGCTGATTTAAAGTATTATAATGGGTAAAATAAGTTTAAAAAAAAATCAAAAAATCTTCAGTCAAAGATGGGATATAAATTGTGTGTCAGACTAAGTAGGAATTAAACATGTGTTCCAAATTCTCAAAGTGTAATTAAATTCGTTATCGTCTGATACATGAGGATGTTTAATTTTTTATCTGGTACTTAGGTATCCAATTTAGAAAAAAATACTTTTAGTTGATTACTTCGTTAAATCTGATTAAACTACTACCAACGACAGCGCAATATTATTTTTAATGGTGTAAATAATAAAAGTGAGTAAAGGCGATATTCAACGGTATTCTAATTAGTTGTGTGAACTTACTTGGATTTGGAAGACATCGTTTGTTATGATGACCAGCCACACAGTAGGAAAATCAGTAGACATAAATTTGGACTTTTTGCAAATTAAAAACAAAGAAGTACAATGTAGAAAAAAAATGAAGACTCCGCTCCGACAGTCAATGTATCCGCCGATGAGAAACACAAGTAAAATGAAACAACGAAAATAACAAAATATAAATTACTTAAATTAGTAAATACATTAATTTACACCAACACAGAGATATTGTTGATAATTCGAGAGTTTGACCAATAAGCGATAAGCATTAGGCGTCATAACAGCGTCAGGAAGGTATAGCCTCTGGAAGGAAAATAAAAATCTAATATTTCCATGTTGCACTATTCACCTGCACACGGAACTATAATTTTAATACCATAATGGCCAAACTGTTAGCGTCCTTTATCATGGAACAAATAACAAACAATGCCTAAATACTATATATAATTGTTTACTATAGTTAATAGTTATCTACACAATTTGGAACTCGATTTTATGATATTAAAATATTGATATTGTTAAACGTTCTTAGTTATAGAAAATTTAACCATATTCTCAAACTATTTTGTCATAGTGTCAACAATATAATGAAAATAGCAACTAGTAGCGCTAGTAGTAATTGGCCCAATTTTAACCAGTAGAACGAAAAAATATTGAATTTAACATCAAATTTCGAATAAATGACTAGATAATTAATAGATGTATAATAAAATATCATTTATTCATAATTATAAATTTTAAAAAAAACCGCTAATTGTTGTTAAATTGTTTTATTTTATATATTCGAAATATCATGCCGTGATTAAAAATATAAAAATATGACCTATTTATAATATTTTTCTTATAATTACTTAATAGTTATGCTTATGAACAAAATACATAAATATTAAATTGTTTACCTACTAATTTTTTTAATTCTAATAAATCTATTAATTATAAATGCAAAACATAAAAATTTAAAAAAATAAGGTTCAATTACGAATTTAGGTTCATTCCACGATTATCAATTTTCACATTATTATCAAATTATTCATAATTATTATGATAAATGATAATCAAAAAATCTAAAAATGTGTGAAGTGTGATTAATGTAACGATTTTTTCATGTTAATATTTCTATGATAATTTATATTAGATGTAGATTGTAATTGAATGTAGAATGTAGGTTAGTCTTATGAATATATAATTATTATATCGAGTTGTTGACAATTGTAAAATATATAATGTAATGCACTTCCATTTCCAACTTTTAAAAGCTATCCCAAAAAATGTTTCGAAGTTTTGTGTTCCAAAAGATTTACAACTAAAAGTAAAATGGATAAAAAATTTTAAACTTACAGATAAAATGTATGTGTATGCACAATGGCGCAAATTGTATTCGTGGCTTGAGGAGTCTAATTAGTAATTATTAATTTGAGAGGGACTAATTTCTTTGTTTTTACGTTTTGAGCTGTCTTGAAACCCTCAAGTACACTTACAATTTCCACAAATGTGTGCAAAATATTTTAGTGACGATTATATTATACACATTTGTGAATCGGAAACAGAAAAAACAATATTATAGTAAAGGTTAGTTCAAAGTTGCATTTATCAGTCTAACATACATTCCTGTATAAATAATATACCCACCTATATATATTATCTATCTAGTTTTTAATCTATATATAATTATATATATATATTTGTGTGAGTATACAATGTATTTATGACACAGTTGACCAGTTTTAATTTAGATAAATAATAATTGAATGCTATTTTAAATGTTAATTTTATATTTGATTTTTAGATTCTACATAAACAATCTAAATTTAAAGAATGAGTAAGACCGAAAATTTGCCCTGATACATCCATTTATCTACAATCAAAAAAAAAGAAAAAGAAAACCACCTTCTAGGACTGTTTAAGATAATTATATGAACCTAACAGTATTTTTTAATGATGATGTCCATGAAAATGTTTTACTTTGTATGCCACCATCAGGAGGTAATATTTATATAGAAAGGTAGTGAAACCTTTCTTAATGGACACCTCTCTTTACGTACAAAATAGTAAGGTCCCATTAAAAAGATACACAGGCATTTCAATATATTTCGTTCATATTATAACTGACTCTCTTTATTATGGACACAGACTTTTTCACAGATGATTACTAGATATTATATGTTCAATAATAAGGATAAAGTTAATTGCTAAGACAGAATTAAACAGAAACCCATATAAACTGTAAAGATTATTCGCTTCACCATTATAGTGTTGTACATTTTAATTATAGATTCTGAGTGGAGCGAGGAATGTATTGGTTTTACAATGATGTTTATTTTTTTTTTCTGTGAACAACTTTTCTACCTGATATTTTGATACTATTTTCAAATGTAACACTTTTTCTGAAAGGAAATTTGTTTGGGGTGGTACTTTAAGGTAGTCATATTTTTATTTTCCCAGGTGTATTTATAATAAATGAAAAAAAAAAGCGGGAAAATGTACAAAATGTATTATTTTCAAATTGAAATTTTTAAGTTTTTTCTAAAACATGGGCTAATTGAACTCCACTCCATTTCTATAATAGAGAAAATAGACTATGATATAATATAGGTATTTATTTATTTATATATAGTTTTATTGTGGATTTTATTAACTTTAAACTTTTATAATCATTTTACTTTTTATTAATTCGGTTATTTTTATAATCATATTTTTTTTTTTCAAAAATATGTTTATTGAATTTGATTGATCTTAACCTATAAATGTTAGGTATTTATATTCATTACTATGACTAATTATTAATTATATATTATTATATTATAATATTATAATATTATTACTAATTATTAATTTAAACATTAGTTGTTTTAGAAAACTTCTACTCAATGATTCAACTAGAGTATTTTCTTCTGTGAATTAAAAAGCTGAGCTTTACAAATAGGCTGGATAAATTATGGACTATTTCATTTTATTTAAAACCATAATTTCCAGTGTTGAAAAATATATACAAATTAACAAACTAAATTAAATTTCTTTTTGGATAGTCGGACAATAAATCAACTTAATGAAATAATTATAATTCCTGATACTAATATTGATACATTTCTAAATAATATTAAACAATTAAAAATATTTTTGTTTTTGGTAGGCCTACAGATCAAATGTTTCTTGAAGTCCCAAAAATTGTGTGTTAAATCTTGTATTAATCTTTTAGAATTTAGAACATAATGTGAAATGTTTTATAATGAAAAAAAGATTGACATACTTCGCATGATGGGTGGGCTACTAATGTAAGTGAGAAGTTGGGAAGGTAGGATGTAAAGGGGAATGTAATGTACATCTATACATGATTAATAATTACTAATAAAAAGATGATTCGGAGCGGTGTTCAATAATACATATTTTGAAAGGCCCTAATATTTATGATTTTCATCAAAATTTGTTATTAAAATTCTTATAAAAATAAATTTTACATTACTTTATTTTTTATTTTTTTGTTTGACCACAAAGTAGGACTTATAATGAACCTCCCGTTCATTTTTCAAGTATTTCTGCTTGATCTAAAAATTTTATCCACCGAACTTTCAAATAAAACTCGTAAAATTTAAATGTCTATAAATAGTTTAAAAATAGCTTAAATATTTTGAAAATTTGATTACATCAAGAAAAATCAAATATCAGCTTTCTATATAAATTTCAAGTCTCAATGAATATTTTTAACTGAATTATAAAAAAAAAAAAGCATTAATTTTCGTAAATTTTCCCTTCTCTCTTATGTTTTTTCTCTGTTTTGTTATATTATTAAAAAACCGAGACGGAAAATCTAAAAGTGACTTTTTTTATCACCAATTAGATTAAAAATGCAACAACAATGATCTCTTGTAATTTTTTAATTGAGCAAGATTTTTAGTAGAAAACATAAGTTACAAAAATGTAAAATCATGAAAAGCTATGCCATAAATATTTGTTTATTTGTCCCTACGTTTTTTTCCTCAATTATGAAAACTGCTTAGAAAATCAAAAAATTACGAGATAAATATCTAAATAAAAGATGTAACTAAATACACCAGCAAGATATATGATAGACTTTTTTCATACAGTATAAAATAAATAAATAAACATTGTAAAACTAATACATACCTCACTTCGCTTAGTATCTAAAAATAAAGTCAGAAGTTGTGACAAGTATAAGATATTAAATAATTTCTTGACTTTATGAGAAAAAAATTAAAATTGCAGGTTGTAATGAAACCCTTATTTTAGCACAAACAAAAAGTCAATATACTTAAATAAAATCATTATCTACGTAAAAGTAGTTAATAAATAAAATAATAAATGTTTTAAAAGAACAATAAATTAAAAAGCTAAGAAAATTAGACATGCTTGTTTAAAATCTGTGGAAACCATATGATGTTTCACCAAATATAGAAATAATAATGAAGAATCAAGTTTAAGAGATTATTTACTGTACATTGGGTGATTTATTAAACATGTTCACATTTTTTTTTTTTTTCTTGTTAAACTTTGCATTTGTTCAAATTCTGATTTTTAAAAATTTTAAGTGTAGTTAAAACTAATATTTTCGAATACTTAGATTTTTCACAACATTTAAGGATTATCCTATAGTACCAACTTTGGTTTTTCAAATGAGAAACTATATTAAAAATTCCATTAATAGACGGAGTATTACTTTAAATAAATTTTGGTGTTAAAATTTATTAGATTGAAAAACCAAAGTTTTTATCACTACAGAATACAACTTAAGTGTTGTGAAAAATCCAAGTTTTAGAAAATTTCGGCTTTAACTAGACTTCTAAAATTCTAATTAAAATATGATTTATGGTTTCGTTGTTTTCGATTTTATTATTTTGTTGTATTTCTGTTGAAAATAATCGTAAAGACTTAATCGTAATATTATAGAATACCTACTTATAAGTTATATTAGCCTTTTCTAGATGTGATTTAAATGTTAAAAACATTCAATAATAATCATTAAATTTTGAGGTATTTGAAATGTTCAAGTATTTTAGTTTTTATTTGGTTTAATGTGATTACAATATTGTTTGGTACATTTAAAAAAAAAAAAAAAATATAAAAAACAATATAATGCTATTGTAGTTCATACAATAAATGCTGACTTGAAAAATAACGGGAATGAACTTATATTTACCTACTTAGGTACTTCAATATGCTATAATTTGCAATTTATTTGGGGGGGGGGGGGGGTAGCTTTATATGTGTTTTTGAAAATTTCACCAGATGAGGATCATTATGAGTTAAACATAGAGGAAAAAAAATTAGCATAATGTAGTATTTTTTAGATTCTAAGTAAAGCGAGAAATATATTTGTTTTATTTTGATATTATATTGATATATATTTTTTTTTTGCCTGTAAACAACTTTCTGCCAGAAATTTTGCTTCAACCAAAAATTACAGGAATTATTTTTTATTACGTAGTAGTATACAGAGTGACCCAAAAGTCAGTTACCGTTTTTTTAAAACATGAACCCACTCTAATTATGTACATATACACTTGAGAAAAATCGGTCTGCTACCACTTATACCTTACCGTCGTTCGTAGTGCCACACATTAAAATAACGAGGGAAACATGACAAATCATTTACCTACTAGAGAAGGTAAATATAATGCGTTAAAGACAACAAGACTCAGGGTTGGACAATGGCGTAACTAGGGGGTAGCGGTCGTGACCCCAAAAATTTGTATGGGATCGCAAGAGTATCATTTTATTACCCTAAAAAAATGTATATAATTTAATAAAAGAAAAATCCGTGTCAGTGCGTATTTACTATTTAGTTATCTTTAAGCGGTTATCAGAAGAAAAAAATGTTATTTGTGAATTTTCGTGTCATCGATAAGTGATAACAGTATAACACAGACTCTTGTAGCTTTAAATCATATAAGAGAGTGGCCAATAGAAAGCTTTATAGATAATACTATAACTAGACAATAATAGCATTATCTGTAAACTTTGGCTAACATGAGCGTCTAGAGACAGCCCACAGGCAAATTCCTTATCAATTATAATTGTAAAATTTCTTATCAAATGACCTAATATTATGTATGACAATATGTTATCAACATGAACAATAAGAAACTAGTTTGCTTCAGACATTCTACATCTCATAAAAATTTGAAATGAAGATTAGTTAACAATAAAACATCAGAAGTAAATTAAAAAATATAAGAATTAATTCGATTTTTAATAATAATAATTATATTTTTAAGATTCCAGAAGGTACAATTAACCTTTAATTATCTAACTCAAAACTGTTAAAAAAATGATTTTATATTAATAGTTTTTTAGTGGATTTCGGTTGCTGCAGCAATGGAATATTACAAAGATTTAGTTCCAGAATTGAACAATTGTGAAGCAAGTATTGAATTTAATAAATGTGTAAACCAAGTTGTAGATGCTATGAACTCACAAATTCCAAAAGATGCTTTTAGATCTGATCCTAAATCAATTCATTACGAAGTATGTCAATAGCTTATTGATTTATGAAATACATAGTGTAACTGAACTATTTGACATTTTTATATGTAAAACTCCATTGTAAGAATATCTAATAGTTCTGTTACACTCTGTATACTTGTTTTACTTAAATTGATATTTGTATAATGTAGTTTTAATTTCTCAAATTATAATGGAACATCTACTTAACAACACTCTGTATACAAAAAAATTATTTAAAGAACCATCAAGTTTGCTAAATAGAGGTTCCATAGTATGTAGTTTTATTGTACAGATTATTATACATATTAGTTATTAATATATAATATATACTTATTAATACTTCAGGTTCTTTCTGATTTCTTGATTTATCTTGATGAATTAGGTAATATAAATGCAACATCTCAAACAAAATTAACTATATTAGGTCTCTGTACTGCAATAAGAAAAACACTTGAATTAGTAAAATATCTGAGTGATAATGTTCAATTTAAATATTTATTAATAATTTGCGTAAACCAAGACGCTCTAGAAGTAAAAACAGGATAAATTTAATAAAATAATACAAATCATGATACAAATATAAAATATTATTAATTAGTTAACTGGTAAACCTAATATAAATATGTTATTTATTTTTTCAGTATTTTTTGGTAGTGTGCGATATGCTTGTGGATCAAGTTGTGTGCATGACTCAATTTTATTCATACAGATTTTTAATGAGTGATAAGAAATAAGTAATAAGTAATGGAAATTATAATATGAAAATTGAATTGGAAAAAAAAATTATGACATACTTAATGTTAGTGAAATAGCAGTCAATAACTTAATAATAACTGATTATGCGTCATGACAAAACTGCTATTCAAATCAATGAAAATGCTCCAACAATATTAAGTGGTTATGTTGCAAGAAAGATGCGAAAAGTAAAACCTGCCCAAATGTTGTCAAGAATGTTACATCATGTATGCACCAGATGGCCATGAAATATAAAACAAATAAAAATACTTGCACTGAAAACTCGTGGTTATTTGCTTGTGCCATCTAAAAAGCTTTATGAAATTATTTATCAAGTAATATATTTACATATTACTTATTAAGAATAACATAATTTCCTAACTACTATACATTTCAAAATTATAGGAGAAACTTGATACATCACACAATACGAAAAATGTATACCCCACCTAATGGGATTTTATTGATTGAGAAAATGACAAGCTTTTGTGGAACGTAATTGTTCGTCAATTGATACATTTTTTCTTAAGGTATGGATGAAAATTGTTTTTTCAAAGTCTCCATAATTGGCCTAATTTTGTATAGTCTGTTATGGCCATAGTGGTCTTTATTAAATATATTATTATTATGAAAGTGTATAAATCAAAGAATTTGTTCAAATTGGTTAATACTTATTGGTTTTTGGACAATTTGATTACCTAAATTTGGAGACCAGTATTTACGTATATTAGAAATATTGACTAAACCCATTCAACTCCTAAATATTTTTTCACATCATTTGAATTTATTTTAAAATTTGTATCTGGATCTACTTGTACGCTATAAATCTTTGTTTCATATACAATATGCTCAATTAAATCTACTTGGAAAAAGTAACTAACAATTTGATACGGAGTACTTGAGTTAAAATTTCATTGAAAAATTTGAAGTTTCCAAAAAATGTTTAATTAAGTTTATGAATTTTTTCGCGTTTCCAGCAAATATATAATTTTTCTTTTTTTTTTTTTAAATTTTAGGTAGAGATTTTAAAGGTGGTGTAGTTGTATCAATCTTATTCTTTTTTCTTAAACTCCTAATTTTGAGATCTGGAGTCATGTTAGTATTGGTAGTTAAACAGAATTTGGCTGTAGTAAAGCTACTATTGATGGGTCATTAGGTTGAGTTTCAATTGAAAAATGTCTTAGATGTGAAGAAAATGCATATACATTAACTAAAACTATTACATCATTTTATTCATTATTCAGGATGTATTTCACATGTGACACAGAAAATGCAGCAAGAGAATAAAAAAAAAAAACAAACAAATTTAGCAAGACAATTTAAATTATAATACAATATTTTTAAAATAATGTATCAAAGCTGAATACTTTTAAATTAAAACCATTTTACTATATACCTACTTAATTGACTAATGAATTTAAACAATAGAACTTGGTAACAAGTAACTAGTACTGAGTCTTAACACAAAAAAAAAATTATTTAATAAAACTTAAAACAACAAAAATTGATATAAATTATTATTTTATATTAAAACCATGCATTCAGACAAACACTAAAATCGGTCTTCAGGCAGATTGTGGCAGTGGTAGGGATGGCAACTATATATATGTTTGATAGATCAATATTTTTATATTGTCATTTATCTTCGATATTTATCGGATATCGATATAAACTTTCAATATTATCGAAATATTGTAGTTGCCAGTTGGTAAATAAAACAAAATTCTTAAATGATGTTTCTTTTATCATATTATTATTAACTGTTATTTGAAGACAAATATGGACTTACTGATTAGTGATTATAGAATAAAGATAAGATAAGATACTGATAAGATCCATAATTTTCGTATTACCAAAAAAAACTAAGTATCGTGTATACTTGACATTGTATTAAAAATGTGTACAAGTGAAGTTATCTTATCCTATTTACAGATCGTGGTTCCACCTTAGATCATATATAATGAATGCTATTAGCGATTGAAAGCGAAAGAGTCGTTATCTAGTGGAATTTATTAGAACTGCTCTAATGGGGAATATGTACGTTTAATTACATTATATTGAGACATTGAGTACTGAGTACTGACTTCTAAATTTCTTTGTAATAATCTCATTTCGTTGTAATAATTATAAATATAGCTTTATTTGTTGATATTATGGATGACCATAATTATTATTTTAGCTAAATAATTAATAAAAATGCATACATTAAATATAAACTTGTATTGAACTTTAATAATACATAATATACAATAGGTATAGTGTTTAAAATGTACCTATCTACTTCGCGAGGTTTACCATGAAGGTGTCTGGTTTGCAAACATAGTCTTAAAATCTTAATAAATACATAATTTTAGATTCTAAGTGAAGCGAAGAATCTTATGATTTTGCAAAGATGTTTATTTTTTTATTTATTTCTCTGGAGATATTACAATGGGTATATCTTAGTGGGACTCCACCTGTATAAGAGCTTATTTTCACGTGATTGTGTTTATTACAACAAATTTGAATGATCTACTTCTATTTTTTTAAGACTATTTTTGGAGAAAAAAAAACCTGTCATTCCCCATGAGAGTGTATTATTAAAATCTATGGCAGACCACTTGTTTGATTCTATTGGAAATTAAATTCCTTATTCCAATAAATTGTGGCTTCAATTGAGTGAAAATCTTGATAGGAAAGTTTCTCCTTATACTTTGTACAATAATGTATCTCAAAACTGTCATTCCTGGAAAAACAATTTAAAATTTTTTATATCTAGACCTTCAATTGATAATGCTTCTCGAATACAATCGGAAACCAAACAAAATTCAAACAGTGAAACAGATGGTGAGACTGATACATCAGAGGGTACCAATATTTATAAATTCTACTTTACAGAGATTATATAAAAATGAATTCAATATTAGTGAAATACAGAAAAAAGGAAAATTTTCAAATTGTATTGTATATTAAAACAAGGTGTATGGATTAATGTTGTAAAGCTCCTTGTAATATTATATATTAACGTTGTCGAATAGCAAATGATACCTCGAGATCCAAAAATTATATTACATTTTCTGGAAAGTGTAAAGATCGTGGTGCAGATGCTATAGGATTGGTTGATAAGAAACCAGATGAAGCTATGCTGTTGGTCACAAATATTTGTTTGACTGGTGTCGATCTTAAATGTAAGTATTTGTCTAAACGACCATTAAATGCACAAAAAAGAACTAAAGTAGGCCAGAAGTTATACATGACTGCGCCAGTAATTGGGTTAGAGACAAAGTGGCTCCTCTACAGTTTGTAGACAAAATTCCTGCTAATTATAAGCTGTAGCAATTTTAAAGTTAATTAATAGATGAATCAGATTATCTTAATCATGTAATTTTATGAAAGTGTAGAGCCTCTATTTTATAATTAGATTTTAATTATATATTTTTTTGGACTGTAGGTATGATTTCTTTCGAATTTGTTATCAGTTTATTAATTTGTTTTGTGTCAATTATAGTTAGGTCCTATGACTCATATTTTAAGTTTTGAATATAATTATCATTAATAAAATCTAAAGTTTTTTTTATTAATTTCGTAGATGTAAATGATAATAATATCATTAAATTTATCTACCAGAACTATTTCTGAATATTTGTTTTTAATTTATTCACTATGTTGTTAATAATTGTATTTTGTTGTTTAAATCTACTATTTTATTTTAATATTTTATCAGGCTTATTTTTATAGTTTTTATTGGTGCTGTTTATTAAGTTATATCTTGTTTGATTTTGATTTTGAAATTATATATAATTTATAACAGATTCACATTGTATTGTTCTTTTTAATTGATTGAAAGTTTAATGTTTGATATATTGTATTGAATTTATTACCTTTATTTAATAAATTGTTTTTAGATTTATTGAAAATTATGGAAGTTAAATTAATAATTTATGGTTGAAAAGAATAATGGTTTTTAAGTTGTAATTTTTGTGTATTTTATGTTACTAAAATAATGATTTTTTTATTAATCCTACGACATTTCTCATTTTTATTATGTAGTCATTTTTGTTGGATGTGATTTTTTAAATGTGAAATCTATAAATGGTTTAAATTTTGAGATAAAATTTTTTCTAATTTATTAATCTCTTCTACTAATAAACGTTTTTTGCTGAATAAAAATTTTATTTCAGAATTCAGGTATATATTTTATAGATATTTTAGATATATATTTGATATGTATAATGATATATTTTTGAACGACTTTCAATTTCTTACAAGTTTTATTGAAGTAGATATTTATATTGGTATTCATTAATTTCATGTTTAAATATTCAATTCTGATCATTAACTGAGTTGGAACATTGGCTCAACCTGTCATAATGAATAATAAAATAATAAATTGTTATAAATTATATATCTATTAATATATACCTCTTAAATTGTCATTCTACTAAATTTAAATTATGAAAATTATAAGAAAAATTCTTTTGAACATTTGTCTAATTGTTGATTATCTATTGATATTGCCAATAGGTTTGTATTTTCGAAATGACTAATTGTATGCATGTATACCTTAGCTTATGTTGTTGGAATTTCTTTAGTAATAATAATTTTATTGCAGTAATAATATTTCAATTAAAAAACGATAACATAACTGATTTATGCGGTAAAGCATTATTCCGTACGTTTTTACCCTTTTGGGAACACGTTGAATCCGATTTTGATCAAACAATGTATTGTTAAAATAGCCCCAAAAATAATATAATTCCATTCGATTTTTTGGGCAATGTTGACATTTATATTTATTATTTATTAGTGTAAAATACTCAATTCGTTTATTTTTCTTAAATAATATTAAAACATGACAAAAAAAATTGACGAATTTTAATAAGTCAAAGTTAAAAATTTTTCAATTGAATTGAAAAATATAGATTGTATAACATTTTTTTTGCTAACTAGAAACTATACTATGAAATAAAATTAGTTTTTCACTTAATTCCTGAAGAAATAACCACGTGTCAATGTAGGCTTGTTTGGATTTTTCAGACAAGCAGAAATAAACCACGGCTATATAAAAGTTATTTTGCAAACAATTATTTGTATAGAGCTGAATATAATATTCTGCCACATAATTAAATACAACAAAAACGTATTTGATACATAACGACTGTGTCGTTGTTGTACGTTACATAAATTTTACCTACTATAATAGAACATTGATTAAATATACTTTAATTTAATCAATGTTTAGGAATACCTTACATTAAACGCTATAATTAAGTCAAATAATCAAATATACCTGTGTAACTTTATGGAAATCTGGAAACATTGCACTAAAATCTTAGGTACAAAACGTACGAAATTGTGTACTATAAAATGTGCACGATTCTGTTCGCTGATAAGGGCTGTACTGAATCGAGTTTTACCCGATTTATGAGTCGGCGAAATGGGAAGATTTTTAAGAACTTCTAAAACTAGTTTATTTGTCTGCAAAATGGGAACTGACGACGTGGGAAGATACGATTTAATTCCGTTCGTTTTTTTTTCAAGTTTCATTGAACTCTCTCAAGGTTATCAATATGGGTATCAATTTTATAAAAAACTTTTGTAATACTTTTAGCACTAAGTTTTATAATTGGAAAATTTATTGACAAAATTATTATTTTTTTTATTTAGGTAATTAAATTGTTATGTACTTTTTATCTTTTTTTTAACATTTGAACATTTATCACTACAATACTGTATCTGAGTAACACTAACACTATTAGATTCTATGTGAAGCGAAGAAGCTTATGGTTTTATAAAGATGTTTGTTATTTTATTTTTTTCTGTGGACAACTTTTCTACAAGTAATTTCCCTCCTATTTACAATGATAGCATTTTTCCGAAAGGAAATCTGACTGGGAAAGTACTTTAAAGAGGTTATTTTTCGATTTTTCCAGGAGTTTTCTTAACAAATATGAAAAACCGAAAAAAAACATTGGAAAACGTAGGAAAACAAGAAAATCGGTACATTGAACAAATATTATTAGAGAAAATATGTAATACCTTTTTAATTATTTTACCATAATATGACATATATATATTGTATATATATATTATATGCATATATATATTTATATATGTCGTATCCACTTAGTGTAATCGTATTTTTCATGAAATGGATGTTCATTTCATGAACTATGATCATAACGTGTAAGTCAAAATTTAGTTCATGAAACGGACATATATTTTATCCATTTCATGAAATGGAAACTCTTATTTTACACTTTGTGTAATATTTTAAATTAATTACATCAATAGGTAACTTTTCGTGAAATCGAAATAATAACATTGATACTGGTACGTATCGCACCGTACTATATTTATTATTAATAAATTGTAAAGATGATCTTCAATCATTAATTGAACGTCAATTTTGGTAGGTGGCTTTTTCCCAGGCTTGTCTACGTAGTACGCATTTAACTGTTCATAAAATTCAGAAAATGAATCAAATTCCATTTTAACGCTAATATACGGCTCGCTTCAAGTCAGATGACATACTGGCATCATATAAAAATAATATAATATACAGATTTTCCAGAATGCCTTGGTCGTATCATACTTATACAATTGATTCAATTGAATTTTGATTAAATATATATTTTATCGACTAAAATTTATCTGCTTAACGGTCGATATCTCATCTTTACAATTTATTAATAATAAATATAGTACGGTGCGATACGTACCAGTATCAATGTTATTATTTCGATTTCACGAAAAGTTACCTATTGATGTAATTAATTTAAAATATTACACAAAGTGTAAAATAAGAGTTTACATTTCATGAAATGGATAAAATATATGTCCGTTTTATGAACTAAATTTTGACTTACACGTTATGATCGTAGTTCATGAAATGAACATCCATTTTATGAAAAATACGATTACACTAAGTGGATACGACATATATATGTATTGTTGACAAAGCATCACTGAACTTCGCTCAGAATCGTTTTTTCGTTAGCAATGGTTTATTGTTGCTTACAGGTATACATTAAATTACCTATTGCAGTGGCTGCATCCGTCCCCATTATTCTAGGACAGCTTTTTATAATATTATAACTTCTTTGGAACACTGAATCTAAACGGAAATAATATTGCGAAAATGCCGAAAATTATGAAGACATAATATTATACAATATGATTTATACACAGATCCAGAGCAAATATCTGGGAGGAGGGCAATTATTTTTTTACTATACAAATTCAATTAAAATATAATATACCTAATGTATTATTTTATCATACATACCTAACAGTTATTGAAATATAGTAATATCAGGATCTATAGAATTATAAAAAAAAAAATCGAAGAAATAATATTTCTGGCGGGAAGGGGGCTGGGCCCCTAAGACTCCTCCTGGATCCGTCTCTAATATGATTATAATGTGGGTTTTTCGTATCACGCGATCGATTTAAATCGTGATACATACTACGTTCAAAAGTGTTTTAAAATAAAATATTACGAACGCCCTGAATATTAAATGAACGTATTACGAATTTGTGTGTGTACTATATGAAATGTCTGTTTGAAAGGGTCTCTCAGTACACGTGTAACGTACATACTGGCATTCATCAAAATTCAAAAAATAACGTTTACAATATGTGAACATTTACATAGAGTTGTATTGTGTAATATATCCATAACCTATATTTTAGTCAATTTAACGGAAGAAAAAAACGCCGATAAATTATTATAATAACGACATTATTATTGAAATAAATAAATACGAACATAATATAATATTTTACTTACAGGTTGTTTTTTAAGACCGTCACTTAGCTTGTCGATATACTATAATAACGCGATATGAAAATTAGGTATGTTTTCCGTAATATAAGTACAGTAAGTGTAAGTATAAATATAATAGTCGTATACAGTTGTCGGAGTAAGTACATTAGTTACATAACAATATTATTGTCATTATTACCGAATTATTTGCGTTATGACGCGAGTGTAGTAGTCATCGCGATACTCTGTCGGTAAAAATGCTGTTGTCCATGTCGAAAAGAGCGGAGATCGTCCGGAAGCGGAAAAAACTGCCGAAATTTGGTGAACCAAACGACGTGGAAGACCGTGGCCGTACCGTGTGGAAAAACATTTTGGACGACGTTTGCGACCAGTGTTCGCTGCACGGTCTCAACCACATTATTAGAGAAGACCGGAGCACGGGAGAAAAGTCAGTGCACAAACGTGTCACGACAATAATAATATCGCACCCCTGAAAAAATAATAACATAAAAATATACAAATGTTAAGAAATCGATTTTTAACGTTTCATAATAATTCTTTATAATGTTCTATAATTTTTCCCATGTGAAATTGAAATATGACTATATTCTGACTAAAAAAATATTATGTAAGAACATTAATCAGGCTTGAGGCCAGATAAAGTCATATCAAAGACGTGTCACGGTGGAGACTACATTTTATTTTGGGCAGAAATATAAAGACATTTGAACTCATACTTTTTTTAATATTAAATAAATTTAAAAATTTCATAGTGCTTTCATGGAAAAAAGTGTTTTTTTTTTTAATCTTACACATATTAAAACTATTAATAGTTTCGTACTACTCGGACGTAACCTTTATTACACAGGATGACCGTCTGGGTAATTTGATGTTTCCATGTGACCATAAACATGTATTAAGTAAACCATGACTAAAAAATATATCTACATCGATTAATTTATTGAATAATTTAAAAAAACGTTCCATTGTTTAGTTTTATAAATATTATTCAATCTTTTATAATATATTCTTGATTTATATAATATTAAAATGACGATTAAAGATACAAGTATGACAGAATGCTATTAAAATAAAATAGCGCGTAAGAGATATCGAATTAAAGAAATGTGATAGTCTACTTTAAATAAGGAGAAATAATTGAATTTTTGGTACTTATATTTATTTATATTTTATAACGTATAAGAATAATATACTTTAATTTTTAAATTTACATAGTACAAATATACTAAATCGTTTTGAAAAAAAATGGTATTGATGAATTTTCTACCCCCCCCCCTTTAAGTACATATTGAATTCGTTGGAAAAAGTGGCCCAGTTTAATAAAAATATCTAGTTCCACCAACGCCTAAGTATTATTTACTTATTTATCATACCTAATAAGGCTTTTATTTTTATTAATGTCTGTAAAGATCTAACCTATGACTATATAATTTAATATGAAAATAAAAATAAAATTTTGCATAAAATTAAACATCAGTATTCCAATATATTTATTTATTTATTTCATTTTTTAAAACGTTTGAATATAATTTTCTACATTTTAGAAAAGTTGTTTGAGACTGCCTAATAAAGTTTAAAACTATAATTGCCAAGTAAATATAAACTTTAAATAAATAAAATACAAATATATATATATATTTAAAATTATTTATATTTATATATTTATATATATATATATATATATATATATATTTAACAATACAATTAAGTCGTATCGCAGGTAAACAAAGCGTATTGCAACCATTTAGCTAACTGTTTACCTATCAAAAACTACAACCTCAAAACACAGTCGTCGTTTTCGTTTCTAGAGTGTTTTGGACCGTGACCGTGGCATGTGCCGTTCTCTTGGCCACCTACGCAATTATGGAATCGTGGAAGTCGTACAACCGGAGTTCGATAGACACGGTGGTTGAAACTACTTTTTTTAATTACGCCGACATAGCGTTCCCTGCGGTGGTGATATGCGATAGTTCCAGAGTGGATTGGCAACGAGTGAAGCGACTGACTGCCAGGTAAACAGTTGAACTGTATCACTGGTTATAACGGTTGTAGGTAAAAATGTCCGGCTTGTACACCATAACTGGTATAGTTCAGGACCCAAAATAGTGTGCAATACTAAATTACACTAGTGTATTAAGACATTAAAAAGTGTGTTGATTATTTTAGAATTATGTTAACGTTTGTGTGTAAATATTTGATTAATCAGTACATATTATATAATTGAAGTTGGAAAAATACATTTTTGAATATTATTTTATATTATTATTCAATAATTTAATTTTATCCAGTAACTTTTCAAACATAAATGTTTTTGTTTTGTTTTTAAATTTGAAAGAGACATGCACTTATAAAATAGTGCAGCACGAAGTTTCATTTATTTTAGACCCTAGAATAGTTAGATAATTAACAATCAAACCGAAGGATGGAATCTTAGGTTTTCCAAATTATTTTCAGATTCCCACCCAAATATTTGGCTATTAATTGAAAAAATACAGTTGGAGTTGGGGGTTGACCAGTGCAAAATAGGTCAAAGGGAATGTATCGAACCACCAAAAAAAAAAAAAATGTATGAAAACTTTTTGAAATGCACATCCTTAAATTTAATTAATATTGTATAGTAATGTAGAATAAAATTTTTTTCTTTTTTATTAAGATTTAATTATTACACGATGTTTACATTGATTTTTGGTCAATTTATCGTTACCATTTTTATTACTTTAATACCAAAATTTAGACGATTACCTATTAATATTATTATTACTTACGTAGTATTAAAATTATATTTAATTTATTATTTATATTTATTATAAACTATAACTATATAGGTATTATATTTTTTTACCTCTGGACATTTTTCATCGGACATTTTGGATATAATATATCATATCGAAATTAAACCAATACACTTATAAATATAACGATAAATATTGTAGACACTATTGTTAATGTTGTTATTATAATTATTGTTCAGAGACATACCGGGGATTGATCCAGATTTGTTGCCCATCGTCAAAAAATTGTTAAAAACCTTCTCTATATTGTCATACGGTGATTTTGACGAATTTGATGAGCTGAGAAATATATCGGAATTGGCCAAGCTCAAAACGCTGAATATCACCGAATTGCTTGTGAAGGTGTAAATAATATTGTAATCTATTGTACCAGTATTATACTGCAGTGATGAAAAATTGAAAAAAAAAAAACAATATTGATGAGGACCGCATTATTACATTATATTATTATAGGTGATGAGACCGTGCAGAGAAGTTTTTTGTTGCGGAGGTTGTTGGTGGAACTTCAAACAGGTAAATTGTTGTGACATATTCGAATTACAGCGCACAGAATTTGGTTTGTGTCATTCGTTCAATTCGGATTTTTCCGAATACAGTAGAGGGTAAGTGTATATATTGCAGCGATCAAATCGATTGACAACGTTGAACACGCTAATGTCGTTTCTCGTAGTTTACTTGGTGCGGATTCCGGTCTTGTTGGACATTTTTGGAGAACGGAATCTGGGGAGATCCGACCTAGGAGGACCGGCGATAAAGGCCAATGGTCGGGTGTCAGGTAAAAAAAAAAGTTAAATAATAATTAATATAAAAAAGTTTACCAATTAAACCGCTAAGAAAATATCTAGACGCTCTAGAGATACAAATCTTTGTGTTCAATTTTTGTTAGCAAATTTTAAAATTTAGTTATTTAACAATTTATATATATTGTAATCAACGATAAACCATTGCTAACGAAAAACGATTCGGAGCGAAGTTTGGTTGTACACGTTTTATTTGAAAGGCCGTAATATTTACGATTTTCGTCAAAATTTCATTTTAAAACTTATAAAAATAAAGAAAATACAACATTACACTCAATTCTTTTTTAACCCTAAGTAATACATCTAACTTCCTGTCAAATTTTCAAGCATTTATGTTTAGTCTATTAATTTTATCTACAGAGTACCTACTTAATAAAAATTAAATTAAAATCTCGCAAAATTAAAATGTTTATAAATAGGTAGTTTAAAAGTAACAAATATTTTGAACATTTTACTACGTAAAGGAAAATATAAGTTTTTTGTCTAAATTCCAAGTATCTACAAATATTATTATAATTTAATCTAAATTATAACAAAAAAATGAAACGGATACACTAGTTCCTTACAATGGGTGGGCCATTGTTGTGAGAAATGAGAAGTCAGGAAAATAGAGAGGAAATTTAATGTATATCTGTACGCAACGATTAATCATATGAAAAACGATTGTGAGCGAAATTTGATTACACCGCTTACATGTCTTGATAGCTGTAATATTTACGATTTGAAAATAATACATTTCGTAAATTTACCCGTTTCCCTATGTATTATTTATTATCACCTGCAATTAGATTAAAAATTAAATAAAAAAGATTTATTATCATTTTTCTATTAGAGCTTTATTTTTTGTAGAAAACATAAACCGTACAAATTTAAAATAATGAAATCGCTGTGACATGATTTGAAAAAAATCTTATTTTTCGTATTTTTCAGTTGTTTCCAGTTATTATGTAAAATACTATATATATCAAAAAATAATATTCTATGTTAGTGACGAAATATTAAAAGGAACAAACTTGCTATCTTGTCAATTTTAAATTGGAGCAATATTTTTGATAGAAAACATCGTGTTAACAAAATATTTAAAACTGTGAAAACGGTAATGCCGCGGCGCGTCGTAAATATTTGCCGTTTTACCTATAATTTTTTTTTCCCAAGTATTTCAAAAACTCTTTGGAAAATCGAAAAATTACCTTTTTAATATTTCAACTTGACAAAATTTCCTTGCAGAAAAGATGCTATACTTTATACATCAGAGCAAGATTTCTTTTTGAAATGTTGTTTACAGACAGAAAAAAAACACACATCATAGTAATCACCAAAGGTACGTTCCGAATCTAAAAACATACATCGTTGTAGTAGAATAGAAATAAGGGTATAGAAAATGGCCGGAGTTTAAAGGGGGTACAAGTATGAAGTACAGATATGACGTACAGATTAAATATGTAAATATACGACGTTTTATTATCTAAACGAATGTAATGAAAACGAGAATAAATACGGATGTTGTGAATGCATCAGCACAGGTCACTGGATCACGCGTCATCGATGATTAATTATATGACGTCTGTGAATTGAGTCCCGGATCCAAGTGGTTTTTATAAGTATTACACTAGTTGAGTCCAATGAATTTTGGGTACTATGCTAGTTTAGTCCCGGCTTTTGGCAAGTTGTATACTATACTCCGTGCCACGAGATAGTGTGACCGCCACGCGCACACAATGATTTAGCTCCGACGTCCCGGGGCCAAATTTCCCCCACTATGTGGCGTCCGTTCTTTGTATACAGCAGCTCGAGTATCACACCACAAATATTACCGCGACTAACCATTATAATATAATATCAGTATAGGAGTAAAATGAAATGAAATAAAAAAAAAAAAAAAAGAATCGCAAAATTGAAAACCGTATTAGGTACACGTTGAACCGTACTGAAGAACAAACATGTAATAATAATAAATAAGATTATACCAGTAACCGTTCTGTATGTGTGCAACGTCGTTCAACAACGGCGATCGACACCTATCGGCGGTAGGCAAAATTGACAGGAATGTGGTAGGGATGCACGGAAATTAACACATATTAGTCGTCACCCAGTCACACTCTCTCGTATAGTTGGGTCCTAACGTTTAAATGCAATAAAAACGTTTTCTTTCTCATTTTTACAGACTTAAAACTGTCAGTGATTTGTTGTTTAAAAAAAAAAAACACTGACTATACCTGTGTATGATTGAACAATTTTTGTTTCGCCAGATGAATTAATATTTAGGAAAACATTCAGAAGGTAGCCTCCGGTCGTCAATGAATACTAATTCAATATAATGTAAACAAAAAAAATTTTAAAATGTGCCGTTAAATTCATTTAATACTAACTGTACTAAATGTATTTCGGTAAAAATGTATAGAAAGCGTTTTGATTTTGTCAAAACGAATAATGTTGCCAATGTTTTTTTCAGTTATTTTTTCCTTCAAAAATTTCCTTTGGTTTTTCCCATACTTCTTATTTTGATATAAGTCTACTTGGATACTTTGTACAACTTCTATTCTACTCACTATTAATTCGAGACACGACTGGTGTACAACCTGTGAAAATCTGGGACCCAACTGGTATAGTACTCGCAGGAACCTGGGACTCAATTAGTATAGTACCCGCATTAACTCGGGATCCAACTAGAGAAGATTTTTGAACGCTGGACCCAACTTAGATGCGCCGAAAATGACAGTGTATACGTATTATCGAATAAAATGACGCTACCGCATGTATCCCTAACTGACCAGCGACTTACAAGACGTGTTATGTGGTGTATAATATATTGTTAGAATGGTTCTCTGTGTGATTGTAATTGTGTGATGTTATATATTTTTGTTTATATCACTACTCTGTGAATCTAAAATACTGGATGAGTGAATAATTATTTTAATCTTTCCTTTCGTCTCGAAAATATGAATTATGAAATACGCGTTATTAACTAACTATATTTAGGAAAAATTGACCGAATTTCAATAAGAAAATAATATCTAGTAGATGTTATTATTCTTTTATATGTTATTTACTGAAAAGCCGCTAGACAAATAAAAATAAACGTGTATTTTTCATGACGTTTATTCAGTAAGATAGGATGTGGTTCTACGGAATCAAAAAAATATGTTTCGTTTGTAGTTGATATAAACACGTTTGTACATTGATCGTATCACTATACATCAATCGGAATTAATGTTTTCAGAATGTATTTATCAACGATGAAGCCGGAACAAGTCGCCCCGGGAATAGTTGCTAAACCTTCGATCCGGGTAAATAAAAAAATAAAAATACACATTTAAAGTATTAATGTCTCGAAAGTCACGATTTAAAAAAAAAATAGTTGATGATGGGTGAACCCAGAGGTGCTCCACTAGGATCGGATCTAGTAGTGATGGCGGGTAGTTTTGGCAACATCCACGTGTGGGGCGATAGAATATATAATACCAATCGGACAAAACGACTGGATCCAAAAAAGAGACGTTGTTATTTTCCGGATGAACAGCCCACCGGAATGGGCACCAATTATTATCTGCGAAGAAATTGCAAGAGTGCGTGTTACATGAACCACGTCGTGCAACACTGTGGATGTTATTTAGAATTTATGTTTGCCTTACAGAATATGAATCGTAAGTATACTCATAAATTACTTACCGAAGGATGGTGATAATATGTTATATCAGTCAAAAATTCTCGATGGGGTACAGTAAAAATCTGAAAAATCGGAATCTCGTCGACTAGATTACGACCATTGTCTGAGGGGGACTTTATACTCTTGGCGATGCCCTTTTACCTAGTATTTACTATTTATAGTTTTTTTTTCTATCAACAAGCGGATATAAATGTCTAACCAGAGATCGATCGATTAAGACAAAAATTGATAGGGGAAGTATAAAGTGATATAAACACAATAATCATGCAAATTCTGCTCATTATATGCTAAATATCGCAATCGGAAAAGTTTGAACAATTAAATTTTAGCCTCGGGAAAAACTGGGGAAACTTATTTTTTTCAACCCGATATTGTGATTTAGTCTGAATTAAAGTACAAGCATAGGTATATCTTTAGCTCTCTTCTAATGGTTTTTTGATATAACCTCTAAAATAAACGCAAGCAATTTTCTACGATACAAATCCAAATTCACGCTAATTACAGGCTTAATATTGGTGAAAAAATGTATATTTTTGAGAGGAAAGGCTGGGGAAATTGACTTACATTTTAGCTCAGAGCTACAATTCCCCTATCACTCTCCACTTAACCAGTTCTATTGTCGGCAACATATTGTTGGGCTACTACATTATACTAATAACCATATTTTAGACATAGTTTAAATATTTGGATGTTTAGCATATTATGTTAACGAAGTTCGAAACTCGAGATTTTTCCGAGCTCCCATACAGTACATAACGTACTTACCTAACAATGTAATAATAATGTTATAAGTAAAGACCGGATTTAATTGCATTTAAAACACACACAAATTTTATAATAAATTGCACTATAAAAATGCATAAGTTATATAAAGAAATTAGATAAATGTTCCTTTTTTAAATTAAAATTGATTATTAAATACATTTCTAAATTATTTTTATTAAAATTAAATCTTCTATTACTTAAAATATGTTTGCATAAAAAAAAAAATACGTTGTACGTCTACACTAGTTATTGGTGCATATTTAAAACAATTTAATAAAGTAGGCTTTATATCTAAATTAAAATTTGCTTTACCTGACAGACTTCATAGTAAGACTTTAAAGTTTTATACCCTTCATTTTTTTCAATTACATACATACATTTTTCATCGATTTTTTTACCATTAGAATCCGGAATATTTGTTAAAATATCTTCAATTTTTCTAAAAATATCCATGCTTTTCTGTAGTACACTATTAGATTCTTCCAAATTTTTAAGATTTATGGATAACTCGGATAAGTGTAATTTTATGAATGCTAAACCACATTTGACTGCATTATTTTGTACAAGCTGTTTCAGCTTTTCGACACTTGTAGCATCATCTGTTAAACTTTCAATCAGGTTTTTAAACTTTTCAAATTTCTTTGCATAAAAAAGTGCAGCATTTAACCATGTTCCCCATCTTGTAATAATAGATTCGGGTAGTAAAGGTATACCCGGCATTTCTTTTTTATATTTATTTATTTTCGATGGTGCTTTTAGGAAAACTTTTTTTCCTGAAGTGACATATGTATTTAAATTTTAAATAGGTACTTAATATATTACCATTGTTAATCAATTTATTAATGTCGGGATACAATTCTCGAATTTTTTCTAGAACTCTTATTAACTGCGTGCGCTATACATGAAATATGAATTAATTTCGGGAAAAAAATTGTTTATGTTTTTGCTGCTTTGATCATGTAAGTACTAGCATCACTAATAAAAACTAATACTTTTTGTTCAATATCAAGAAATATTTTTAACGAGGAACTAATAAACTGACAAATAGTTTCATAATTAGTGGATTTTAATTCTTTACATGCAACTAAATATGACTTACTAGATGTCCCATCTAATTTACCAATTAATAAATTTGCAATAGCCAAACCTAAACGAAAATAGTATATTTTATTATATGAGAAATTAAAAAAATTATTTATACAAACCTATTGGATCGTTTGTTTCGTCAACAATTATGTAAACGTAATTATTTCCAATATTACTAATTATTTGGTCCATAACACTTTTATAAATATTTGGTAAGTAATGTTTTCTTAGAGGGTTTTCGTCTGGATTTGATTTGCCAGTATGTTTTTCAAAAAATGATTTTAACACATGATTGCCCAGCTTATGCAAAGGAATAATAGCAACAACAAATGCATTACATAAATCTTCAAAAAATATATTTTTAATATTCGAATTTTGAGAAATAACCAAAAGCTGTTTTTTTTTCTTTATTCCTTTGCAATGCATTTATGTGTTGAACCAAAAAAATATACATGTATTTTCGAAATAATATGTAGTATATTGCGTATATTATGAGCATAACATACAAAACTTACTTGTTTTGGAATGATGACCTAAAAGATATTTTTTTTCAGTAGACACTAATTTGTTACATACGAGACAATATATAACCTTTCCATCTAATGAAAATACTTCTTTATTTTCATTGTAAGGAGCAACCCAATTCGAAATTTTACTTTTTAAAGTTGATTTTATTTTAGGCATTACGTCGAATACGTTCACTGTGCGGTTAAACTAATCAAAGAAATAGGTACTAAGGTACCAACAGGTAAACGCACACGAATCGTTGTACTAATATGCATTGAATTTAATTACCACCTCATATATATAGACGCTTATCGCTCGCTGGACTCTCCAAGCTTCTAGAAAATTCCAGACGAACGATAAACGCCTATGATTTAAAAACGTGGGAAAATTGCAAAAAATTGCATTTTAAAATTAAATGGGCACAATATTTTTAGTATATATCGGCTATATATTTAATCAGATCTGATTTATCTTTATTGCAAAAAAAGTTGCAATATCAATTAAATCCGGCCTTTAGTTATAAGTTATAACAGTTAAAATAATTTTCTAGTAAGACACATTAGGTGAATATCAAATTTTTTTTTGTTCATCTGCTTTTAGGAAATTATTCGTTAAGGCCGTGTAACGTGGAAGATTTGGTTTGCTTGTACAAGAAAAACTGTAAGTGTTGACTAAATGTAAAAAAAAAACATAAATAAAAACCCTTACGCACATATTTTTATGGACGTGATTCGTACTTTTTACCTGCGAAAACTTAACCAGATCGCGCCCCTTTTACCTTTTCACTTTATAGAAAACACACGGAATTTCACACAAAACAAATAAGAAAATCACAATTTAAATGTTCAAATTTGTTTGATACATGAAAATATAATACACTGGTGTAGCGAGTAGGGTCACAGGGTATGCTACTGCATACCCTGAACCATTGATTAAATGCACCATAAGTGCTATTTGGGGAAGTGGCAGGGTATTTTAGCACCCATATTTTCTCTGTTTTATAATTGGCCTGCCATAAAATATACAAATGCATCAACAAGGCCGTAGCCAACGGTGTCGAAAATCAAAAAAATATACAAAATAATAAAACCAATAGCCCACTCACTAATCTAAAACCCATATGGTACCTACCTACCTACCTACCTATCAGTGACGAGGCGCAAGTCTTTAGTGTGATGATATTAAATGTACAAATATTTTATTCTATTAAATAAATATAATAAAACTAAATTATTTAATCGTATTTTATTCGTATTCAATGACGCATCGTCATTGCCAGGTGCATGGTTGCACACGGTTGTAAAAATATATATTCGCGTTTTATACCTATAATTATAGCATACTTCAATAATTTCATACCAACCGAGCAAACTTCATCGGCGTTTTTCACAAATGAACCGCCCGGACTAAAATGCGACTGTATGCCCGATTGCATCCACCAAATGTATATATCAGAGCTGACCATCGCCGAGCCGATCATCTCGTCAACACTGTAGGTCAAACGCAAATCACCGAAAAAAAAAATCAGAATGTATCAAATAAAAATATATGTCAATATTTTGATTTTTAGAAACTCGTCGACGGCCATACTGATTGACGTGCATTTTAGACAGAGTACGTGCATACTGTACAGATCTGATTTGGTTTTTGGATGGCTAGATTTGTTGGGTACGGCACATACCTTTTTGTTTCTGGCAGCTTCTCGTGTGAAAATATGTATTTATTTATATTTTCCATTTGTTTACAGTGTCATTCGGTGGTTGTGCTGGTCTGTTTCTCGGTGGTTCGTTATTGAGTTTTATCGAAATCATTTATTTTCTGACGTGGAGGGTTTTCTATCATTGGCGAAAAACACAGAAAACGTCAGTTCCCCGCACAGCAATGATAGAAAAACAACGTGGAAATGTGACGACGGAATTAGTCGACGGTCAAACTTTCATCACTTATATCTAAAAAAAAAAAATAATAATAACATAAATTTCATATAGTATATTACATTATGTAGTTGCCTATTACCTATATAATAGAACAAATTTGTTCTAATATTTCTGTACGTTTTCATAATAGTTATAAAAGGTGAATATTTTTTTAAAAATATTTTGAAATCTTTTGAATGTATAAATTAAATAATATATACCATGATACAAAACGAAACTCATGCAAAATTTTTTGGATCTCATCTTCCCACTCTTATCAAAAATAAATATGCATGTTCTATTCCAATGGCATGTCGAAATTATTTCTCTGTAAGTCTAACTCATTCAAAATTGGTAGGTAGATTGTCAATGGTCAGAGACATAAGTGTAGTAATACAAAAAATAAAGAAAAGAAAAAAATTAGTAAATTACATAAATTTATGTTAAAAATTGGGTCACTATGTAGCGACACAAAATTGTAATGGATTTTTATCAGTTATAAATCCTCTCTTTATTTGTGGTAACCAAAGGTGCCGAAAATTGGTTTTGATAAATAATCAATTGACAATTATTTGAAATAAACTTTGACTGTTATTTATTTTAATTGAAAGCAGGTAATATTGAATTATGATTATACATTAAATTAAACGTATTTAGGCTCTCATTACTCAAAAGGGACTTGGCACTGGCCAGAGGGAGCTTAGCCTCATTTAGTCCCTCAAATTGCGCCTATACAAATAATACAAAATTATTTATTCTAGTTTCATCTATACTTGATGCTAATCGTTTTCAATCAGATTTAAATTATTTTGTTAACTGGTATGATAAAAACGATTTGAATCTCAATATTAATAAATGCTCCTCCATATCGTTTATATTAAAATGATCCTTTATAGTTTATACGGTTCGATTTTTTATTAAAGAACTCGCCTCTATGGAGGCTCAATTCAATAGAAGACTTAGGAATAACTTTAGATTATAAACTTACTATNATGTAACATTGAGGGTATAAACTCAAATAAGGAAGAACTGCTTGCTGACTTATGTAAAGAATATTCATGTGACGTGTTATGTGTGCAAGAAACACATAGGAGTGAAAATATGAATAATCCAAGAATCAATGGGATGAAGCTCGTTGCAATACGCCCACACAGGAAGTATGGAAGCGCTATATTTGTTCGTTCCTCAATTGATGTAACGACAAGCCAAATAACAGAGATAGACGACATTGAGATTCTCACTATAGAAGTTGGAAAATGCACTGTGACCTCTATCTACAAACCTCCTAATTCAACATTTGCATTCGAGAAACCAGTTAATTTCGACACTAAAAATATTCACATTATCATAGGAGATTTTAATAGCCACCATACCAACTGGGGTTACGACGAAACAGATAATAATGGCGATAAAGTTGAAGTTTGGGCAGAGTCCAACAGGTTAACACTAATCCATGACCCAAAACTACCACCATCATTCAACAGTGGTAGATGGAAAAAGGGTTATAACCCCGATATAATATTTGTAAGCGATATGATAGCTCCCCAATGTACAAAGGAAATCGGAAGACCCATACCACACACGCAGCATCGACCCATATTGTGCAAAGTTACGGCAGTGATTAAACCATGTGACACCCCATTTTTGAGGAGATATAACTTTCAAAAAGCAGATTGGTACACCTTTACTAAAGCTCTGGATGATGCGGTAACCGCACTGGAACCAGTAAACGAGAACTATGAACCTTTTACAAAGTTAGTAAAAACTATCTCCAGAAAAAATATACCAAGAGGTTGCCGAATAAAGCATATTCCAGGGTTAACACCTGAATTAATAGAAACATTAGAACAATACACCGATAAATATGAGGACGACCCATTCGATGAGGATACGATAGAAAAGGGAGAAGAACTAATGAATCTACTAACTGAGGCGAAAAGGAAACGTTGGTGTGACCTACTAACAGAAGTAGATATGAAAAGGAGTAGTAAGAAAGCATGGAACCTCATTAAGCGCTTAGACAGTAATCCAAGAGAAAAACCAAAGGTACCATTAATAACACCAAACCAAATTGCACACCATCTTCTAACGAACGTAAAAATAAAATGACAAAACCCAGACCTTTTAAACCGAGGATTATACAAACGGAAAACAATGAAACGCATGAACTTGGAAACCCGATCCTACTCACAGAACTTGATGATGCTATAGAGACACTAAAGAATGCGAAAGCGGCCGGGTTAGATAACATGTTCTCAGAACAGATAAAACACTTTGGAAAAACCACAAGACTATGGCTGTTAAGTCTTTTTAATAATATCAGAAGTACCTTAAAGATCCCGAAGATCTGGAGGAAGGCGAAAGTAATAGCTCTGCTGAAACCAGGTAAGGAACCTGATACTCCATCTAGCTACCGGCCAGTCTCTCTATTATGTCACACATACAAATTATTCGAAAGAATTCTTCTAAACAGACTATGCCCTGCCATTGATGACCAACTCATAAAGGAACAAGCGGGTTTCCGGCCGGGGAAATCATGTACAGGGCAAATATTAAACCTAACCCAATATATTGAAAATGGTTTCGAAGAGAAGAAAGTTACCGGGATATCCTTTATCGATCTGTCGTCCGCGTACGACACGGTTAACCATGGCTTATTGCTCTCTAAAGTATATCAGATAACCAGAGACTACAAATTTACGCAAATCATTCAAACATTACTGAGTAACCGAAGATTTTTTGTAACACTAGCCGGGAAAAACAGTAGATGGAGAAATATAAGAAATGGGCTACCACAGGGAAGCGTTTTGGCCCCCACGCTTTTTAATATCTACACCAATGATCAACCCATATCTACGGATAACAACATAAAACATGTATATGCAGATGATTCGGCAATTGCTGTACAAGAAGATAGTTTTGAAGCAGTGGAAACAAAACTTTCTAAAACACTGGACCGTTTAGGAAACTACTATAGGGCAAATTATCTGAAGCCAAATCCTAGCAAAACCAATGTAAGTGCTTTCCACTTGAGAAACAAGCAGGCCAACAGAAAACTGGTAGTGAAATGGGAAGACGTAGAACTAACTCATTGTGGTACACCCACATATCTACGCGTGACATTGGATAGAGCACTAACATACAAGACCCATTGCGAAAAAACGAGTAAGAAAATCAATACCCGGAATGGTCTGATACGGAAATTAACGGGATCAGCATGGGGGGCACAACCACATGCGTTACGGGTTTCAGCGTTGGCACTATGCTACTCAGTAGGGGAGTATGCATGCCCGGTCTGGAGAAGCTCTACCCACGCGAAGAAAATAGATATCGCCTTAAATACAACATGTCGACTAATCACAGGATGCCTAAGAAATACACCAATGGACAAAGTTTACCTACTAGCAGGTATCCCTCCACCACCAGTTCGACGTCTGATATCCTCTAAAATTGAACGCGGTAAACAAAAAAGAGACACGAGGCACCCTATGTATGGCCAAAATGACCCCACTTCTCGTCTGAAATCAAGAAAGTCTTTCCTAAAGATAACTGAAGAGCTAACGGAAACACCTTTATTAAGCAGGTTAAATGAGTGGAAAAAACTGATCACGGACACCAACGGTAAAAGATGGTTGGAACCAGCAGAAAGATTACCTCCTGGTAACAACCTAGACTGGCCGGTATGGAAGACACTGAACAGACTGCGTGTTGGTGTAGGACGGACAAAAGAAAATATGAGAAAATGGGGATATGGAGAGCAAGACATAACTTGCATATGTGGACAAGAGCAGACAACGTCACACCTACTTGTCTGCCCAAGAGGGCCAAGCCCATGTACACAAGAGGACCTTATGATAAGCAACAAGAGGGCGGTAAATACAGCCATATACTGGACAAAAGAAAAGATATAATTAGTATGCAATACTTGTTACCATTATATTAGTGTGTTATTATTATTTATATTTTACATATTTTACTNTTAATTATATGATGCCTGACACGAAAAAAAAAAAAATAAACTTACTTTTAAATTGCATATAACAATTATTAAATCTAAGCGTTATCCAATTTAAATTGTATACAAATAAGCTACCACGATTTATCTTGCCCAATTGCCATTGAATCAGTCAATTATTCATTGGTAAGCTCTTATCTAGTTCAATTATCTGGTACAATGGATTGATTTCTCATAATTATAAAGTGTAATCTGTGAAAAATAATTGTTTTCGTTATATGTCGAATACATTTTATATAAATTTTACATAACTTACTATATTATATACCAAGAGGACAATTATTTACATTTATTAAGGTTTGAATTAGAAATTTTAATACCTATTTAGAGTAGCCATTTATAATAATTAATAAAATAATAATCATGTAAACAATATAAATATCTTAGTTGACGATTTATTTACTCATTATGGATTCCAAGTAGAATTGCATCCATTTTAATAAAATAATTATTGTTAGGTAGGTATACAAATTGTAAATAAAATATTATGCTAAATGTATTCAGTGCTCGTATTGGAAAAATATGAAAGAGGGGACTCAAATACTTTGAAAAAATTAGTGTCCTTTGGTATAGGTCCTTTGATCCTTAGGTGGGTATTATAAAATAGGTATTATTATATACGACATTCTAATATTATATTATAAATTACATAATTTAATTCAAACACGAAATACATAAAATTAGATTCAAAAAAAAAAAAAAATGATAAACAACACATGAAAGTATGAAACACGAACAATTATTATTTTAACTGATAATACTATATTTATTACTAGATACTATTAGATGTAAGATTTCTTGTTGAAAATTGGTTAAAATTTAAATTATTATTAATCTTTTTATGTATTATTAATAATAATAATAATAAAGCTCTTGGGAAAGGGGGCGATTGCTAGTATCCCTTCTTTAAATTTGCTGCTATTATACTTTACAATTTTTTTTTAAGAGATTCCAACCATGACTTACATTTCTGGGATGTTCTTTCAGATATTCAAATTTAGTTACAAAATTAACATTATGAATATGAATTTATTAACTCTGTGATATAGTGATAATTTAATTAGTATAATACAATCTTAAATTATTTTTTCCTCTTCAGTTCAAACACTGCAGACAGTTGGTAGTTTAGTTACGTGCTATTAGTTAATAAAAACGGTACCTAGACAATTTGTGTACCTAATAAAATAGGTGTTATAATTTGTTTGTAAAAAAAAATAGCTTTTAAAGTAATTGTTTATTTTATCTTATGTAGAATGTAGATAATTATATATACCTACTTTATGGAAACTAGTATTTTTTGAATTTGTATTAAATTATTATTAATATGTATTATTCAAAGATTGGACCACCTCTCAATTGAAATTAGGTACGATTAGAAAACCGTTGATGTAAATTCTGTATAAATTACTGCTTATAAAAGTTCATGCACCATATTAATTATAAAGACGTAAACTACAAGGATAATAATTTACTATATTTCTGGTTATCTTGACCTCTATAAAAGCAATATTATTTATTAACTGAGTGTCAATTTGTCAACGAAGACAAAAAACAATAATTTCAAGTTTTGTACTTTATTATTCGTTTAAAAGCTATTGTATGCTACCCTAATATTTAATTTTCTACATCTAATTCCACATCTCATTTCTACATTTTAAGCTGTAATCAATCAAAACTAACGGGTTTGAATTTGATATTATATCGACTTGATAAACTAATATTGTTGATTACTAGTATTTTTAAGATTCCCCGAAAATGATGTTCAACGGATATTGATAGTTGTACAACTCATACAAGGTATGAAAAACCCACACAATTGTAAAACTAATAGCTTCGACATATTCAGAATCCAAAACATAGGTTTACACTTGTTCAGTAAGTAAACATGACTACCCTAACCTTATATCGTATCTCAAAAGACGCGTGTAGGACACATTTTGTCTTTTTATTGATTTATGGGTTACTTTGACTATAAATAGAGAAAAGACACGGAAAATACACGTGATCGATCTAAGATTGTAAGACACTCATTATCTCGGAAAGTATTACCTTTTTTCAGAATATGATTTGCTTACGTTCACCTCAGTTCGACCGTGCTTGCGTTTATGTGTAAACGCGGCTTTAGGTACATAAAGGCGCGTTCGACCGTTTTTCGCTTGCCATCAGTTCGCAGTGTCGCGTCGCCGTGTACGGTTCAGACTTTGTATAAGTAGTAATTATTATTGCACACGTTGTTCAGTCCGTAGTCCATTCGTGTTTAATAACATGATAATATTATATTATTATAATAATACTCTACATAGTTGTAACATAATATTTAGTGCATCATTTTAAATGAAAAAAAAACCACCTCATCTGGTACGTCAGTATGTTTTACGGGCGCGCTGCTGTATTGTCGTGAATTCGTGCATCATACTAACCTTTGCGAACGAAAAATATTTCGATGATTATATACAATTTTTCCCGTTTTAAATTTTAAAATATTATTACTTATATGTTGAATAGTAATTATTATTATGATACTGTAGTACTATACTTTTTCTAGAAAAAATTCCAGTTACATACACTTGTACGCGATAGAACAAACTGTAAACTTGATGACGCAGCAAATAAATATTACATTATTACAATAGCTTTACTGGCTGAAAAAAACCGAGCAATATGCGTTGTATACCAGACCTGGATATAGTTTTTAATCGCGCAATTATTGTGCTAAAGACTCGCATCGTATGTTTCACAATAATAATATTATTATCATCATCATTATCCAACAGTTTTAGCAGTAAGTATCACATCGGCATAAATGAATTTAACATATTATGTACTTAACTACTCAACGAAACAGGGGCGTGATACGGTGAGGGATACGGGAGATAGATCCCCCCATGAGCCGTATTTATATAGTATATTGTTATTTTATACAAATTAAAAGTTCAAATATAAATGTTCAAACCAATTGGGTATTAAATCAAAAAAAGACGTCCTAGAATAATGGGGACGGGTGAAATCACTGTTATAGATAATTTATTGTATACCTTCAAGCAACGATAAACCATTGCTTACGAAAAAACGATCCTGAGCGGAGTTCAGTTGATAATGATGCTTTGTCAACAATATATATATATCATATTATGGTATAATAATTAAATAGGAATTATATATTATCTTTAATAATATTTGTTTAGTGTACCGATTTTTCCGTTTTTCCTACGTTTTTCTTGATTTTCCCATATTTTTTCCTGGTTTTTCACATTTGCTGGGAAAACTCTTGAGAAAATCGAAAAATAACTCCCAAAGTACCACCCTTTCAGAAAAAAGTCTACATCGTATGCATTTGAATAAGTTATGTGGTAGAATCGTATAATTGTATAATTTAAAAAAAATCTAAAAATGAATTTATAAAAAAAGTTAAAATAAAAAAAAAATTGTATTAATAAAATATTTTAATTTGCATATTTTCCAATTTTACGTGCTATTTTATATCGCTTATTGTGATGTTCTTAAGTGCATATTAAAGCGCTAAAACTTTAATATATTAGTGCTATAACTTCCTAGCCCTGGTAATGATTTATTAAATGTTAATAAGGGGGGGAGGTCGTGTGAGGTTAGCCTCTCAAGAGATCGCTGTGAAGATTTATTTTGATATCTCCCCCTTAAAATATTCTTAATTACGTCACTGTAACAAAATCAAAATGATATGTTTACGTTATGATTAATATTATTATATTTTAATACAGTAGAATCTGCTTAATGGGGACAAATTGGCTGAGTCCCGAATGAAAGTACTCGTTTTAGGCAATTTAACTTCGTTATTATTGGAGACGTTATTTTTAAAATATTTATTAGCTCCAGTCCGATCAGATTTCATTGTTTAAATCATTAATTCAGTCCGATCTATCAAGTTTTAATTTCTCTTGTTTGGTCCGGTTCAAGCTTTGCAAAAACAAAACGTATCAAGTTGTATATAGAGCTAAATTATACTACTACAAGTAAATGCATAATAATCCCCAGTCCTAGATTAAAAGGGGCAGGGTGTGCCACAATCTTGGATCTCACGAAAAATAGCGGTCCACAAAGACCATATTATGAGTTAAATCAAATATTTGAAAAGCTTTTAGATTGTGAACAATTTTTTTACCAGAAATCTTACTCCAATGTATGGAGTGTAACATCTTTTCTGAAATGTAATTTTGTCTATTTAATGCATTAGGTAGGCAATTACATTTTTAAGGGGTTTTCAAAATAAGTGGGAAAAATCCGAAAAATAATTATAAGTAAAACATCAAATATTTACGGCACGCCTCGGTATTTCCGATTTTATTGTTTTTAATTTTTAAAAACTATGTTTTCTACCAGAAATATTATTCCATTAGAAAAATGACAAATAATCTTTTTTGTTGGATTTTTAATTTATAGTTGGTGAAGAATATCGTTTTTTGGTTTTATTTGTAGTTTTTTGAAAAATTGAGCAAAATCGGAAAATACATATATAGAAGGTACGGGAAAATTTACGAAAATAATTAGGTATTTTATGATTTAAAATTTAAGTTTTTTCTAATTTAATTTAGTTTAAAATATTTATAGGTACTTAAAATTTTGACTGGAAACTTAAATTTGCTTTTTATAGACGTGATAAAATTTTCAAAATATTTGAGCCATTTTTAATTTATTGAGTTTTTACGTAATTTGTATTCGGTAAGTACTCTGTGGATAAAATTGTAAGACGAAACAGAAATGCTTGAAAATTTGACAGAAGGTTCATTTTAATTCATATTTAGTGGTAAAAAAAATAAGTTTAATGTAGTATTTTTATTTTTATAAAAGTTTTAAAATCAAATTTTAACGAAAATCGTAAATATTTCAAAACCTAATTGAACCTCGCTTTTCATTAGCAAAGGTTTATCGTTAGTTATAGGGCAGGCATAAATTAAATAATTTTATGTATCCCACTTTCTTAACTATTCACCTATAAAAATGGCTGCACCCGTTCCTAGTATCAGCTCTTTTTTTTTGTTTGCTTATATTTGCTCGTATCGACATAGCTATAACCATTAGGCGACGAAAACCAATTTGTAATAATACTGAAATTCAAATATTGTATTAATAATGTACTTTCCTATAGTTTTACTGAATTTGTTTTCCATGTGTATTAAATCCATATATTTATAACATATATATATATAATTATAAGGTAGTGGTACTAGTTACATAAAACGCAGTAAAATAGTTTTAATGAAAACTAATGATATTACCTTCACCAGACGTTTCGTGTTTGTATATAATATTATAGCTAGTCCGGAATATTTGGGATGTTTTTTATACGACGATTTAAATACTTCAAACGGAATACAAATGGCATCGTCGACACCGGAGACGTGTTCAGCCGAATGTTTTGCAAAAAATTACACTTATGCAGAATTCAATAACGAATCGTAAGTATACGCCAATATATATACATTATACACACCTGTATAATATATAATTACTAATTAGATAAACAAAGTATTCTCAATAAATATTATAATATTATAAAAATAAATTTAGATTTTGTCGCTGTACCAACAATTACATGTCTAAATTGATGAAGGAAACGGACGATTACTGTAGTAATTCCCTTACATGTACTAGAGGCATCAAGTCAAACAAATGTCGAATGTTCATTAAATCGTTAAAAGTCCATAATACGGGTAGTTATCTATTTAATTGAAATCGAAAAAATTCTAAATTATTATAATATACTATTTGTAATATTGTGTAATAAGTCGAAGAGAGCTATCCTCAAGCCATCTATTTGGGATGTTATAAAGAAAATAAATTTGATGATCGAAATCGTTTGTTAAAAGTTCCCTACAAAGGCTTCCCAGACAATACACCGCAAAAATGTTCTGAAGAATGTTTTAAAATTGGATTTTTATATTCTGGAACGACATACGGAAAAGACTCGGATAAAGGGTATGTACTTACTACATATGTTTAAAATAATACTATATAAACAATATAATATAGGATGTCCCACAGAAATCTGACAAATGCAATGCTTTTTTTTATGTTTAATATTTTTAGGTTTATGTCTTGTAATAATTATTACTAAAGCGTAACCTTACGTTATGGTTCTTTAATTTTATATTTTTTAATAATTAAATAATACTAGGTATCCTCAACTTCCTACCCACAACTTTGGCACACCCGTCGGTAGTGACTATTCTATTTTGATTAACAAAGAATAAATATATGATTACAAAAAGTTTTTAATCAAGTCAATTTGTATTAAAATAATTAGGTATTTTATGGACAAATCGACTGTAACATGAAATTTGTTAGACCCTGTATAATATACAGTCTTAAAATGTTTCTTTAATAAAATACACTAATAAAAATATAATAACACGACGATTGTCATTTGATATTATGTTACTACTAAATTTTGGTTAGGTATAATAGGTTTTTATAATAAAATTTTATAAAAACGGCTATTATAAGTAATAATATATTTAATATTATGTCATAAATCGTAATCAATTCCAAGTTAGTTGGCACAAAACAAAATATATATATATATATATAAATAAAAAACAATAATATAGTTTCATTCTCTAATGAAAATAGATATCAATATTGTATTCTAATAAACACGACAAACAAGGTCACAGAGTCAATAATCGATATTATAATGGAAAATATACTATTATACTTACATTTGACTTTGTTTTAACTTTAAATGTAATTATAATATGAATTATATAATAAATATATAAATATTTAAGCTATTTTTTTCATATGTGTCATTTACTCGAATATATAAAATGGTCACCATTTGATAGTGATAAATTGAGTTAGCCACTTTCTTAGTATATGCAGGACTGGATTAGTTCGGCGTGCGATCGAGCAAAACTCGATTGCTACCTTATTGACTTTGGGCAATTCTATTATATAGTCACAACTGGTTTTATTAGTGGAATAATGTTTATATTCTATCAGAGCAAACGCCAAATGGTTTAAGATCAATCAGTGAAATTTGAAATAATCACCGTTATCGAACGTGGTCCATATTTTAATTTATAATTTATAAAATTATAGGCCGTAGTCCTGTAGCATCGTCATTAATCAGTTGTCGAGTGGAGAAAATTATAGCGTTTTCCACATAGACTGCACCGGATGCACTAGTGCTCATTTTTATAGTGCGGGTTTTTATGTTTCACATACATGTACTCTACTAGTTTATTGCTCCGAATGCAGTGATAATAATTGCACGAGCTCCTCGAATTTGTGTGCCTTATCTTTTATTGATAAAGGTGCTTATCTTAAATATAATATAATCCTTTAAAAAAGAAAATAATTGATTGGTGATTTTAAAATTATGTTTCACTCACAGATATATAAAAATATTGTTTTATATATTATCTGTGGTTCCATTTGAATACTTGATTCGAATATTGATTCGACTGCATTGAACAATTTTTCGGGCAATATCAGTTGCTCGCTCTTGGTGCAACAGTACACACTTGTGGAAAACGCCATTATTATATATTTTTCGTTTACCGTTAGAAACGAGATAGAATCTTATCTTTGGATATTATATACTTTTATCATTTAATAGCTTTGACTTTTACTGATAATATTTATTAGGTACATAGTTTCATAGACTGCAGAGTATACATAGATATTATAAATAACAATAAACAAAAAAAAGTCAAAATTATCGTATTTGTAATTTAAATTTGATTTTTATTTTTTTGGTAATACTAATTACTGGTGTCTAATGCCACTTATATTAAATTTGAAATTTAATAACTTGTATGATCCAATGGATAAAACACATGTGGAGCGAAAACAGCTCGCCTTATTAATCACATTACAAACTTCAAGTCCAAAATATAGCCACTAACCTTTATTATTTCTACTTCTGAAAAATGTATGGGGAGAGGGTAGTTTTCATTCATGGTCTAAAAAATGTTTGTAAAATTATTTTCATAAGAAAAATGTTTTCATCAGTGTATGTTTTAAATAATTAAATAATAAACCAAGTACTGAACTTTTTTGAGGGGGGAGGATCATTTAATCATCAGGCTTAGTTAACTCTAATTACCCAATCCGACCCTGTATATATACTTTATAAGCGTTCTCTCTCGCTCAGTGACGTAGGTACATAACCCCCAAAAGCAAAAGTAAAACCAGTACTATAATAAGTATACTAAAATATAAACTATAGGCCAAAAAATAGGTAATCTTTGATATATTTAAATGTATTATAATATTATGTAGGCAATATTTGTCATTTATTAATATGGCAAAAATTCTTAATTCGTATATTCTGTTTATATTTTCCCACACCTTTCGGTTTAAATCGAACAGATAGTTATATGAGATCCCTGCTATTGTATTTTCGAGCTAATTTCAAAGCTCTCCAATCTTCTTTCCATACAGAGTTGAGACTAAAATATACGTTGTTTAGGTCAACAGCTGTTTTCAAAAGTGGTTTTTTTCGATTTAAGCTTTGAGGAGACTATGTCATGTGGTTTCTAAAAGTAAAGGACTTTTTCAGGGCAAATCCGAGCTAGGTATTTCGGAAATGTCCTAAATGAGTGACATTACTAATTATTTAGGTTAAACGCAGATGATTCTGTTTTTCCAGAATTCGGCCGTAGTTTCTAATTTTTGAGGTATATTTCTAAAGTTTGTAAATCATTATATAACACGTTTTTGGTTTTCAATTTACGGAGATTAAGTTAGATTAGATTGGCAGAGGAAAAAATTAACCTGATCTAAATATTTGAATTCCTATTGAAAAACTAAAATAACACTCCTGGAATAAAGTACTTATAAAAGTAATGAAAAATATAAATTTGTATCATTAGAACACAGCTAAACAGCTGTATTATAATGTAATATAGTTTATATAGATACAATTTGAATATAATATATTCATAAAGTTTAAGTTGAAATAACAAATCAACGACTTGGAAAAAAAAACAAATATATAAATAAATAACTTCGACGGATGTTCCGCAACTAGAATTGGTAATCCTCTCATCACGATCGTGGGATTAGTCCCACAGGAATCGTGTTTTGGATAAGTCGTTCGGTTTAAACATCGGAAATAATATATACAATAACCGTCCCTAGTGATGGCGGTGAAGTATTCTGTTCGTTAATTTAACCGCATTTTATTATATACATATATAAATATAAATTTCGTTATTAATTTTTTATCATTTTTCACGAATAATAGTAATAATATTATCCCTCTCTATTATTCTTCGCCCAAGGATTCTTGTTAGTAGTTTTTTTTCTTAAACTCCCACCCTGTTTTCATCCAATTTCGTCGTTGCTCATACTTCACATAAAAAGCTTATTTAAAACTTTAAAATTTAAATTAATTTATTAAAATTGATACATTTTTTCTTTCAGAAATTTTTGTTGGTGCGGTAATCAATACCCGTCAAACAAATTTAAAATAAAAGATTCGAAATGTGATTCTATTTGTACTGGTGACAAGACGAAAAATTGTGGTGGTTACTGGACTCTGAGTATCTATGCTACTGGAATCGTTGGTTAGAAATTCAACAATTTGTATTTAATATGGTGTCATTGTATTAATAATTGTGCATTTACCTTATGCATGTAGACTATCCGATTGGAAATTATGTTGGATGTTTTCATTTGGATAAGTCTAATCAATCGGCTAAGGAAATACAGGGCTTTGAGTCATCTCTTGACTCGCACAGATGTTATTATATTTGTAACGAGAGAGGGTATAGATTTTCAGAGATTGGCGAGTACGTATTCACTATAATAACCTGTTAATATCATCAATTAATATTGTTCTCTATACAAACAAATAAATAATAATACAATATAATCGTTGAGTTTAAAGCTTACAGAACATTTTTTTTAAATACAAAAATATTATATATATTCGCAGTGAATATTGCATATGTAGCGATGAAAATCCAAATGAAAACGGAGAAGAAATTGAAGAATGTAAACCGTGTGATGACGATGTTACAGTATATTGTGGCAGTGAAAACTCGGTTAGCGTCTACGAAAACGATCGGTTTGGTTAGATATTAAAATATTAAAAATGTACAAAATTCAAAATAATGTTTTTAATTATACACATAAATACATTTTCTTATATGCATGAAAAGTTACCGGAGAACTGTCCAAAAATCATTTTGGATGTTTTAAAAACAATTGGGCCTATCCAATCATGGAAGGCTGGAATATATCATATTTTTCCGCCGGATTGATGTCAGAAATGTGTGTGTCCAGTTGTTACACCCGGCGGTATCCATACGCAGCACTTGTGTCGCCGTAAGTAATATAAAGACTGATTGGCGTATATTTTACATAGTTTGCTCTCAGAAACACTACGCTCTGATAAATCACTCATTTCCGCCTCTCTAGTTGATGAAAAACATTATTGATCTAAACCTGATACTATAGTCCAAGTAATTAAGTGTCCTAAGTGTAATTTAAAAATCTAGTGGATAAAAACCATGACAACATTTTTTTTTTAAATATTTGTCTATGATCGACGAATTATTAAAACCAGACCTCATTCGTTTTGTTAAATCCATTGGGACACCATTGGAATGCAAGTTGACTTCATTGTAAAATACCTATTCGTACTCAGCTTAGTGGTTCTGAGGATACAAACATTTTTAAAATACTTGGCCGGTCCACATAAAATTTAACAATAACGTTTAACACGTGCCTGAATCAAAAGTTAGGTTTTCAAGCGTCACACACGGCGGACCCGATCACCAACCCGCCGACCCACCGTACACATTGTATTATTTGTATTGAGTGCATTTGATTTTATTTCTGTATGTGTATTTATGTAGTGTGATGACTGATGAGTTTCGCGTGTCCACTGTCCGTGAATGCAGTTCAATTTTTTTAAAATAATCTAACAGGACTGGAAATTGGCTGAGAGGCAGGCAGCGATTTATCCCTGCGCGCGAAACGTTCAAGAGAGTATTCGCCCCTTTTTGTTATGCCATATATGTTCGCTGATAGATACTTCTTTCATTTAATTAGTCAGTATCATAAGGGATTAGAAAAGAAATAGTAAATAAGTGATCATATATATATTTTATAAATGATTGTGTCTGAAGGACGTGGGGGGAACACCGCATAGAGTGTATCATGTATCCTGTATAGTGTTTGTATCTCAGGGTGTGAAATCCTGAATTCCAATACTGCAATCGGGTGAAACAATAAAACATGATAAACCCCGTCTAAATAGACGCATACAATTCCATTTGATACGCCGCTATATTATTGCAGACACAAAATATGGATGAGAGCACTGTGTGTACTTATACTGTTTATCCACACTGTATTATGTCCACACTATCATTATTGTTCGTGTTTTTACTGTATTTGCGTGTGCTTCGTGTTATGTTTGCATTCTGCGTGGGCACGTCTAGAGATACCGAAATATATTTTATATAAAATATGGTGTATGATAATAATATTTATACTACGGTACAAAATTATTATGGCAAACCGCAGGAACGATTGTCTGTGCAGCTTCGTGAGTCCATCGCTCGAAGCCAGAGTGGACAAAAATTATTGCAACGCCGTTTGTTCCGGTAGCTCAGAACACGTATGCGGAGATCACACTCACTACAACGTTTTCACCACTGGTTTGCGGACGTTCAGAGTCGCTGGACATTATTATACGGGTTGTTATAACAGTTCGGACAACGTTTGGGCCGTCAAAAGAATATTCACCTACGTCAATACGCCGCATTTATGCTCCGAGTATTGCGACAAATTAAATTTCCGGTTTTTCGGAATCGAAAATAGAACGCAGTGCTTGTGCGGAAATATCCTGCCAGCCAACAGTCTTAGAGTAGACGACGACAGATGTTCTGAACTTGATTATTCTTACTATTGTCCCGGGGACGTCAATAAACATTGCGGAGGACATTCGGTTACGGCAGCGTTTAAAATAGGTTAATAGACTAATTATTACAGATTTAGGGCTCGGATTTCAATGTGCTTACATTGTTTTCTAAAGCTTGCTGTACGATGCTCGTTTTGTTAAAAATTAATTTCATATATTTTTGAATGAGAATAGAATATTCTAGATTGCATTTTTTGATTTTCGAGTCATTTTCTTCATTTCTGAGGGTTTTAAATCTAAAATTTGGACTTAAAATTTTATTTTATAATTTTTTTATATTAACAGGATTTTTGTATGACTTACCAGGACTTAAGCCGGTCACATTTTAATTTAATTTTGCATTTTTTGATCATTTTTAATTTTAGTCATTTTCTAGTGTATTGTATAGATCATTTATTAAATTTGTTTACATAGCACTTTTGGGATTATAAGGGGCATACTGGCATTACATTTCCAGCCCATTACTATTATTATCGCTATATTAATTAAACATTTAACAAACTGTTTTCTTAAATATTTGTTAAATTTTTCTTATTTATATATTTAATTATTATTTTCCGTTATTAATATTAATTTAATATATATTATTAGGGACAGTTACAGACATAATTTACAATTGTTCTGAGGTTTGCGATTGTTACTTTGTACAGAAACACAATACATCCATAATCGACTGTTCGAAAAAGAAATTGATTGAATATTCCGAAATTTACTCGGTTTTCGAGAACACTCCGTCATCGATTAATATGATCCTGAAAGATAATAATTTTAAACGTTTACCAAACTTGACAAGTTTCCATAATATTATTTCGCTGGATATCAGTAATAACAGTATAACAAAATTAGATGCCAAATTTTTACCGAAAAGTTTGAAGGTAAGAAAAAATAAAGCTCTAATGTTAAACGTCTATAGTCTCAAAAAAGAAGGATTTAACTCAATCATATTTAAAAAACAAACGGACATACGAAGTGTGGCTATTAAATAACGAGACTAGGTACGAAAAAGTGTTTTATTATTAAAGTTATTCTACATTCAAATGCTCCCCTTCAATATACTCTCCTCCCCTCGCCACACACCGTTTCATTCGTTTCTTCCATTGCTCGAGGCAGTGCTGGAAGTCTGTTTTCGTAAGACCATTCAGGAGTTCCGCCGATTTTTGTTTCACCTCTTCCATCGACTCAAACCGGATTCCTTTTAAGCCAGACTTTATCTTCGGAAACAAGTAAAAGTCGCAGGGTGCCCAGTCGGGTGAGTAAGACGCGTGTTCGAGTACTGGAGTGCCTTAAGCGGCCAAATAACGTTTCACGCTTTATCCTGGTGCAAGATCCACGACTTGTTTTTCCACAATATCGACCGTTTCTTACGAACTCATTCGCGCAATGTTGCCAAAACTGTCAAATAGTAATGTTGGTTCACAGTTTGACCCTCTGGAACCCATTCAGTCATCACGATGCCGTTGATATCGAAGAAAACGGTTTTGAATTTGGATTACGACTGAATTGGATTCCGGTGCACTCTCGACCTTCAGAAAATAATTTATGCCACTCAAAAACACGCGCCCAAGATAGGAAATTCTCACTATAGGCCTCTTTTAACAACTTATAGCACTCAGTTGGAGTTTTTTTAGTTTAACGAGAAAATTTTACGTTTATCCGTTGCTCATGTTTTTCGTCACACATGGTTTCGGCACGAGAAAAAAACACGTTCGTTTCAAACCACTACTGCACAAATACTATAATAGTGACGAAAACGTATTTTGGTACGTGCATAGATAAGATATCTAGATACCCAACGCATTACTCGTTTTTTTCACTACCCATCTAGGGCGCCCTCTAGGCGAGCAGTCTCGTTATTTAATAGCCATATCTCGTACTTCGCATAGTGGGTTAGACACTGTTGAAAGTGAGAAATTGAGAAGGTAGAGGGGAATTTTAATGTATAACTGTACTCAAAGATAAATCATTGCTAACAAAAAACGATTCTGAGCGGAGTTCGATTAGACATGTTTTAAAAGGTCGTAATAGTTACAATTTTAAAATAATACATTTCGTATATTTTCCTATTTTGTCCTACGTTTTTTCCCAATTTTTCCCATTCATTAGAAAAATCCCTTGGAAAATTAAAAAATAACCTTCTTAAAATACCACCCCAGTCAGATTTACTTTCAGAAAAAGTTCCACAATTGAATATCGGAGAAAAATGTCTGATAGAAAAGTTATTCACAAAAGAAAAAATAAATATAAACTCAGAATCAAAATCTAAAATACAAAATTACAAATAATTGGAACAAACTTATGAAAATTATAGAATTATAGACAAATTTTGGCAAAACATTATGCAAGGAAATTATAAAAAACTATACGAAAATTTGACTTAAGCCAATCGGACCAAAGAAATATATAACTATTTTTTCGTTAAAAAATAAATTATATTCGAAGAAGATTTTAAATTAAATTAATAATAAAATATGTATTTATGTACTCTTATGTAACTTTTTTTTTAATTTTTAGGTTTTTTACGTAAATAATAATAAATTAAAATTCATAGATGAAAATATACGTGAATTATTACAACGTTTGGACCTTTTAAAGTTATCTGGAAACCCGTGGATTTGCGATTGTAATTCGAAGATTGACTTACTAGAGCATAAATCAAAAGTCAGTTATTTGTATCAAAAATATTTTTGAAATTCTATAAAATGGATTCATTAACTTTTTATAGATTGAAGATTTTAACAGTATTACTTGTGCGAATCCGAAATCAGGGTTTCTAACTCATATGAACGACGACGACCTTTGTAAAAATAATCAACTGAATTATTTTTATATTTCCATCGTTTGTTGTTTTGTTTTATTTTTTTTTTTTCTATCCGCTTATTTCGGCATGCATAAAACAAGCATACTGTCCATTCAAACCAATACTGCTGCAGAACAATTGTCATCGGAAACGTTTATGCAACGGATTCAATACGGTGAACTTGTAGAAGCTACTGAAAACTGGAACCCGAGTCGAATATTGGGCAAAGGCGGTTTTGGTATAGTGTATAAAGGAAATTGGAGGAACACGGACGTGGCTATCAAACGGTTTAAGACCGAGGTTGTTTATAACAGTTAAAACAATCTTTTTTCAATAATTTTATCAATTATTGTTGAAATGATAGTAAACTTGAACATATTCCACATTATTGACGTACTATCAACTATATTATGAGTATTTTATTTTACAGGGAGTAGCCGAAAAATTCGTCAATATGTTTACTCAAGACGATGATCTATTGAATCCGTGTAAAGAGATAATGTATTTGAACGTAATCAGACACGATAACATATTGCCAATGTACGGTTTTTGCTTCGATGTAAGGGAGTCGTGTATGATTTATCAGTTTATGGTGAACGGATCGCTCGAAGACCGGCTACAGCGTAAAGTATGACGATAACTTCAACTCAATTTTCATAAAAAAGTCTAAGTTAAACTCTTATTTTTTTAATCATTAAATTGAAATTGATATATTAAATTAAATTACACATTGAATGATTTTATACTGTTTCGTAAATTCAAATAATACCTATCTAATATAGAACGGAACAAGATCGTTGTCTTGGATTAAACGCGGGAATATTGCAGTAGGAATCGCTAGAGGTTTACAATTTTTGCACAACATTGAAAATCCATTGATTCACGGAGATATTAAAAGGTACAAACATACGAGTCGATTTTTAGAATTAATAATACATAATCAATTAGTAAACACACTGTATATTGTTTATTATTCTCAAGTGCTAATATTCTTTTGGACTCAAATTTTGAGCCGCGAATAGGAGATTTCGGGCTTGCCAGAACTGGTTCGACAGAAGGAAGTTTTGACGTTAGTCACGTATGCGGTACAAAACCGTATCTTCCTGATGATTTTTTTGTAAACAAAAAGTTGTCGTCCAAAATTGATACATATAGTTTCGGCGTGGTAAATATAACAGTGTATTAGTATTATAATAGGTATTTCTGCAATTAAAATCCATAGATAAACTCGGCAAGACTGGTTCAGGTAAAGAACACAACACAGAAAAGAGTGTACAATCCAAAGTTTATACATATTTAATAGAAATATAATATTTAAACAGAAATGAGCTGAAATTTTAGTATGAAGCGTCGCTGAAAGGACTGCACTATTACTTATGGCTCTTTTCTATACTATCTATAGAATCCAAGTTAAATATTATATTAACGAAAAATGTTATTTTTACAGGTATTATTCGAAATTGCTACCGGCCTTAGAGCGTTTTACAGGTATCAAAATAACAAATATCTGGTAAGTAAATTTTTGGTTTAACTTTAAAAAAAATACATGATTTGATTTTAGAATTATTTACACGTTTATTAATACGCTTGAAATTGTATAATATGTTAATGATCAGAAAGATTATGTGAACGAAATAGAAGAGTCTTGGCTGTCTGATATCGCTGATAAAACTGCAGGACAAGATTCTTTTCATGTTTTTGATAAACTCATAGGTTTTGGAAAAAAATGTGTGACTGATAAACCAGAAAACCGTCCGGAAATGAACGTGGTTTACACGAATTTGCAAAACGTCATGCCGTCGAAAACATATTCACCGAAGTATAAAGGTACGTTCGATATTGTTTGTCAATAAAATCGATATAATATAATACACTATTTTATATATTTTATATATATATACTATATTACCTATTCGTAATCCATATAACAGATGACACTGCCCCCCAAACGCCATATCGCCCCCTCAACCGTACACACGGCCACTCCACAAACCGCCCAAACCTGAGAAATTAGCCCGTTTTAAGTCTAGCGAAAATAGAGTCAGAAATCAGGTACCAAGTAGCTCAGTGATAGAGCAACGGATTGGCAAGTGACTCGGATTCGATTCGAAATCCAGCCGTTTGATTTTTAACACTATTTTCCGGACATTACAGCTAGCAATCAAATAATCTAATGTAATCTTTGTTTTGCTTTTAATACTTATTTTAGTTGAAGAAAACATCGAGAACACTATCGGACAGTTACAAGTGCGTTGTATTTATTTGATAATTCGTATCTAGTTAGAATAAAAAATATTATTTTTAGGTATCTAATTTATTATACAATTTATTATATTCGTATATCAATATACAGATATTTGAGAAAAGCTGGGGAGTTAGCACCCCCAGAATCATTCGAAACTTCTCCCAAAATTGGTATTTCATATAGTTATCAAGATTATTCTGTCCTCCTCCTTCTCCCCACAAAAAAAGGCACAATATCTCTATTTATATAAACCGGGTGAAATATTGGACGTGATATTTTTATGAAATTCAATAATAAATTATATTACAATTTAATTGATAAATACAGTGGTAGATTTGAGTAAGGGGACGTGGCGATCGCTACCCCTTTAACTCTTTTTTTAAATATTTACATCCCTCCTAAAATTAATATTATTTTTACTTTTTTTATTTTTATTAAAGGAAACCAATGAAAACGTACAAAAGAATGGAAATGAAAATTTATCGAAATTTAAAAAAATAAAGAATACCCTTTTAGCGCCACTCCACGAGATTCCATCGATTTCATCATTGTATTCAGATTCTGCAATACACGAAATCGATCCTCGCCAGGTCACCACGGCTGTGCAAAAACCTGAGAGTGACGAACATATTATGACAGTATTATCTATTACCTATACGAATTTATAGATTTTATACAATGTAAACAGGGCCGTCCTTATGATTTACCAGACCCAGGGCAAAATTGTAAATACTTTCATTTTATATTCTGAGTGTGGTGAAAAATGTATTAATTTTTCTAAGATGTTTTTATTTTTTTTTTTATTCTGTATACTAAAATTCGACCATAAATCTTGCTCAGATACATACACGCGGCACCATTTCTGAAAGGGAATGTTTTCCGGGTGGTACTTTTGGGAGGTAATTTTTTGATTTTCCAAGCGGCTTTTCTAATATGTGGGAAAACCCAGGATAAAACGTATGAAAAACGGGAAATTGACGAAAATAATGCTTTTATTATTTTTCAATTTTGTTATTTATTGTAAGTCAGTTAAAAATATTCGTAAAGATCTGAAATTTGAACAGAAATTTATATTTTACGTGGTAAAATTGTCGAATCATTTGAGCCATTTTTAAGCTTTTTATAAAAATCTTTATATTTCTGTTGAAATTAAGTTAAAAATATTCGTATTGACACTATGGACTTGAAACTCATATTTACTTTTTCTAGACGTGGTAACATTTTCGAAAAATTTAAGCCATTTTTGAGTTATTTATAGAATTTTTAATTTTGCGAGTTCTGTACCTAATTTTTATTCGGTAGGTACTCTGTGGTAAAATTGTTAGACTTAGTTCAATAAATCTTATTTTTTAGTGAAAAAAAAAAATAAGTTTAATGTAGTTTTGTTTTTATAAAGGAATTTTGATACTACATTTTGACGAAAAATTTTTAAGTAAAAAATTATGTGGAACAAATCTAACTTATCAATTTTTTTTTTTCGAACATATATGTATTCCCGATTTAAGAAAGATGGTGAAATCAGAATTGAGCGGACTGACTAAGTTTCGAAATTATAACTTTTTAAAGTTCAGATATTATACAGATATTACATGTTTATATTAAATAACTCTATACTGACTTCTTTACTATACGTTTGTTGTAGTCGAATGTCATAAATACGTAGTATCATAATAGGAGTCGCGGGTGTGACCCCGAGGTTTAAAAAAAGAAACTGTTTGCAATTTTTTTCCCTTTTATCTAAATAGGGAGTAAACAGATGCATTTTAAGTGTACCTAGAGTCCCAAGCCATCGCTCGCTTGGACTATTTTAATCGCAAAATACCCCTAGATTTGTTGTGCAAACTTTTCTACCGGAAATCTTGCTCCGATATATCAAGTGTAGCTTATTTTTTTAAAGGAAATTGTATCTCCATAGTAATTTAGGGAGGTCAATTTTTTGATTTTTCCAGTGGTTTTCGTAATATCTGGGAAAAACCGGGATAAAATATCAGAAAAACGAAAAATGTACAAAATGTAGGTATTAGTTGAAAAATATTTCGGCCTTCTTTTCTCCCGGAAATTTTGCTTTGATTTAGAATGATATCACTTTTTCTGAAAGGAAATCTAACTGGAAAGGTACTTTAAGAGCGTAATTTTTCGATTTTCCTAAGAGTTTTTCCAACAAATGTAAAAAACCGGAAAAAATATGAAAACATCGGTACAATATTAAACAAATATTAAAGAAAATATATAATGCTTATTTAATTATTTTACCATAATATATCATAGTTTATATTGTTGACGAAGCATCACTAACAACTGAACTACGCTCAGAATCGTTTTTTCGTTAGCAATGGTTCATCGTTGTTTACAAATATACATTAAATTACCTATAACAGTGGCTGCACCCGTCTCTATTATCCGAGGACGTCTTTTTTATTATATTATAATACGTGTCCTTTCGAACGCGAGGACCAGAGCCTGGGCTCTGCCCAGTGGCGCCGATCACTATACATACGTATTGTGGATGCAATACTTATTTGAATGGGTGATGCCGGGCAGAAGATGGTTGCCCGTAAGATAAATTACGTATACATTTTACGAGTTACAGATACCTGGATAAAAGTACATGCAATTTGTCCCGTATTTTAGTGTAACATATCCACTGTTCATTGGTACCTACCTCTTATTTCAGATTTTATTTTTATGTAATACCATTTAAAACTGACATCGGCGTCACTGACCCTGCCCCTACCCCCCTGAGGACGGCCCAGAATATACGATTGCAATAAAAATACAAGTTAAAATATTTGTAATAATTTAATCGTGTATTCCCATATTTTTTTATAGGATGGAGGATTCTTTACAACCGATTTTTAAGTCATCGTGCAAAACCGACCACCTTAATAAGCTGCATTAATCTTTGCTAATTAAATTAATAATACGCATTTTTAAAATTATCACGCTTAATTTTACGTTTGAATGTCTCGCCGAGTTAGTTGGCAAATATGAATAATGCTTTTGGTTACAATATTATCAAACCGATTTAACCGTATGGGTATTCTAATTTTATGATTATTTACTTAAATTTCTAATTGTTACAATATTATAAAATATCAAAATTAATAAAGATATTATTAATATTTTTATACTTTCGTATTATATTTTACGTCATTGGTGTTTATAAAATATAATATAGACGCCCAGTTTACATAATTTGTTGATTTTAATAGACCTTTTTTTAATAGAATTGAATGTGTTATCACTAACGTAACATACTCAATAGGGTCACATTAATAAATAAATTATAAAAAAATAAAAGACATCGTGTCACAATCATATACGGTTAGGAACTTATAGGATATTCTTACCTTTTATATATATTTTTGATACTGTGTACAAAAATTGTACCAGAAGTCTTGTTCCGTTGTATCAAGTGTAGCACTTTTTCTGAAATGGAATTTTATCTAGTTGGTAGGTAATTTAAGCAGGTAATTTCTTAATTTCTCAAGTAATTTTCATAATACTTAGGAAAAACCGGGAAAAAATTCTGAAAAAACGGAAAAATTTGTTAAAATAATATATTTTGTATTATTTTCAATTTCGTTTTTTTGCTGTTATTCAGTTCAAAATGTCCACAGCAACTTGCAATTTAGACAGAAAACTTTATTTTCCTTTTCTAAACGTAATAAAATGTTTATAATATTTTAGCCATTTTTGAGCTATTTGTAGACATTTTAATTTTACGAGATTTTACGTTAATTTTATGCTTGGTAGGTACGCTATGGTTAAAATGTTTAAATCAAACAAAAGTGCCAGGAAATTGAACAGGAGGTTAATTATAAGTTGTTACACTAAGTGATAAAAAAAAAAAATTGAGCGTTATGTACCATTTTTTTTCTTATAAGAATTTTAATATCAAATTTCGACGAAAATCGTAAATATTTCGGTCTTTTTAAACGTGTATAACCAAATTCCACTCAGAATCGTTTTTCGTTTGCAATAATTAATCATTGCATACAGATAAAGGTACAATAAATTCCCTTTTATATCCTACTTTTCCAACTTCTCACCTACAACACTGGTCCATCCACCGTGCGAATTATGTTCGTCTATTTTTCTTATTAATCAGTATACATAATTTAATTATTCACCACCAGCCCTCTACCATAGCCAAGGTTTGGAGACGCCCATAATTAGATTCATAATGTGCATTAATATGTATGATACGTTATAAATTGTCTTGACTTCTTGAGATATATTTACTTTAAAAGTAAAGCAGCCCAAATAAAATTATAAGTTACAATTAATAACAATCCTTTTCTTGATTTTATAATTCATAAATTGTGCAAAATATACAACAGATTATCAATATGAACTATGAAGGTAACAAAACGAGAGGTTCAATGATGAATTTTGATAAAACTATTTTGGAGTAGTTATAAAGCCGCCCAATGTAATATCGTAATTTACTTTTCGAACAATGTTACAGTGATGAAATGCAATTATTGCTACGACGGAGTAGTATATGTTCGGAGCAGTTGACTTTCTTAACAACGGTGTCTTCCTCTAAATAATTTGTTATCACGTTATCTAGCGGTTAGGTTAGGGTTGGTCTATAATAGTATGAGATCCATAGCTAATAAAGTAGATAATAAAGACAATTTTGTTGAAAATGTTATTTATTATTGACAATAACAAAGTATTATCATTAATTATCATGTATCTCAAACCGTGGTTTTAATGACAGACGCGTCTACGCATGCGCAATAGCTACACGTCCTCTTGATATGTTGGCGACATACTCGTTTCACATGAGGTATAGCCGTAGCTTTATGACGACGACCGGCCGACATAAAAGTGGAGGGAGTGTGCGTATCACAAAATGCATGTTTTGTTCAACTACAAATTGTAAAACACGTGTGATATCGACATACTGTTTATCTAAATATCTTTTTTTCTGTGCGTAGTGTTTAGTTAATAATGTTTTAGTATATTTTAATAATTTAGTATTAGTTTGTTCGATTAATTGTTGAAATGGGAGTCATTCAAAGAGTTGTGTATGTATTTATGTTCATTAATGTCAAACAATAATAGTAGGTAATTGTTAATTGAAATCATATCTTTTAGGAAACCGCGAACAAAACGGGGCAAGAGAATTTTACTGAAAAAACAACCAAAGATTGTGGAAAACACAAAACATTGTGTTTTCATTCCAGGCCGTAAATCATCTTTGTCCGTCAGTAATTGCATGAAAGATTTAGTAAGTATTTTATAGAACGAGATTTTTTGTTCCTAACAGCATTAATATTTTTCTAGTTAAAACTAAAAAAACCTGACGCGGTGATGTTAACACAAAAAAATGATATCTTACCGTTTGATGATGCTGTTCAAATTGAAAAATTATTACAGAAACACGATTCATCATTATTTATTTTTTCGTCACATAACAAAAAGAGACCAAACAATTTGGTACTTGGTAAGTGATAATATAATTAATAGTCTACCGCAGGTCTCTCTCACTCAGGCCACTCTGTCTACCAGAGTGAAATTTTCACTTTGTATTTAAAATTACTTGTAACAAATACTTTAACAGATGATAAATATCATAAGATAATTCTTATTATAATTAGGTAGTTTACTCCGACTTACAAACATAATTTTAAACCTTTAGAAGATATCTCTATAAACATGAAATTTTAGGATAAAAATGCTGAAGAAGTGGTAGTTGAAACCCTCTGAAGCACAAACTTAACAAAAAAACAATTTAACTCAAAATTTCATTCATATCTACTTAAAATATTAATACACTAAGCATTTATTAAAATAGGTTATTGAACTATCAATACTGTGGACTCCATTCATTTACATGTTTACAATGTGATTTATAATATATTTTACTGTTAAAATTATTTTAACGATTGTCTTATAACTAGAGACTGGATTTATATTCCCTTATAATCCACAAAAAAGCGCATTAAAAAAGAAAAAATGATAGAGGAATTCAAAAGTCCCCTTACTAATGGCTCTAACTCTTAAATAAATTTCCTAACACTACAAAATTTATTTTTAATAAAATTGTATGTATTATTAAAAAAAATTACATTTTATTAATTATTTTTGTGATGTTAGAAAATTGTATTTATAAATTAAATCCGTTAGAGGGGGCAGGACTAAACCCCTTTTACTATTTTTAAGTTTTTTTTTTTTAACGCTTTTTAACATTTGCAATTGTTTTTATGTAAATTTTAAGTACGTAAATCCGGTCTCTACTTATAGCCATAATTTACTATTTAAATGTGCAGTTAACATGTAAATGTTGAAAGTATTAAAGCTCATTGTATAAATGGTTAAAATCATCCCTTACATAAAATATTAAGCCATCTCAATAAATATGACCCTGATCATATTGTTTATTAACTTATTCATTTTTGTTTATAATGTAATCTATTTATAACAATACTACAATTATTGTATACTTTGTGTACTTATTACCTGTTAAGGCATAAAAAAATAAAATAATACTAATATTATAATTTTTTTTTTTTATTTGCAGGTCGTACTTATGATCAACATATATTAGATATGTTTGAGTTGGGTATTGAATCGTACAAAGGATGCAGTGAATTCAAAGGTTTATCTGAAATTTCCGCTGGTGTAAAACCGGTCTTAATTTTTTTGGGCGAACAATTTGACAGTGATCAGCAGCTAAAACGTCTGCGTAATCTGTTTGTTGATATGTTTCAAAGACAACCACTTAAACAAATAAGACCAAACGGTATTGAACATGTCATTTCAATCACAGCAGTCGATAATAAAATATTATTTCGTTCTTACCGGTAATTTTGATATATAAATTAATAATTTTGATAAAAAATATTTTATCTATAAATAATTTTTTTTGTCACAAAGAACTATTTTATCAAAAACCACTTTGAAAACTCCACGTGTTGAGCTCAAAGAAGTCGGGCCATCTGTTGATTTTGTAGTAAGAAGAGATCATATGGCTAGTCCTGATTTATTTAAAACTGCATGCAAAAGGCCCAATGTTAAGGTATAACTGTTTAATTTAAATTAATTTTTTATGTGTAACTTAAACCATTGTTTTTATATCCAGGGTAAAAAGATTAAAAGTGTACGTCGTGATGGTTTTGGATCCAAATTGGGACGTCTGCATATGACCAAACAAGACGTGAATTCACTTCAAACGAGAAAGATGAAAGGTTTGAAAAAGACTTTTGCCGAGAAGAAATTGAAAAGAAAGAGTGATGCCGATAAAAATGGACCAGTAGTTAAAAAACCTAAAGTTGCTCCTGCTACTCAAACTAAAAAACTAAAGAAATTCAGTAAAAAAGGAAGAAAATTAAAAGGAGGACAAGTTTAAATTAAACACTTATTTTCTTTCTATAATTTTTTGTTTAATGATTGAAATAATAATAAATCAGTATAAAAAAATTCAGCATTTAATAGTGTATATTCTAAGTAAAAAAAATAACAAAAGTAAAATGGATAAAGCACCTTTGGTGATGAGCATGATAATATGACACGCACACACACACAATGATAAATGATAATGACATAATGATAAAATGGCATATATATATCTTTGTATTCAATGGACTTTTATAAACTTATTTATATTAAAATTTTTTTTAACCTGCTTTTCTTTGAAGGGTACATCTCATTAGAGAAAAATTAATTTTTATTTTCATTTCTCAATCAAATCACTAAAAAAAAATTTACTTGATTTGTAATATTTTTAAAATAGCAATTTTATAAAACATTAGTTTCGACCATTTTGATTTTAACATTTTGAATTTATAACACAAATAAATCAAGTTATTCCTTATCATTTTACGCTGTAGTATCTTTTCACACCTTATTTCTAGAAATTTAAACAGCCTTCTTTAAAATAATATATTTGACTATATTGGTAGTTTGAAAATGTTGTAAAATGATAAATAAAAATAATAATTGTTCTATTTAAATAAATGTTCTCCTTCAAGAGAAGTAGATTGAAAAAAAGATTTATAAAAACAGCTCTAAAAAAATCGGTGGGACACCCTGTATATACAGTGTAACAACACTATTTTAACAAATGTAATACATTTTCTTCAATTAAATTTTTTTTTTTATTTGTAATAATGACTAGACCTGTACGCTATAATTTTTATGCTCTACATTAAAAATAAACAATTTTCAGATAGTTTTATTAAATTTTGTTTTTATAATCCAACAAGTGGGGCGATAAAACAAATCTACAATCTATGAGAGTAATAACTTTTTAAATTTTTTATAAAATATACTCCAAAAAAAGTTGATACTTTCCAAAATAATAAGTATATGCACTTTTTATGAATCATCTTGTATAGCTATTTTATACAGTAATTAAAAAAAAAAAAAACAGACATAAGTTTTACAATTGGTGGCTAATCTTCTAGATGAGGAGTTAGGAAGATAAGAAGGGAAATATCTACACAACAATTATTCATTGTTAATGAAAAATGATTCTGAGTATAGGTTAAACAATTTATTATAATATTTATAATAAAAAAATAATACATTGTGTAATTTTCCCATGATTCCTACGTTTTTTCTAAAATATTATGAAAACCCTGAGAAAATATAATAAAATAACCCAAAAGTATACACCACAAAAATTTCCTTTTAGAAAACGTGGTACACTTAGAAAATCGGAGCAAAATTTCTGGTAGAAAAGTTATTTATAGAAAAAAAATATCTTTGTAAGCACTTCTTGCTCTGCTCAGAATCTAAAAATGATTGATGTTTAAAACTACAATTAGATTTCTTCAATAATTTTTAAAATTTATTATAATTTTAATTAATTTCTTGCTAAGTTTACTAACAATATATGGCAGCTTATAATTAGTATGATAAGAATACTATAAAACGGTACAATATTTCATACATTTAAATATTTTATGAACTTCAAAAATAATTGATACAACCTTAGTAAAATTTATTGACCATATCATTTTCATAAAAAAAAACTTCAAAATATTTAATTGAAATAGTTATTACATTTGTTAAATAGTCCTGTTAAACTTTGTACAGACAAAATTATTTTTTAACAAATTACTTTAAATGGAACAACCATGTTGCGTATAGTTCGCAATTTAATAGAATCTGCACATTCTGAGGATACAGCTGTCCAATTATATTTACCAATGGGAAACACATCTTCTAATGGAGATTGAAAAGTGACTAATAATGATAAACAAAAACCATCGTTAGTGGCTTCTGGTCGACCACAATGTTCAATACTCAATACTCCATGGGGTTTATGTGTAGCTACGTCAGCGCCAAATATTTCCTAAAATAATAATTTCAGTATTATTAATTTTAATGTGTTATTCAATTGCATAATTACAGTCATAAATTTGCGTAAGGTTGAATGCAAATTTCGATTGTGGTTGATTTCACACATAGGTAAATGTGCTTCAGTTTTTTCAGATACTAATATGTGCAATTTATTACTGAAATAATAAGTAAATATAATTTTAGTCTATATTAAAAAATTAATTTGTAAATTGAACAACAAACTAACGTAATTTTTTGTTTGGCACAAATGAGAAGGCGTAACAAAAGTTTTTTATGAGCTTTAACAGCGGGTAAAACTCTAGGGTGCCATTGATGGCGTACGTTGTTCTTTAAATGTGTAAAATATGCTCGGCCTCGTTCTATTAGTGGTATTATATCGTTTGAACGAAGAGTTACCTACACATATAACATGATGTGGAAATTATTATTTGTCGCCATACCCAACCATCAATCTTGTTTTAACAATAGCTACCTCAGAAATATTCTTAATCCATTTGGCTTGTAAAGATTCACTGTCAGCTTGAGCAGGTGTTTTCAAATGGCCGCCTACCACAGTACCGGTCAAAACAAAACGAAACCACGCCTTAGATGCAGCTTCGACCAACAGTAATGTATCCAGTTCTATTTCTAATCCTGTTTCTTCTAAACATTCTCTCTTAACTGCCTCCTATTAAACAATACATACGTAATATTATTATTGATAACATTCTTCAATTTTCCAATTATTAATATATATACAGTAAAATCCGCTTAATTGGGACACTGCATAAAGGGGACAACCACTTAATGGGGACAAATTGGCATAGTTCCGAACGAATATATTTGTTTAAGTCAATTTAACTTCGTTTATCTGGGACAAACTATCGGTTATAAGGGACAAAAATAAAAGCGTCTAATTAGATATTCTGATCTAAATCATCTATCTACTTCTTATTGAAACTGTAATTATCTAATCTTTACAGCTCTATTATATAGGTAATGTCAATTATGTCAATCATTTATTTAATCTTTATAGCTCTATTATATAGGTAATCATTTATTTTTCTTCTACTACCACGATAAGAGTCTACTAGCTTACGTAAAAAATTGAAAAACTTTAGTTCGCGTTCTTTCGTCTCTGCATACTAACATATGTGTGTTTTTATTGATCACAGTTTGTTTTAATACGTAAGAATTATGTCTCGTAAAGATTTAACATCGATTGAAAAATATTCTAATCTGGATAAAATTAAAGCTCAACCACATTCTTCCAGTCTTCATGAGTTAGAGAAAATAATAGGCACCTTTAAATCGGTACTAAGCTGATTGAAAAATAATGAAAAAGCTATTTGTGAACAGTGGGAAAAATTAAACGACAACAAAAGTACACCTATAAACAGAAAAAGAAAGCAAGAAGGCAAAGAACCCGAAGTAGATAAAGCTATATGAACGAATGGTTTTCTGCTGTTACAGAATGTGGTGTTCGTATTTCAGGCCCTATTTTACAGCAGAAAGCTGAATTTTTTACTGAAAAATTTGAACATGGTAATTTTAAGGCCAACGAAGGTTGGATAAGTCGTTGAAAGGACCGGAATAATATTAAGTTCAAGCGATTTCCCAGAGAAAAATCAAGTGCTTATTCGGTTAATTGGGACAGTTAAGGGACAAATAGGTCACCGCCCAATGTGTCTCAATTAAGCGGATTCTACTGTATGTAACTAGGCTGTTTTGATTTTGAACATTATTTTTTTTTTTGAATTAAGACTGAACGCATCCTTGTGGTCTCAAACTCCAAAAAAAAATTGTTTAGTTCTTATACATCACATATTTAGTTTTTCTATTTAAATAACAGAAAAGTAATGATACTTTTAATTAAATCACATTTACTCATTAAGTTTGATTAAGTTAGGTGGGTTTTTTCTTAAAGATCACAAAAAATCCATAAAATTTACTTAAAACCAAGTGAAATTTTACTGTTATAAGAATAGCTCATTTGTAGAAATCTATAAAAATTCTCAGATGTTTTTTTTAATTTTGAACTCACTATAGTCTATAAAGCTGATCTATAACCAAGGACCAATAGCAAGGTCTTTTCAAAACTTACAAAATTAATCTTATTTGAAAATTTTTTAATCAAAAAGTGGCTGAGTTATACAACTTTGTAATATGTAAAAAAAAGTTATTAAAACTCAATTTGTATAGATTTCTACAAATGAGCTATTCTTATAACAGTAAAATTTCACTTAATTCCAAGTGAATCTTATGTATTTTTTTGTGATCTTTAATAAAAGTTATCTATAACCTCATAAATTCCAAACTTAATGAGTAAATGTGATTTAATTGAAAATATTGTTACTTTTCTATTATTTAAATGTAAAACTACGCAATGAGCAAGTTCTGAACATTTTTTTTATTGGGGGTAAGTTAGAGACCACAAGAAAAGCAATGTCTAGTTTTAATCTGAAAAAAAAAGTTAAAAATTAAAACAGCCTAATTTATAAATATATCATACATTGACATACGTGTATATCTTCTCCAGGTTCAACACGACCAGCGGGTAGGTACCACTGACCAGCACAACTACTCTTAGCTTCTTGCATCATTAGCACTTCGTCATCATCGTTGACCAATACTACAAGCACAATGTATGTAACTGTACTTTTTATTATTGGCACATAATCGGAAGGTCCTATGGGTGTTACACCTTTGGCCACTAAAAAAAAAATAAAATCAATGGACTACAAATACATAATATACCAAACAAAAAGACATTTAAGCTTATTTTATTTTTTTGATGACTAGGTACTTTTATTATTAATTATTTATATTTATTTTAAGTCATTCATTTTTCAAATAAGTTTAGTAAACAAATTTTCGTAACACATACATCTCCAATATAAAGATTCAAAATGTGGAATAATGATAAATTAATTAATCTGAGGTACATTTTGAAAACTATCTTTTGTATTTTTTCAATACTAGAGCCTATAACATTTTCAAACTAGCAATCTTTATAAACAGTGTACACGTTAATTTTTATAAATAATAAATAAATAAAAACATACTTGTGCCTGGACGAAATTTTTTAGCAATATATGTAAACTATAAATATTATATCTGGGTCAAATACAAGGAATGTAAATGCCCATATTACTCACCGCAAGCTTCATTTTGATCAGCCAATGTGAAGTCACACAACTCTTCGTTTTCATCTAAAGCATCACCTTTCAACAATTTCAAAACCTTTGTTTCCAACATGATGACTATTGCATTTCTTTTTGCAGATCCTAAATACAATTATTACCTATTCTATCAACCAATTTCGATATTACTATAGTAACGTTGAGCGAACGGACTACAGGATACCAGGTGTCAAATATCCTTGATGTAGTACTTATGTATTAAACTTTCTTCTGTACGAATGTACGAAGCGAAAGAGTTTCCTTTCTATACGGCGCAAAATTAAAGGAACAAGAACGAAATGATAAGTGAATAAACTAACTTTTGTTTTTGTTTACACTGTCGTGCTATCGTCATCAAATCGAATATGTGAACTAGACAGCGTCGCCACCCACTCATCATTACATTTCCCCCACAAATATTGACCTCGGGATAAATAATATTTTCGTCTGTATCGCCGTAGTTAATAGATATTTACTATCTATGTGTTATCAATTTTTAAATTAGCAGTTATATTAGTACTTTTTTTTTATAAAACACTATTATCTTTATAGCTCTTTAATAGTGGCAGTTAGTAATGCTAATTTAGTCGACAGATAGCGGTTGTAAACCGTTTGTCTGCATTGTGACCTTCTGCACTCGTCTCTCGTACACTAATTTGTAGCCACAAATAAATTCATACATCTAGGATCAATATAGACCACGGTGATTTATAACCGTGATTTAGGCCAAACATTCAACTCGATGACTGGGAGGCGTGGTCGGTTCGAAAGAATCAAAAGAGATAGATTAATATAAACTATAAAGCCTAGTATGAGAGAACAAATTTGCACTCCGAGCACATTCAATTAAAACACTCCGTCTACTATCTCATATGTTTCTGACCTCGTAATAAAACTCCTCCCACCGGAACGCGTTTTCATGCCGAACGTTCAATCTATAAAAAAATCAATGCTATATCGATAAAATCTTAGATCATATACTAATAGTACACCTATGATCTAAGCATTAAATAAACCGCTTAAGAGCAGTCCATTATATCGTATTCCGTGACAAGAGATAAAAGAATCACAGAAATATCCCTTATCAGACGTATATTTCCCTTATCAAGCCTAAGGGGGACCAACCAACCTCATTCTTCCAGTTTACCAAAAGCTGCAAATAAGGAATAGCAGTATTTGGTAAACATTAAACTAGCAAAATACTAAATAGATCTATGGCTCAAAATATGCTGCCGGCTTTATGATAACGCGTGATTGAAATTAAAAAATAATATCAATTATTTTATCATTACAATTTACAGTTTACAATATTTTTATTTCATTTATTTGCATAAATTAATCGAATTATAATCAATATTACTATTATTATCAATATAACATCAATAATTATTGTTCAGACGGTTTATTTATTTGTGATATTTTTTTTCTGTTCAATCTTTACCTTTAAGTAATAAATAGTAAATAGGTAATATTATATCTCCAAGACGATTGTTATATCTTATTACTTACATAATTTGGTAAGTCTTTTATATAATTCATCATTAGATATTCAACACTTGAAAAATCGCCTTTTTATAACAACGAACATTATTATTATATTATTTAATATGATGTAGTTTTCACTTCAAGTAATATTTTAATTTACAATTAAATTAAAATTGTCACTCTGGTTTTGGTAAATCAAAACCAAGCTTATTGTATGATTTTTATTTCTTATTTGTGGTCTGTATTATTAGATACCTAATCAATGAAATATACATAAATGAAAATGTATGATTATTTAGTTTTGTAATTTTTTTATGTGTAATACCTATCATGTAATTACCTATTTTATTGGAAATAACATTAAATTAATTTTTGGTTTATTCATTTTGTAATAATATTATGCACAATATTAATTTATTAGTTGTACGCATAAAAATAGTTGTCTAATTATATTTGAATTAAAATACCTAAATAAATTCACAGAAACATTAAAAACTAATCCGGTTTGTTTTTTACTTAGAAATGTATGTGCAAGTGGCAGAAAGTGAAAACTCATTCGTAGATCCCATTGACATGCCTACTGAAAAAGATAATAGTCTATTGTTGTCTACTTTAGAAGCACAATATCCTGGGGCGATTGGTTTGAAATATCGTGTTAACAATAGGTTGCGAATAGTTCGTCTCAATGAGGATAAATTGTATCCTCCAGAAGATGGTTGGTTAGATCGTATTTATATCTGTAATTTCCGGAACACTCATAAAAGGAAACCCAATGAAATTGAAGATAGTGTTAAGAAAGAAGATGATGATCATAGTGTTTCTGATATGGATTTAGTTGTGTTGGGTTTGCCGTGGAAAGTAACTGAAGAAGAATTGAAAAAGTATTTTGTCAAATTTGGTCAAGTAGAGTATACTCAAATTAAGACTGATCTCAATGGTAAATCAAAAGGATATGGATTTGTCAGGTTTAAGCATAAAAAATCTCAGGTCCGTGTTATGCTAGAACGGCATAACATTGAAGGTAGGTGGTGTGATGTACGCATACCAAACAGCAAAGACAAAAATGTAAATAAAGTGCCCCGCAAAGTATTTATAGGACAAGTGCCCGAGAATGTGGACGAAGATTTGTTGAGAAATTATTTTGTCAAATTTGGAGAAATATCAGATTTATTTTTGCCCAGACCACACAGAGGCTTTGCATTTGTGACTTTTACTGACCCTTCATCAGCTCAGAAAGTAATTGGCAAAGATCATAAAGTTGGCGATTGCAGTGTAGTGTGTACAGAAGCAATACCAAAAAAAGAAATGGCTCCTAAATGGAATGACTACGATAGTAGTAGAGACAAGAGGAGAGAACGATCTCCACATCGCGCACAGGTCCCAGAGGATGTCTGGGACTACGATCAGGATAGCTACGATCGACAATTTATCCGAGGAAATGGACATCAATCAGTTAATAGTATTGGTTTTACAAATGATAATAAGAATAATTTTAATCCAGACATGGTAGCAGCTGCAGTGAACAAGGCTGTTATGGGTGTGATCAGTAATTTGAAAGGGGGTGGACAAAGTAACCAAAATGATAAACTTCAGGGGGCAGACGATTGGTGGATGCGAAGATAAATATTACTAATGAAGTGTTTTTAATTTTATCTTTGGTTTCTTTATATTATAAATTAAAAACTATTATTTTAATAATGTAGAATATTGATTTTATTGACCTCAAAAATTAAGGGAAACAAATCCCATTTCGATAAAAACCAAAAGAAGCATTAGATTGGTCGTAATATTTAGTATTATTGCAAGTTCCTCAATGAGAATTAATGTATTTTTACATTACAGGTACAAAATAAAACGGTTGTTGCGTCATTCATTTTACCAATTTATGATGTTAAAAAATATATACATTTTATATTCTTGACGATTGTGCATCTAATATATGAAATAAAATTATACATCACATATTTTATGTTTAAATAGTAGAGACTAAACACCACACTGTATCACTACTAATTATGATTATTAAATTTCAACTTCCATACAATTTTAGTTTAAAATTGTGATTTTTTCAATGTATTAACAATTAATATTTTTTTTTCTTTATCAGTTTATATTATAAAAAGTTTGTGTTTAAGTTCTTGTTTAAATGCCTTCTTTCTTCTCTATGACATGTACAAACTAAGTTTCACAAATGATGTAAATAGTTTTATGAACCACTTAACACATCTCTTTATTAAAAAAAAAGGTTTGGTCACATTTTAATATATGATAGCTACAATATAGATTTATATTGTAGACCATGTATTATATACATCTACATTTGTGGTTATATAGATTTTTTTTATATATATATTTATTTTTTTTCTTTGTGCATTTAAACGCCATGTCAAAGTACACATACACATACTATTTTAAAATTATTGAATTGTACTTATGATTCACATAATTATTGTAATAAATACAAAAAAGATTTTTAATATAAAATTATATATATTATTTTTTTCCAAGTATTGGTTTGAATAATGAAATGCTTTTCCAAAGATATACTTCTAATTAAATTATATATTTCTATATAGTGGGTATACTTCTTGTTTACAGTTATTTATTATGTGTTATTTTTTAATTCACATAAATTATATACATCATTTACATATCACATTCCATTTTCCAATCAAACCTTGATAAGAAGAAAAATTGTTACTTAAAAATGTTAAGTACATTTAAAATTATGTCAACATTTTTTTTCAGTGTTGTCTGTCTAATAAACATTTGAAAAAATGCACACACATTTAAAAAGCTTTTGTTTTTATAAATGTGTTATATAACAAAAAGTATTTAATCTAATCAAAGTGAATTTAAAATAAATCTTAGTTATCTAGGGTCTATCGAGTGATTTTACTTTATAAATATAAACGACAATAGATAAAAATTCAATAACTTTTATTTAGTTCAAAATATTTGGCCTAAGTATTTGAATTTATTCCAATACACAATAACAAACTGGTGAATCTACCGGAATAAATTATTTTCATTTATCTATAAAACTTTATATTTTATTATAAACAATTCATATAGTGTTTGTAATATTATATATAATGCATACATGTATATATATATATTTTTTAATGAAAACATTTATTACTACAACAGGATAGGATGTAAATTTAAGATATATAAACAATAATAACCACTAACGAAATAAAAATAATAATAATAAATACAAATAATAAATAAATAAAAGAAAGAAAATAATAAATTTAAAAAAAAAAAAAAATTGTAATTGAAAACTTATGAATTTTAAACTTTTAGTACTTCAGTTTTAAAACAAACTGAAAGAAAACAGCGAAGGAAGATAAAAATATATATGTTGTGCATCGCAGTTATATATATCAGAGATTTTTGTTAAAACAATTTATATACTTATTTAGTTCACTAATTAGTACATCATGGTGATGTTAAGTACTTCTTAATGCTAATAGTATACACATAATACATTAAAACAAACAATACTTTGGTACGAAATCTCACAGAAATTGTGCACATTCGGTTATTTATATACTTTCCGTCTAGAGAAACATTCACGGAAAACTAATTTAGATTTTTATTTTATTAATTTACACATATAACAAACGTTATAAAAACGTATTAAAAAAAAAAAAATTGTTAATGAATTAAAGTGATAAATTAATGAATAATTAGTTAAATGGTAATTTTTCCCATGAAGTTATTAACGATTTTTGTAGCTTAACAACAATTAATATTACAAAAAAAAAAACACAATAGTTTCAAAAGTTAAATTTGAACTTAAAAATGCCTCTTAGAATAATATGAAAATAATAAAACAATGTTTCTTTTTAAATATGCAAAACTACCCTCACTACTAGGCAACTTGAAGGAGTGCTGATGTGGCACAGCTTAAACAGTCAGTACCAGTACCTCTCAATTTAATCTTGAGAGGCAGATGGATAATATCAGGAAGCTCCGAGATCACTGCAACTACTATCTAATCTCCGTTCTGTAGATATGGTCAGTAATTTATTAAATTCTGTGTCCAAAACCTGAAGAGCCTATTTTAAAAGAAATAAAAATAGATTGGTATGTATTTTTTCTTTTATTGAAAACCTACACATACTTGTGCATTTTGTGGAGACATTCGTAACACCATAGCAAGTGTATTGGATTCAAAGTTCTTGTCAAGCGCAATTACAGCACCATGTACTCCAGATTCGATTAAATTATTAGCATATTCCTAAAAATTTTAATAGAAAACAGAATTCTAATTCTAATTTCAAATTTTTATTATCACTTTCATACCTTCAAACCAATACTGGTTATCCATTTAATAACTCTTTCATTAGACCACACTAATATGTCAACTGTTTCATGTTCAGCAATACGGCGTCTTTCTTCCAACTGACTTCGATCAAAGTTCACTCGTTTTAGACATGTTATACCAAATTGTAAGCTTGTTCTATTCAAATAGATGGACATAAAAAAAAATTAAAAATAAATAAAATTGCAGATCTAAGTATAAAAGTTGAACCTACCGATGGAAACCGTCAAGCATTTTTAACTGTGACCTGAAATCACGCTTTGTAAGATGATCAAGCATTCTAGCATCAACCAGACATTCCATAAATGTTGATCGGTATTGTGGTAATCCTAGTGATGGTAACCAATAGTTACCAACCCATTCGTGGTTCATGTCACCAAAAGCTAAAGTAGAACGCAAAGATTTGGCCGGGGCTGATGGACTTGTCAAAGAAACCATTTCTTGAATAGCTAATCTAAGCTTTAGACGGTGCAATGGATTGCTTATACCAATTTCTCTTTGTATCTCTGTATCCGACAATGCACTCATAATGGCTCCAGACTTAACGTTAGCTCTACAAGCAGCCACATACCATGCAGGCATCCCGACCCATAGTTCTAACCAAGCGACAATAGTTGGTCCATTCCATAAAGCAAAGGGAGTTCCGGCTTTCATTGCTTCTTCGAGTAATTCGTGTCTATTAAACATAAAAATAATAATATGATAACTATTAAATACAAAATACAAAATATATAAGGTTTACTTTTTCTTTTTTCTTCGATCAAAGTCTCCTTTCTGTCCTAAACTAGCGCTGCACAAACTAGAAGTATCATCCCCAGCAAATGAACTGGCTAATGACATATCAGATGAAGACATGTGACTCATCATACCACTCATTCCTTCTTTACCTTTTCCTTGCTGTCAATAAAAGTTGATTTATAAAAAAAAAATAAGTCAATACAACGAGGTACAACAAGCATAATAATTGATAATACCTTTTCTTTTTTACTGAAGAATCTTCCAAGAGATGATTTTATTCCCTTTTTTTTTTGTGCTGCTGCTGACACTGATGATGGCAACGTATGATGATATGGCGGTATTTGATTAACACTGAAGGCACTCGATAAACTTGACAAACTAGTGCCCGTTTGTCCCATCAACGTTGGACCATGGTGCAATGAATCTTGACTGCTGTGACGAGAGGACAACGGTGATGGAGGGGTAGAAAACCCACTGGCACCCCTATATTACAAACCCAAACCAACGGCTACTACAAATATCTAAAAAGCACTAAGGGAGGGTTATGTACAGCTAATATTTAAAAATATAGTTGTCTATATACAAAAGAGATGACTGATCAATTCCATGTGTATACCATTTTATAAATTAATTAATTATGTATCACAGACAAACAAATAATAAAAGGATAGAGTTACTAAATCATTTGTATCATTCACTTAATTAAATATTGTGCTTTTTTTTTGGCATGTGTGCCAAGAAAATGAATTAAATATATATGTACAAAATAGTATAATGTATTATGTACAATACTAAGGTAAGTTTTCAAACGTATTTAAAGTTTCTAATAATAAACCACTTGATTTCAAATACATACCTTAATGATGATGGGTTATAATTTATCATATTCAATGTAGATGGAACAGTATTAATGCCGGCCCGTCTAGAATATGAAACAAAAAAAACCTTTGAAAAATCTATTTAAAAATCATACTAAAAATCAAGGCTAACCGTCGCAATTCTTCTTGACTATGTGCTAAAGCTTGTGCAACTCGCTCTAATCTCATTGAACGTGCTGTTAATGGACTTGCAGCACCGTTATTATCTTGTGTTGATGTCATACCAATGTCATCTTCTTCATTGAGTTGAAGCTAAAATAAAAAAAAACCCATATCAAATATATTTTACAAATGATACATTTATAATATGTACGAATAACCTTATATTAGGTTTCACAAAATAATTTGAAAAAGAACAACAAATTGTATTAGTGGGTTCAAAGTTTACCTCTTTTTAGTTTTAAATTTGAACCATAATAACTTTTAAAAAATCAGTTAATAACAGCATGTCAATCAACATGTTTGGATTATAAAATATTTTGAGTTACAATCTCTTAAGTACAAAACCTAGACAACTGGAAAGGAACTCAAAGAGCATTATTTCTGGTCTTAAACTGACTAAATATTGTCAAGTTTTTTTTTAAATAACTTTTAGTTTTATTAAAGTTACTAACTAGAAAAAAAAATCCTTGAGTTCCTCCTTAAATATCATATTAATAATACTAATAATACGTATACTCACAGAATGATATTTATGTAAATATTCTCTCTGGGGTGTAGACCGGCCACTAGCTGGAGGTGATTGCCGTTCATAATTCCGATTTCTAGACAACAAATTAACATGTTCCATGCTACCAACTCTAGATTCAAGTTCTTCAGCTCGTGCTTCTGTATTTTGTTTTTCGGCTTGAATTAGTCTAATCTCTGTATTAATTGCATCTAATTGTTCTTGTAACATTAAAGCTAGTGTCTGTGCATCAGCTGCTGAAGGAGAAAGTGGTTCACCCGTTTCACAATACATATTAGGTTCATCTTCAAGATCATCTTCACCGCCATCCATATCCACATCACTAGAAGCATCAAATGCTTGTTGTACATTAGCTAAAACCTGTGCTTGCTGTAATTTTTCCCATTCCTATAAAATATATAAATAAATGTACAGTAATAATTGTAATAATTACAAACAAAATATATTATATTACTTTAGCATGATTTGATTCCATAGGAGACATTCTGGACTTCATTGAGCGCCGCGATATTGAATGTGTATCAAAGTTTGAATGTTGACTAGAACTCTGAACAAAACCACTTTGGTCAGGACCACCAGGTGACAAACTCCTATACATTTTGTATATTTTAAATTTTCAATAATCAAACTCAATAAATTAATAGATTTTTATTAACCTCGTTAAAGCATCAGTCTGTTGAATATTGAAAGCTATCTCTTGTTGGAGCATTTGCCTTTTAATGTTATCAATTTCCATGCGTGCCTTTCCGAGTTCTTTCAATAATTCAGTCTAAATAATATTGGAATAAACATAATTTAATTATACTTATACAATATAATATACACAAATAAAAAATTAATTTAGTCCTGTGCCAATATTATGCATGGTTTTTGTTAACTACAATTATTATCAATTATTTTATAAACTTTTGTTAAAAAAATGTTTTTTCAAAATAATGATAATAATATCAGGAATTGGTTTTGTGTTCTTGAGTTTCATGAGTATCAGTTTTAAGAGACGTACTTTTTTAATTACTGTAGTATTACCTTTTCTGTTTGTAATTCTTCCACTAATTTACGACACTTTTCTAATTCTTGAGTAAGCATATTTTTTTCTTCTAAAGCATGCATACGTTCTTTTAAATGTACTTGAAGACGTTCATTAGATTCTAAATAATTAAAAATAAAAATACACAATTAAAAATAATAACTTTAAATTATTATTATAATTACCTGATAATAATTTGTCAACAGTAGCAGACAATCTTGTATTGTGTTCTTCATTCATTTTTAATCGTTGATTGACTCTCATTACTTCAGCATTTTTCTCTTCTACCTGCGATTCTAACCTTTGAATACGATCTTCTGCTGTACCATGCCTTTCTTGAGCCTGAACAATTTATTTTTATCGTATTTATTTAAGAATTTATATATATATATATATGTATTATATATTTATATACATAGTAAAGTAATAAAAAAATATACATTTTTATTTTTAATTATAATAAAGAAAATATTAATTAAAATTAAATGAAATATGACAAATATTTTAATACATCTAAAATTAAATAAATATTTCTTATTTAAATATATTTTTTAACTCTTGAAATTGTAACATGGACAAGAAATATTGACCGGTGATAATGTATTAACTAATAATTATAGATGATAGTAAAATAATCCAAGCGCCACAACATTGCAATAATGTATAGATGAAGCACCATAATGTTTATTTTTTAGGGATGAGTTTGAACGTCTTTAACTTACATAGTATTGAACTTTATATTTAGTGTCTTTTTAAATTTCTTTAGAGTGCATGATTATTTGTTTTAGTTTTAGTTTAAAGTTTGTATTATTATTATTTATTAAAATGTCTGATTGGCATCATTTTATAATAGATCTGAGTAACAATAATTATGCTTGTGTAATTATTGTATGGACATTTTTTTGAGAGGGTGAATTTGATTCACACACTACAACCCCTATGACAAAGCATTTAAATTAAAATCATGCTATTAAAATAAATACATAATTATTAATATAAATACAAATAGAGAAATGAAAATTGTATGCACTAATAAACTTAATAAAACTACTAATTTAATTTAATAAAAGATTATAACTTATAAGTATGGGTATGAATTTGAAGTTTAAAGAAGTCAGTGTTTCACACAACCCTAATTTTTGTTTACTATATTATTTAGAAAACTAATTCATTTTTAAATTATAATTAATAATCCTCTTAGGAAATAATGATATTTTCAATTAAGGCAAATAATAATTTTAATAATTAATTTATAATTGATATTGTTATAAATACTGATTTAAAGTCAATAATCATTAATCAATAGACTACAAATTAATTTAATTAGGAGTAAATACTTACTAGAAAAATAATATATATTAATATAAAATATATAAAGATATTATACATAAATACACAATATAATAGTATAATACACAAAATGTATATTAAAACTATAAAATTGGTAAACAATTAAATATGTTCTGGTTATGTCTAAATATTATGTTATAAAAATTTGCAACTAGATAATTTGTACATTGTACAGTGATGATCCATTTATCATAACCAAATGTTTTTTTCAGAAGATTTTGAGTAAATTTTATTAATGTTTTTCAATCATTATAGAACCTTTTAAGATTATTTTAACATAATTTACTCTTAATTTTTGCCCCTTAAATAAGCAGTAGTGGATATCAAGGAGTAGGGTGATAGGTGAGGTGCCCCTCTTGAGATTTTCATCACCACTATACTTTATTAGTTATTACCTACAACTTAATACTTAAAAAATTATATATTAATAGTTGTAGTACATTTATTTATACATAATTTTGATATTTTCCCAAATGGAAAATGAACTTCTCAGAAGTTTGATTTTGTATAAGCACCGAAACTTTTATTTTTTTTTCTATATTCTGCTTATTAATATATATATATTGTGTACCTTCCAAAAGACGACTTTTTAAATTAAAAACAAAATATTTATACTAATAAAAATGTGTCAATATAGTTAGGTACATTGGTATGTTTCCATATTGGTATCTAAATAAATATTTTAAATATGAAATACTTGAGTATAATCTATTGAAATAGAAGAGGTTTTGAACAGCAGTGTACTCAAACATTTTCAATGGAAGAACTAAGGACAATTTTTTAAATTTTCATATTTTTTTGAGTTGAACTCCATTACCCACCATTATTATGGATTTAAATTTTGCCTCCCTCCCTCAGTAATAGGATATATCCGCTGCTGTAAATCAGTATACATTTATGAGATTTTAAATAGTAGACTAACAAACTTCTTCAAACAATTCTTTTCTAATCCAGTCTATATATTAAATGATTCAACTATTATAACTAATAAACCATATACCTGATATTAGTGGTATACACAATACAATTTGTAGATTTGTATTCTCTGTTCTAATCTGTGTTAAAAAAGGGTGTTTGAAAAATTCAAGATTTAAGATATTAAGAGCCGGTGTGAAATTAAAAAAAGTATTAAAATAAATGTTCAAAGATTTTATATATATTCCATATATATATATAAAAACAGAATTTAAATTCTCTTAAAATCTTTCGAGAAAATTATTGGTTCGTCCTATTTGATGTATATTGTTCCTCATAATTTTTAAAATTAGAATGGAATATCTAATTGTTATCTAAAACTATCAAGTCAATAAATGAAAATATTATACAAATAGCATCTAAATATATTGGAAAAAATACTATCTAATTTATTATTTACAAATATCCAAAAGATATGTATGCATCAAATAAAAATATATATATTTTATTGTGATAACCATGAATTAAAAAAATGTGCTTAAAGCATTAAATATAGAAGAAGTAAAATGGTATGTATTCAAAAATACAAAAATTGAATATTAAAAAATAAACTATGCTATGACTAGTCTAAACTAATAAATAATACGAGTTCGACAACAGGTTGGGTGAAAAAAATGAAAAGAATAAAATTGAGAAAAAATTTGATGACTGTTGAACGAAACTCGTACCTGCGCCCTTACCTGGGTAAGGGCTTCCATTCTTTGTTTTAACTCTTGTTCTATTTCAGGTAGGGTTGCAAATTGTGCCAATTTTTGTTCACATAGTTCTAATTTTTCATGAGTAGCGCGAGTCTTTTCTTCTTGTAACTAAAAAATATATTATACAAAATTAAAACACTTCCAATTATATACAATAAAATAAAATCAATAGAATAATACATACTTTTAACTGAGCTTCCTTATGTCGGAGTTCTTGTTCTAATTTATCATTTAGGTCGTGCAATGAAGTGGATTCTCGTTGCAAATTCAAATATTTTTTTTCTAAGGAACTTATCCGTTCTTCCTATCAACATATTTTTTATTTATAAAATTATACTAACTATACATTTTTAATTATACATTCCAATTTACCTGTTCTTCTTTGATTGAAATGTTTTCTCTTAGTTCATGATGTAAATTATTACTATTTTCTTGGGATTTATGAAGTTCTCTTTGTGTTTTTGAAAGTGAGTCCTCTAGTTCAGACACTCGACTTGACAACTCATTCATTTTCCATGTGCCGTATTCAGAATTCTATGTAAAACACAAAAAAATGTTATAAATTAACATACCTTTATTTGTGGACTATTTAATAATGATTATATATATATTTTTTTTTATGACAAACCTCATTATCATTACTATTTTTAACACAATTTTCCCCATTTATGTTGACTAGTTTTTCGTCTTGTGCATACTCAGTAGTTTCAGCAATGTGCCCATTCAGTGTTCTATTCTGACATGCAAATTAATCACTTTACACAAAATGCTTAAAAATACTCATGCTAGCATTATCATTTTATAAACTCAAACTAATTTACCACAATAAAATATATAATATAAAATAAATGATTATTAATATACTACAATAATCATTTAAATTAAATTTAAAAATTATAGAAGGTTTGGTTTGAAAATTAAAAAAATATTTTATTATAAAAGCATATTGATAATTTTTAAATCAATTTTTTTTTTTATAATTGTAAATAAAAAATAATAATAATGTACATGGTCATAAGTTTTAAAACATGCCACGTAAAAGTAACTTAAATTACAAAATCGTATAGTGGTTATATATATATATATATGTTATTTTGAATGTTGAAAATTGGATGATGTCCTCTTTTCAGTCAGTAGAAATAATTGTATGTTTTAAGTTTTAATATTAGAGGGAAATAATAATAGATTATTAAATTTATAGGTAAGAACATTGTCAGTGTTTATACATGTTTTAAAGATATTTTAATTCTGAAGTGAGATAATTTTTATAAATTGTAATATTTTACATACTTGTATCTCGCAAAAAAAAATTAAATTTTGGGAAAAACTAACATACAAACACACAAAACAGCACAATATTGCCTTTACTGAATGAAAAGTTAATACTATCCAATTTTGTTATTTAAATAATTTTGAGTGGAGTATTTTATAATATATTGTTTTCTATATTATAATTATTATTATTTATAAATTATTATAACAAAACAAATTTGATTTTAAAAATTACCAATTTTCTTTTTAATAAAATCCAAATAAAACTAAAATTCTTTGGATGTATGTATAAATAAATAATAATAAATTTATGGTTTCCTAGATATATACATATTTACTTAAGTGGGGTTTTTTGAAAACAATTTATTTATATGTTACTAACAAAACCAATATCATAAATGCTAAATGTTGTATTAATTTAGAATAAGAATCTAAGATAATTACCACACTAAATTTTGAATAAATAAATACAATATTATGTTATAAAAAATAGAAAACAAAATACTTTAAACATAGTGTAAGAAACTTAAAATCATGAAAAAATAAAAAATATATAAAGATTAATTTCTAGAAAGCCCAAAATTGTCATTTTGAGTATTATTTAAATGTAATAATTTTAAAAACTCGTATTTTGTAAATAAATTACTCTTGATATAATAATTTCAATATAGTAATGAATTTTATAAAACCATATCATAGCATTAGAACAGTTTTTAAAATATATGCTTCATAAAAGTGTATGAATAATATCCATATCTTACCTTTTTTAAAATGTATTATTTTATTTAACATACAATGAAATGAATTGAATTACTAAACTATAAATAACAATACATTAATTTTGTGTAAACTATACAATAAATAATTAATTTGGCTCAAATGAAAATTATTTTTATGTATTATATGTGCAATCTATAATCTACATTTTGTAACTTTAAAAATAATACATATAAAGATAAAGTAATCAAATTTGTCTACTAATGGTGCTATTTAAGAATAAAATGAAAATTACTTTTATAGTTGTTTGTTGAGAGCACGACCCATCTACATTGTCAGCACTTCCGTTTTCTTGGGTAATGGAATCATCTTCAGTTTTACCTCCCGACTTTAATACATCCAGCTACAAGAACATACTTGTTAATATATTAACGAGATTAACTTAAAAAAATTGAAACCTTTACACATAATAACACAATTTAATTTTAATTTTAATTATTGAATAAATACCTCTTGCATAGTACTTTCTAATTTTTCTTCGAGTTTAGCATTAGCTTCTAATGCATATCTTAATCTGTCTCTAACCTGTTTGAAAACATACAATACAATTAATATAAATATTTCATTTGACTGCAAACAAATAGTACTATATAACACAAAATATTTATTTTTAATTATGTTGATTAAGCTATTGGTAAAAAATAAAAAAGTAAACATTATTATAAAAATCACTTATTTAAAATTGAAATTGTATTTGTACTACTTATGAGTAGTAGAGCTACACAATATAATACTTAATTATATGATAATATTAAGACTTTATTAAGAATTCAAAGTACGTTTTTTTTGGGGAAAAAAACTAATTTTTATTGAGCAAGTATAAATATTGATTAACAATATTACTTCAGTAAAAAGTTCAGCATGTTATAAATACCTAGTGGATTATTTATACTGACATTTTAATAAATTAATTGAAGTTCATCAAAGATTATTCATACTTAGTAATAAATCTTCAATCAATGTTGTAATCGTAAAAAAAATGTATGAATATAATATACAAACCATAAAAAAGTTAAAAATTCAGGATCTTTTAACATTTACAGTAGTATGACATATTGTTCAGGATTCCATTTACTTTTATAAACATTAAGTTAAAGCAAAGTTGAAAGGTATATGAATAGGTACACAACAAAAGAAAATTGTGTGTACTTTTTAATTTTGTTTTTTTATGGGTATACGCATATTTCGAAAAATAAAAAGTGGGTACACCACATAGGGTACCAGCATGTGACCACGTGTACTCACATCAAATACAAATCTACATTGTCAAAATAATTTACTCATACACTTTCAATACATACTTTTTCATCAAGAGCTTTATGATGTTCAAAAAGACTTTTAAGTGCTTTTAGTACTTCTACCTCACTAGAAACACCCGAATATGCTTGTGGATTTTGGTTTGTTTGCCTTTTAATGACGGTCGATCGAATTGACCGTTCATGTCTAGATACTAAACTTTCCAAATGTTCTAATAACAACTAAAGTTTACAAAATTAAAATAATTAATAATAAGGAATAAAAAGACAACAATAAAAATATATAGGTACCCTTGTATTGCTTCTTTCAGCTTTTAATTCAGCAATTTCTTCATCTCTTGCAGCTAGTTGATCACGTGTTTGAGTTAGTTCTTTTCTTAAAGCAGCAATTTCCTAAATAACACAATTTAAAATTTATTTTACAAATAATAAATTTATAATTACTTTAAAAGACCTAAGGAATTAATTAATATTCTGTTTTACCCAACTCACCAAATCAAGTTTTATTATATTCCCTACATTTAAAAACCTTCTTTACTAGCCTTATAAAATATCTAATATTATTGTGTTAGTATATTATAATAATTCAAATATAAGTTTAAAAAACTTATATAATAATAAAATCTACAATCATAAATTATTGATATATTACCTGAAGTAAAATAAGATGTAACATACAAGAACATGTATTAACATTGTTATTAATATTTTTTAACTTATATTGAGAATTATCGCACATTTCATTTATTGAAGTGGCTGCGTTATTCAATAAAGATGAAAGTGTATTAGAACCTCGATTAAAATGATAGAATAAATTGATATTGTTCATTACTTAAATAAAATACAAAATATGGTAAAACAATGGATTAATGAAAAAATATGCTGTGAAATAGTAAGGTATAAAAATATATTTTGACTGGAGTCAAATGATATACACTATCTAACTCATACTAAGGGGTATAAAGATGTACTCAAAAGAAACACCCTATTGAAAGCAGAAGTAAAAAAAAAAGGTGAGAAATTTATTTCAAACTAGTATCACCACTGGCAATAACGCACGTATTTTATTACAAATCCTCCCCTTATAATCACAGAACTGCACATACTACAAAATATCAATCTTTTACGTATAGTGTCTAAATATCCAAAAGGCTTATTATTCAAATATTCAATATACATTTTGGTTTTATGTTATGAAAATTCTTTTTCATTTTATGTACAATAATTAATTTCTTATAAAAGTTAGTATCTAGATAAAGTTAATTAAAAATTGTATTATTATAAATTACAATCAAAATGATTAATGAACAAGAAAATAAAAAACTATGTTTTACTGAACTAAAAAAAAAAACAAACTGAATTGTAAAATTATGCTAATTATTAAGAAAACAACAAAGAAAATTAAAAATTACCTTATAACCAATAAGTTAAAATTTTATTTCAGAAAAGATGCTTTATTTGATGATCAAAGCAAGATTTCTGGTTGCTGTTGATGGGTATTCCACTATTGTAGTTGGGAAGCTGGGAACGCAGGATAATATATAGAGTAATTAATTTATACTTGTATGTGTCAATAAATCATGATAAAACTAATATATTTCTAGCTAACTTTTAAATTAAAGCAAACAAAAATGTAATAATAAAAATACTTCTCCTAGTAAAAATCATCAGAGAGGTTATTTCGAGTGATTAATATCTAATATTTCTAGAACCTTCCTATGTAAAATGTATACAGAAAAAATCTGGGACAAATGATCGTGATAACCATATAAAATTGGAATTTTTTAAATCAACATTAGAGGTAAAATTAAAAAGATACACAGACATACTTCGCACGATGGGTGGGACATTGTTGTAGGTGAGAAGTGGTTAGGTAAAAGGGAAATGTAATGTATATCTCTACGCAACAATTAACTTTTGCAAACGAAAAACGATTCTGAGTAGAGTTTGGTGAAAAGTGTTGCTTTGTAGTATTTACAAATTAGGACGTTATTATTTACGAGTATCATCAACATTTGATATTAAAATATTCTTCTAATACATGTCGTATATTTTACTAATTTCTTCCGTTATTACGGGATTTTCCCATTAATTGGGAAAACTCATGGGACAATCAAAAATTAACTCCCCTAAAGTACCACACCAGTCAGATTTTTTCATTTCATAAAAAGTGCTATTATTGTAAATCAAAATAAATAAATAAACATAATTGTAAAATCAATACATTTCTGGCTACGCAGAATCTAAAATTGAAAATATAAAACATTTCGTACATTTTTACGTTTTTTCGCATTTATTATAAGAACAAATTATGGGAAAATCAATGTCCCATTGTTATAGGGTGGGAAATTAAAAATCTAAAAAGATAGAATGTATAGAGTTAGGTAAGTAATCAATTTATATTTGTAGGCAATAATAAATCATTACGAATTATTACTAAAAAAAAAAACTATGAGTCATGTTTTGATTAAACATGTTTTGAAATGTCGTGATTTTTATATTTTTCGTCAAAATTGTATATAAATAGTATAATGGAGACTCATGTAGCTACTGTTAAAGATAATTTAATGTATACTTGTAAGCAACAATAAACCATTGCTTACGAAAAACCGATTCTGAACGGAGTTCAGTTGATAATGATGCTTTGGCAACAATATATATATATATATATATATATATGTCATTTTATAGTAAAATAATTATATAGGCTTTATATTATATTTTCTTTAATACTAATTGTTTAATTTGTACCGATTTTCCCAGTTTTCCTACGTTTTTCCCATATTTTATCCTGATTTTTCACATTTGCTGGGAAATGTCCTCCCTAAAGTACCTTTCCAGTCAAATTTTTTTTCAGAAAAATTGTTATTATTATAAATTGGAGCAAAATTGCTGGTTGAAAAGTTGTGCACAGGAAAAAAAATCGTAATAACTTAGTAATATATTTCGTACATTTTCCAGTTTATTCTCCTTCTTTTTTTTTTTGTTTTTCAAATTTAAAGTGCTTTCCCACACCTATTTCGTTTTAGAAAAGGTGCTACATTTAAAAATCTGAGCAAGTCTTATGGTAAAAAAATTGCACACAAATTAAAAAAAATAAACATCTTTGCAAATCCATAAGCTTCTTCGCTCCACTCAAAATCTAAAAATTACTATATAACACTCAGCTTTTTTATCACTAAGAACAGCTTATAATAAACTTTGTGTAAAATTGCCCAACAATTATGCACGGCCAAAACAATTTTATCAACATAAAACCAAATACAATCTACAAAAAACTCGATAGAGTAAAATATCTATAAATAGGTTAAAAATCGCCAGAATGGGTTTAAAATGTTGCTACGTTTAGAAAAGCCTAACTAAAATACTTTATGAAAACTTCAAGTCTCTTAAAATTATTTTTAAGAGAGTTAAACAAATCCAAATCGAAAATAAGGAAACAATTATTGCCCTAAACGATCCGTATTCCCCAAATACTGAGAAGAGTACAACGAAAATCAAAAAATGACGTCTCGTATATATTAACTAGATCCAAAATTTTATAAAAATGCTTTTTTGTCATTTATTAGTTGGTAACACCAACTAGAAATACATAACCTAACCAACATGGTGAAATTTATATGTATGGTAGAAAAGTAAAAAAAAAAAAACATTCTAGTAAAATCATTCCATTCCTTGCTGAGCTCACAATTTAAAAAAAAATAATCTTATCATCGTATTCAGATTTCAAAGCAGAAAATTTATTAATTTAAATTTAGAAAAATAATTTTTTACAGGATAATTTTTGCACTATACAGAATCATTTTTTTTTTTGTTTTTGTTGTTAAGTTAGGTCAACGAAAATTACATTTATTTAGATACTTAAAGGACGAATTTTCAATCAAATTTTAGATTCTGAGTAGTGCGAAGAAGATTATGGTTTTACAAAGATGTTTATTTATTTATTCATTCATTTTTCATTGGACAATTTTTCTACTAGAAATCTTGCTCCGATTTACAAGTATAGCACTTTTTCTGAAAGTAAATTGGTGTGGGGAGGTACCTTAATGAGATTATTTTTCGATTTTCTCAACAAATGTGAAAACCGGGGAAAATGTAGGAAAAAAGGGAAAATAGGTACAATATTAAACAATTCTAATAAATAAAAATCTCGTGTCACATTGTTTGTGGTCGCATTCCTCCAAAACGGCTCGACCGACTTCAATGAAATTTGTTTTGTATATTTGGTAGATATGAGAATAGGTCGTAGTATTTTTACCCTTCTATCCCCCAACCACCATTTGTTAATCGCGATTTCAGTATTTTTGAAGTTACAAAGTAAATAATTCTAACGCTGTTACTCGCGCATAGAAGAAATCGCTCACACGAAACCACTACATTGTCCACTACATACTAGTTTTTCACTTATATTCTTTCAAATCGCTATTTTCCTGACAAAATGCCCAAAACGAAATCCAATAATAGCCGCTTAACGAGAGGAGTAAAAAGATTGAGATGTCACAGAGAAAAAACGATTAGTGAGCGACGATTAGCTATAATTAGGGATGAGCACTTTCCGGAAAAGTTACCGGAAATGTTCCTCAAATGGGGAAAGTATATTTTATGATCATTATTTAATTTTCTGACAACACATAATCATACGACTATATATATAGATGGATACAAAATGGACATATATATACATGTCCATTTTGTGTACTTGTGCAGTTGTGAGTTATCGTTGTATCAGTTGTGTGTACATTTAAATGAACACAAATTAATTAGGTAGAAGAATAAAAAGTAGGTAAAAAAAATTTAGTGGTCCGATTTTTCAAGCACGCTTAAAAAATGTTATAACAGAACACTTTTATTCCGCCGAAGGTAGATTAACTACTCTACACCTGTTTGTTTTTACTTATTACTGACACGGAAAAAGCAAGAAGGAATAAGGGTAAAAAAAAAAAAATAATAAAAATTGGCAGGGACAACGCCAGGCGAGAAAGTTGATATTATTAAAGAAAATATATAATGCCTATGTAATTATTTTACCATAATATGACATTTATATTGTTGACGAAGCAACACTATAAACTGAACTCCGCTCAGAATCGTTTTTTCGTTAGAAATTGTTTATCGTTACTTACAGATATGTATTAAATGTCCCCTTTATTACCTTCCAAACTTCTCACTTACAATAGGGGCTCACCCCCGTGTGAAGTTGCCGGCACTTTATTTATTCTTATTATTCTAACAATAGGGTTTTATTGAATTGGATAAATTAACTCAACAATTTCAATGGTATCGAATCATATCGAAAATCCGTGAGATTTGCAAAATCGATCAAAAATTAAAATATTTAAATTAAAGATTATCCTTACACAATCGATAAAGATTCTATAATCAATTGAAAAAATAAAATAAAATCGAATAGCATAGTTCTACTCAGAATATTTCAAAATTATTTTTATATAAAGCTCATTACAATTAGTAATCAAATGTACGGTCAAAACCTTAAAAATAAATTTGAAACATTTAATATTATATTATAGTAGGTAGGTATTATATTAGGTAGGTAGGTAAATGCGACAATGCCGCAATGTGCATAGGACTATAAATAACGTAACATAAATCGACTAAAACGGGACTATCAGGAGTATAATAAAAAACTTAAAAACTGAGTAAGAGGAGAGTAGAACACTCCCGAAGTAGGGCACCAGGTCAACACTGCCGGGCCTATCGATCCAATAAGGGTGGGTAATACAATAGCGTGGGAAAAGGGGGATAATGCACTAGATTTTTGAATAAGACAGAACGAATTATTTTTCATTGGGCATCAAGCATAATAAAGTTTAAAATTTTATTTAAATTTTGCAGTGATAATTAATTATTAATTTTATTAAAATGTCCATAAACAAAAAAAATAAATAAGTAAATAGTACATATTGGTATATAATGGGGAAAAAGAACAACAAATTTAATGTAGTAGGCATGTTAATTGGAAAAACAATAAGTTATTAAAGTGTGTTCCAAGTTTATTTCTATAAAATTATGATGACGATCTGTAAGGATGTACTTGTTAGATGAAAAACTGTGTTCAACGTCAACACTGGTTATTGGTGCATATTTAAAATTGGCTAATACATCCGGTGAATAATTTGGAACAGACAAATCATTGAAGTTAGCACTGTCACCTTGAAGTATTTTCGAAATTTCTTTTAAAACCATTAGTCCTTTATTTTTAAATTTTGTTTTAATTATTGTATTATTTGTGCTCGTAGGAAGTTCATTGATAGAATTTTCTACTTGTTTTAAAATGTTTAACGAGTCTACAAGTGTCAAATTAGAATTTTCAAGCTCTTTGATGCTTTTAACGATACATAGAAAATGTGCTTTAATGTAAGCAAGATCATGTTTTACATTTAATTTATTTAAAATTGATTTACAATTTGTGCTAAAAATGCTTTTTGCTTTATCATCTAAGTTTTCAATTACATTTTTAAACTCTACAAAATGATCTGCATAAAAAAAGGCTGACTCTAGCCAAGCACCGTAAAATATTTGATATATTAACATACCTATTATCTTTTTGTATTTGTTCGACATCATTTTTTATTAAAATATGTAAGAATATGCAGAATATGCAACATAAAATGTTGATATTTAATTAGTTAGGTAATGATTTTTGGACACTCATTAACTGCATGTATGATGTTGAAAATAGCAACATGCATTTCATGTAAAATCCGGTCTTTAGACATAACATTATATCATCTGTACCTACCTACTGCAGAACTGTAACTGTAATTATCTATATGTACATACTACAACACAATTAAAAAATAATAATAACATTTTTAGCATAATAGTATATTTTATATGTTAAAATAATAGTATTAAAAAAGCGGGATATGCTTTGCACCATAGTTAGGACGGTGTTGTAGGTTGGAAATTGGAAAGATTTAATATATGTCTATAGAGTGATTTAAGTTATATACTGAAAGCAGTGATAATGGACTGCAATCAAAATACTATCTGGATCGAAGAGTTATTAGTAGTGTAAGTAGGTACTCATGTTTTTTCCTTGTAGTAGATAATTCAAAAGTAATTATAAAAAAAAAAAAAAAAACAAAGTATTACCTAACCTAACCCTTTATGTAACATTTGTTGTCACTTGAGAATCTCAACATTTTTTCAAATAAAGTGCTACCTACCAACAAATCTGTATTGTTTACCACCTTGAGGAATTTTGCATAATTTAACTGATCCAACAAAGGATATAGTGTTTCCCAAATAAAAAAGTATACATACTAGTAGAACTAATGAACTAACTAGTTAGACTTAAGTCAGCTTCTTTGATACACACAGAATTTAAAAAAAATAAGATGTACATATCACATATTGGTAAACTTCATTGTTTTAGAAGGGTCGTATAATATTAATTACCTAGTTTATTAGTTCTAACCTACTTTTAAACTAAAGGAACTCTTAATAATTATTTAGATAGACTTAAGTTTAATATAAATTGTATTATAAACTATTTATTGAATTTACCTATTTTAACTAGCAAAATATTAATATAAAATGCACTAAATTTAAACAATTTAAAATTTTATTTATAATTTCTTTGTTTTAGTACAGTTATGTAAACTAACAATTAATTCCTATTTTCGATCATGATCATAAAATCAGATTTAATCAAAATATTAATTTATGTTTACTTAATTATGCAAAAGTTCTTGAGAAAAAAATATATATTATATATAAAATTTCTGAATTTATGTATTTCATTAAATATAAATATATTTAATTTTAATAATTCAATTGCTTTGATTGACTTCTAAATATTGTCCCTTAATACTATTTTAAAATTAACTTTTATTGTATCTTTATTTTTATTATATTGTAACTTTACTATATAACTTTTAAGAACTGCTTTCCCAGTAGGAGCTGTGCTTATCCTTATGGGGGGGGGTGCTGCAATATTGTATACTAATATTAAACTAATGTAAAATAAACTATTTATTATTATTAATATTAGAGTACCATAAATGTGCATCATGTTTAATTATCTGTCTATGAAATTTTCAGCAATTTTTTGATCACAAATAAGTTTTCTAGACAAAAAAAACTATAAATCAATGTAAAATTAATAGATTCTGCACTTTGATGTTCTAAAATAAATTTAGAAAAATTGTAGTTGTATTATTCCTATGTTGTGCTATTGATATGCTCCCACAAATTAGTATTAAAATAATAATTCTCTAAATTTCAAAAAAAGTAAATACTTTCCGACGTAAAGAATGTACCCACTTAAATGGATCATCTAGTGCTAAATTATTTTTATTTAAATTTATATATTCTTCACATTGAATAAAAAATATTAATTACTTACTTATTTAGGTAATTATATTAAATATTCAATTAATTTAATTATCTATATATATTAAACTTTTTAATTATTTGTTTAAGTTTTAACTCTAATGTGCATACTTAGATTCTTATAATATACAATTTTATTAGATAATTGTAATACAGATTTATATATATATTAAGATTCTGATCGTAGCAAGGAATCTATTAGTTTTACAATGATTTTCATTTTATTTTTTTTAACTGTAAATAACTTTTTTTATAGAAATCCTACTCCCATTTACAAGTGTAGTACCTATCTTTCTCAGAAAGAAATTCTATTTGGGAGGTACATTATAGAGGAAAAACTTAGGAAAAATAGAAAAATGTACATACATGTATTATGTATATAACAAATTTCACTTTAAATCGTTTTTGTTAGCAATGGTTTATCGTTGCATACAGATATAAATTATATTCCTCTCTCTACCTTCTTAACTTCTCACCTATAACAGTGACTCAACCATCATGCCAAGTATGTCTGTCTTTTTATATTAGGGTCTTACAAATTAAATTAAATTATATTATTTTCAGAATTATTAATATAAATAGCACTTAACTCTTAAGTAAGTATAATCACATTTTATAATTGTCCGTAGTAAACATAATAATATTATGTACTAATACCTACGCGTATTACCTTTGTTCACTATTATAAATTAAATAGATACTTAGATATACAATATTATATTTTAAAACAAAAAAACACTAAAGAACTTAATACAATTTTCAATTACTACTTGATTACTAGTCAGTCAGTAAGAGAAGATACTTTTTAATATGTATATATGTATAGAAATTAGGATACAACACAAAACTGATTTTATCTTCTCACTACGTAATATAATATTATGTAATTAAATATATATATATAAAATAAATTTATAATATACTTTACAGTTTGTTCTATCTGACACCTGTTATAAAAGACTATATGATGTAAAGAGGTACTATTTTTGAATTCTGAGTGGAATGAAGAAGCTTATGGTTTTACAAAGATGTTTTTAAAACTTGAATGTGATAATTTTTAATAGAAAAAATAAAAGTTGTTTTAAAATTTAAATGATAGTAGGAAATCATTTTTACTGTAATTAGAAAACAATAATAAGAAGTGGCTGATGATACTTGCACACAGATAACGGCGAAGCAGATGAAGACAATTCAGAACAAAATTTGAAAATCAAACTCTAATATCTATAAATAAAGTTGTTGTATAAAATCTTTTAATTGTGTAAATCATATCAAAAATATCAAAACCACATTTATTTATTTATTTATGGAAAGTTTAAACTGGTTTGTGTAAAATTAATATTTAATCTTGTTCCTTCTCATAATTTATCATAATCAACGATTATCAAACCAGTACTAATCAAACGATAAACCGTTGCTTGATGAAATGATGATGATAACATAAGAAAGTAAATCAAAAAGGCAACAAAAAAGGTGTCTTGTGATTTTTTGATTAAATCATTTTTTCTGATAGAAAACATCATCCGTGTTTTTATAAAATATGAAATCGTGAAATTATACATTTTCCTACATTTTTTCCTCACTTAAGTGCTTTTATATAAAAAATGGTGTCGGAAATCAAAAAATGACTTCTTTAAAGTACCATCTAGACAACTTCAGTTTTCAGAAAAGTTGCCAAACGTAAAATCAAAGCAAGTTTACTAGGAAAAAACATGTCCAAAGACTAGAAGAAAAAAGTAAACATCTTAGTAAAACCAATCTAAAACTATGACATTTTCACTCAAAAAAAAGAAAAAAACATAACACCATTTTCTTCACATTATACCATAGAGTATGTCATGTTCAAATTATGTTTTGTATTTCAATTTTTTAAAATCTGAAATACAATAACAATTACCTGTAAAAGTTATAGATACAACATTTTACTTGTAAATGATAGGTCCTATAAGAGATCATTTACAGAGTATTTAGCACTATTGAGTACTCTAGAAACACCTTATGTTATTTATAGAACTGTAAGAGCACTAATGATTATGTAAATCAACATTTTCACAACCCGCCGGCCATTAGGATATAAAATAAAATCCATTCTCAAATATCGTGATAAAGAAAATAGATATTTCTGTTGTCTATATAGATGATAACCAGTTAAAATTAATTAATATTATGTTAATGGAACTAATGTAGCTTACAATACTTATATATTGTTAGTTTAAGTGGTAGGCACATTTTTAAGATATTCTAATACAAGTTTATAATTTCATAAACAATATTTTATGGAAAACTCAAGGATTTGTATATAAAATATAATATTAAAATGATTTATCAGTTAGGTAGTTATGCTATTAGAATACCTAATACAAAGCAAATAAGAGTGTAATTTACAGTAATACATAAATCTACAGTCAAGTAATCTTAATTTTTGTCCAATTAAGTATACCTACCTAATAATTATAATTTTATAACATTTACTGATTTAGGGCCATTTAAAAATGTCTCGTCATGTGTTTATTAGTTCTAACCGGTAATTATTTTTTCTATGAACTATCAAAATTCTGTTGGTTAACTGATGGTTAGATAGTTCCAAACAGCTTTTAAGGATAAAAATATTAACAAGCCATTATGTAAGTAATATTACAAACCTTTGGAAATGTAGCATCTATTTGTCTTTGCAAAGCATTTCTGTCGCTTTCCACTTCAGCCAATTGTTTTTCAGTCTCATCAAGCCTGATTTGATTTTTACTTAGAGACTCTAGAAGTTTGTTACGTTCATCAACAACTGAATCCATAAACTCGTTAATGCGAACATCTTCGCCAGTATACTGATGGAGTTGACTGATATTGTCTTCTGTTATGGTCGGCATAACATCACACATCATGTTCCACATCTTGATAGTAGGTATTTAATTTACAGTAGGAATTTTATAACATTAACATAATATTACACCGGTTCATTTTAATTGTTATTCTGAAATTAAAAAAAAAACCACTTATCAACATTTATTTAGAATAATAATTATATAAGGCGTGCTGGTAGAAATCATGAGAATTTTATCAACTTGAAATTTCAAACCGAAAAGAAATTAACATTAGATATGTTTTGGTATCTTACGAACATATAGATTTGTACACTTTTCCATCATAATATTTTCGTTGGAACACATCATGTAGTAATAGTAACAGTAGTAGTGTTAGTTGATCGGACGCAATTGATTTTCGCACGCCGTGACACAATAATGTATTAGAAGATACCGTGTCGATATAATGCATTATCAATCAAATTAACTTTATCACGTCTAGCCCGGGCGAGCATGGCAAAATATGTTACGATAATAATACACAATATAGGTGCATTATTAAAATTAAAAAAAACCACTGTAGGTGTTAGTTTTTTTTTTTCAATTTTTTGTTGTCAGAAATTCAGAATGGGCGTTGTATGATAGTGACACTGGGGGCGACTGGCGTGTGGAATAATAAAGATTATGTTGCTGTTAGCTGTTGGCATCAAAAGTATGAAACCTGCGAGTTAGGGGAAAAAAAAGGATATCCGTGAGTACCCCCACCCCTGTTTAGGCGACAGACAATAGCCCGATGATGAATAATTGACATAAAAAATCGAGATAAAATCTAGCCTTATCAATGGCAATATACGGCAACGGCGGTAGAAAAACTGGCTATACCGTTCTTATCTATAGAAACGTATATTTACTTACGCATAAAAATCGGCAATGTCTCCAACGGGACAGCGGTTGACACTTGGGAAGATTTACGCATGCGATTTACCGCACATAGTAATATTAATTATTATTGTTCTGACATTATGATCGACGAATACCGTGACGACAATAAATTATTATTCCGAAACGTCTACAATTGCACGACGACGACGACGTTCGAGACACGCCTCTGGGCATATCGCGCGACTTTGCTTACCGTCTGGCGATGTAACTGAATATTATTAGTGATAATAGGAGTTAAAAAAATGTATAGTTTACACACTCGTAATTATAACAGTAATTGTATTCTATTTATCTATATACGGGACCCGGAATGAAAGTCTCGGCCACTGCGGCCATGTTTGCCCTACGATTGGGGGGTGCGTTTCATAATCCATGGAAGAAATGTTGGGCGGGTGCGGCTGTTTCCATGACACTCGGGTTGACACTGCGCGGTTCAGCGGTTGTCCGCGGACTCAAAACCGGCGGTGCAGTGCGCTCGTTATTGGCGTGCGGTGGCGCCCGGTCGTCTGACGACGTTTACGGTGCATAGCGGTGAAGTCTACGCTAATGTGCTATGTGCCGTAATATTTTTCTGTACGTCGAAATTTCATAATTAATGATTGGTATCAGTGACGCAACCAAGATTTTTTGAAGGGGGTATCATATATCTATATATTGAAAAACAAACGGATATACTTCGTACGATGGACGCACGTTGTCGGTGAGAAGTTGGGATTTGGGAATGTAAAGGGGAAATTTAATATATATCTGTACGCAACGATTAACTATTGCTAACGAAAAACTATTCTGAGCGGAATTTGATGGAACATGTTTTTAAAAGTTATAATAATTACTATTTGAAAATAATATATTTCGTAAATTTTCAATTTTACATCTGAAAGCGTGATTTTTTTTAGATTATAAAAAAAATAATTGTTAAAAATACCATAAAATGTAAAAAAAACAACTATCATAGCAAATCCATTAAATTGGTTCTGATTCACAAACCTTTTTAGATATGTAATGTTTGTATATAGTATGTACCTATTATCGATACCTATGTTAAATTTGTTAATTATCATTTAATTTTCTTGCTAGCACTACCGCAGATTGAAAGGATGAACTATGTATTTAAATGCTTTTCCACTGGAAACAAAAAGCAAGATAGCATGTTCTCTCCATTATTTAGATTCCAAGCGTAGCGATGGAGCTATTAGTGTTACTAAGATGTTTATTTTTTTCCTTCTTCTAGTCTCTGAATACGTTTTCCCATTAAACTTGCTCTGGTTTTACGTTTGGCAACTTTTCTGAAAACTCAAGTTGTCCAATTGATACTTTAAAAAGTTATTTTTTGATTTTCGACGCCATTTTTTATATAAAAGCATTTAAGTGGGAAAAAACGTAGGAAAACGTATAATTTCACGATTTCATTGTTTTATAAAAACACGTTTTTTAGACGACGTTTTTTAACAGAAAAAATGATTTAATCGAAAAATCAAAACATACATTTTTTGTTACTTTTTTGAGTTAATTTCTTATAGTATCGACGCCAAAACTTTTGAGTCACTTTTAAGCTTTTGAGGAATTAAATTTTTTGCTGTAATTCGGTTATAAAAACATGTAGACTTGAAACTTGTTAGTAATACTTATATTGGACTTACCTATACGTAGTAAAATTTCCAAATTTATCGGACAACTTTTTTTTTTTTAATAAGCGTTTTGAAATTAAATTTAAACGAAAATCGCAAAAAAAAAATACGGCACTTCAAATTATGTGTTACCGAACTGTGTTCGGAATTGTCTTTCGTTAGTGGCCGCTCCCATCCTCAGTATCAACTCTTTTTTTTATTTTTGGTTGTTGAAAATAATAAAAGACAGAAATAAACGATAACATAAAATTAATAAAGTACACAGATTTCTATAATATATTATATGTGATAAATGATATAAGAATATATGTTATATGTAATATATATAAATATAATGTCATTGCAGACTGCAGTAGTGAATCATTTTACTTGGCGATTTAAAAAAAATTGTATGCATATATATTTTATAGCATCTTCAATATTAAAACAAATATCGATTAAATCAAAAGTAATTCTACACAAAATAGTTAATAAAATGGTGCCTACACCGTTCTTGCACAATAAATTATTGCAAAATTAATAATTAATCATTTAGGTTTCAATCAAATTAATAATCAAGTTAAAGCCATAAATATAACTATTAATATTGATGTATTAGTTGATTTATAGTTATATTATAGCGTTAAGTGATTAATTTCCTAGATTAAAATGTAATTAACAAAAATATCCTATACACTGCATTCATAGGCACAACTCCCTAGTTGGTCTTTAGCGCCCCCAAAAAACCCATTCACCTTTTTCATGGTAAAGACTATATATTTTATCTATATATTTCATAACTAATGAACAGAACAAAATATAGGAAATATATTTCCTACAGAATCTAATACTGCATGCGTGTACAAAAAATAATGTTAATATATTTATGATAAATTTGTTTGTACAAAATTAATTGAATTAAAATAAATGAAAATAAATTAAAGGTGTAGTTGACTATTAAACAGACGTGTAAAACGGATTGTGAGAGCATACTCTCATGAGTCTTTGATGTTTCCGTAATTTTAGCACCCTCAAAGTTGATGATCTAATTGCGCCTATGACTGCATTTATTGTAAACTTTTGTTTTACGTTTATTTTTTTTTAAATTTTTTGGCTAGCTAACGTTTAAAAAACAAAATTAAATCTATTCTACAAATGAATTAATATGAATGTTGATATTTTCTAATGCTATTTTATATTCGCCTACTTCTACTATATTCTTTATAAATGTATAATATACATTTTATTTTTATTCAAAAATAAATTATTAAATAACGCTCGCTGTATAAAGTATGATGAATAGATTATACACGCAAACAAAAAAAGAGCTGATATTGCTGAAGGTGTGCTGTTGTAGATGTCAAGTTGGGCAGGTAGGATGCACAGAGTTATATAATTTATATCTGTACGCAGTGATACTGAACTCAATTATTTTTCTATGTGACAATGAACAATAACTTATATCCATGTTACGCCTTATCAAACCTAGGGATTCCGGGCGTCGGGTACTATGGAACGTTTATACTTATATACTAAAATATTTTGTATTCGCTGGATGCCCCATTGTCATTATGTTGTCTCGTTAAATCTTGATATATTAATTTGCAGCTAAAATAATATAAATACAAATCAGTATTTATTTTTGAAGTTGATATTTTTCTATAAATTTCGTAAGCCAAAGGTCAAAGAGTTTTTAATTTTTTCTACAGTATTCCGGCATCCGGATGCCCCACAAACATCTGCTGCCTAGGGCAAGTGCCCTTAAAACCCTTACGGCCCTCAGTATACGTAAACCCACCCTTTAAATTAGATGTGAAGTCGGCTACACATATACCAATATATAGGTTCAACGTCAATGTCTGTATGCAATACGATAAATCATTGCTAATGAAATAATATTATAAGTGAAATACTATGATTTTTACAAACAAAGTGTTAAACCTGTTATCTGTTACCCGATACCTGTTAATAACTCAAAAATCTAAAAAATGTTTTGGACATTTTACCATGGTTAGAAAAGGTTAATAAAAGTATTATGTGAAAATTCCAAATCTTTGCATTATTTTGAACCAAATTACAACAAAAATTTAAATTTAAAATAATTAAATCGTTATTACCCTATACTTTCTTCCCACCTGTTTTTTTCAATTGTTAAGAAAACTGCAAAGAAAATAAAGAACTGGCCTCCTCAAAACTCTATTACACTAATTAAATATAATCTTCCTTCAGAAGAGATGCTAAACTCGGACCCTTAAAACTCAGAGAAATATTTCCATTAGAAATGTTATTAACAGACAGAAAAAGCACATAATAGTAACATTGTAATACCTACATTAGGTACCATACTACATTTACCTACATAAAACATCGATTAAAAAAAAAGAATACATAAGTTATGATTCAATTTTAAATAGATTTTATTTTTATAGTATATATAATAATAATAATATAGATTCCTTATGCGGCAATTATATAATGTAGTGTTTTAATATTATAAATATCATTTTTTTTTCGTATCGGATAATATTATATAAACAATAAAATTGATAATATATTAATAAATATATAATAATATATATTAGTATAAGTTATCTATATAAGTAGAATAAAATATGATTTAAACCGTAAATAATAATAGTACAATATTATAGAAAAAAGAAGAAAAATAAATAATTATTATAACAATATTATAATTTTAAAATATATCGAGACGGTAAAAAATATGAATATATAATAATATTATAATTTGAATAAGATATAATATTATGAAAAATGTGTGTGTGTCGTGTTAATAATATTATGATGTTAGTATAATATGCGGTCGTTATTGTAATTTAGATCAAAAATATTATATTATAATACATCTACTTTTTACCACACTCGATACAATAATGTTATGTCCCTACGGTTAAAATGTTGATACGTATATTAAAGTATAGATTATTAGTAAAAATATTGATTACTATTATAATAAGCTGCATGATCTCTGTTTTTTTCGGTGTTCTACTGGAAATTAATGAAGTGCCGAATGAGCATTCCTACACAAGATTAAGAAATGAAATTGAGAAAATAACACAAATACTTGTATACCTTAATATATTTCGAACAGTGTGTTTCGGAAGTCTATGAATGACAAGTTTTTGATTTTTTAAGAATATGCAGTCAGTGGTGTGTAGAGAGGAGGGGATAGGAGAGGAGGGCTATACTCCTTCTATTCGATTTAAAATACAATGACTATGAGTATTTGTAATTTAATCTTAAAAATGTATATATTTTAATCAAGTTATGAAGGAAACCTTGATTTACTGATTGAAAGATGACTTTTTCGGATCCGGTTTTTGAATTCCCTGCATAAGTCAAATTAGGTAGAGAAAAAAATTCTACGATTTATTCATGATTATTATTTTCTATATGCCCTCAAATTAAAAATTCTTGCACACGCCACTGCATGAATTCAGACACGTAACCAGGGAGAGGATACATGAGGTCTAGACCCCCTCCTGCCCCGAAATTTAAGCTTCTCACCAAAAAATCATAATATTGGTAGACCCAACCCCTGAAAATTCTAGTTACGTACCTATATGAAGTATTTTATATGAAGGATTTTATTTGGGTTTATATTTTTCATTAAAAATCTGACCTCGGATTAGAAAATAAACGGGAAGAACTGCACTTGTTATTTAAATTATAATATTTATTTTATAGGTGTTGATATATAGAGTACCTATAATAAAGCGATTTAAGAAACAAGCGCACTGTGATCGTTCAGTTCTAAGAGTTCCGTTTACATCAAGTTCGGTTCATCATGCCTATTGTCTATAGAAAAATTGAACGAAGATGGGCACTCAACTCGTGCAATTTAGTTGGCAGAATGGAAAGGACTGATTTGATGTGTAAACAAAGAAAAAATCTTGTATTAACCTAACACATTCAAACTAAATTAAATGCAATAACGCCTCCTGCAAGTTTATAGGGTGCAGTTTATTTATGCAAGTTTTATTATCCCCTCTAATTGGTTTAAAAATAGAACAACTATGACTACTTTATGAGTATTTATATAGTCATTTAATCATGAAATGTATTCAGCCAAGTTACATGGATAAGATTGATTTATTTAATATAAATTGGATTTTTTTGTATCCGGTTTTTCAATTTCCGTTATCAAATTGGATAAAGAAGAAGATTATAAAAATATATTCATGATTATTATTTGGTACATACTCGACTATTAAAAATTCTTGGGCATCTAGTTAACGGATTCAGTGTGCTTGCTTCTTAATAGTATTATTATAGGTAATAATTAATCAGTAAATGCGTCTGAATGAATAGGTAATAAAAAATACGATAATATTTATTATAATATATTAAACATAAACATATTATGAACCTATAAAAAAAAAGAAACACAGCTGATATATTATTTTAATACTTTATTATACACCTACGTAAAAAACCGATAATAATTATAATAGACTGTGAAATGATCATTGTATTACAACACGTATAATTTATGTTATAATACGAGTAGTAACTACTTAATAATGTTTGTCAATATTATAATATTAAATATTGATAATATTGTAGTGTTAGGTCATAAAACATTTTAATAATATTATATATTGCTTAAAGGTGAAGATTAAAATTTAATATAATATGAAAAATGTCTTAAACAGGTACGCCTGAAAAATGATTATGATATTCACTACACAAGCAGAACGCAAGGGGTATAAAATTGCATTAGGTATATTAAACAAAAAAAATCCCCGAAAACGAAAATAAATAAGACGTGTTTAATAATAGCTCATTAGGCATGCGATGTTATTTAATTAATATTAGCCATTAGGTAGGTATATTCGAATCAATAATTTTATTATATATTTAAGATTTAACACATATGAATAATGTTTTTATGTATTACAAACTAGATAATAAATAATAATAATAATAATGAATGTTCAATATAATTTATTATAATTATAATATAATAATAATAATAAAAAGATATGTTTAAAGTCATACGATGATATGTATTATAAATAGTGTTTGCGTTATATTTTAATATAGTTACGATATGTATTGTGATATGTAAAATTATTTAGTATAATATACGAGATTAAAATAGTATAATAATATAAGTTCCTTTTAATTGACCGAAAACAATTATTATAATCAGTATTATTGGGGAAGATTATTATATTAAAATTTCTGGGAAGAAAAATTCATGATCCAGTATTATATTATGTAGAAATAGGGAAGTGTGTTGAATGAAATTAAAATTATTATTATTTTTTTTTTTTGGTAAATATAAATCGTAGATGGATAATTAATATAATAATGTATAGGAATAGAAAATTACAGAGGATATTATATAGAGAATTGTATACAAATCCGATATTATTAGTTTGATATTATATTAATCTAGAAAACCGGTGTTGACTAGCTTCTCAAGGAAAAACTTCACGTCACCCAGTTCGGAATCTTTGATGCCCAGACTCTTCAACATACCGATGTCGCCGTTCTCGACGGCAATGAACACCGAGCGCAAATGTTCCAAGTCGGATCTCATCAGATGAAGTGCAGCGCCGAAATCCTCAATTGTTTGTGATTCTATATATGAAAATACTATAGTAGATACACGCATTCAATATGTGAATTGCTAAATACATAAGAGGGAGGGGGTATATTAATAATTTAAAACTTTTCAAGATAGACAAAAAAATCTTTAAGCATCTAGAGTTTTGTAATATTTCATAACATGACTGTACAAATGTATAGATTATATCAAACACTATAATAGAAGTTATTAACATGATACTTTTTACAGAAATTTAAGTATTTTTGTCTTCCTTTTAAAATTTAAACATGTGCTCTTTTTGTATTTAGCGATTCCTGTATTTTATTTATTAAATTCTATGTATATTACAAAATATGAAGTAGGTATAAATATTTATACGAATACAAACCAGAAAGTGTAATTGCGACTTTTTCGACGCCTCCCAACGGTTCCAATGCGTCTCTAGCTTTGTTACCGAATAGTTTCTCTAAATAGTTCGGTCCGTGACTGGCCAACAATGATTGTAAAAAGCTCGCTGTTTCTTCAACCGGTGGTCGTTTAGCTATTATGATACGAGAATAGAAAAATAATGATATTAATTTTCTAAAATATACAGAAGCCGTAGCTAGAAATATTTTTCTGGTTAGGCTATATAAAGTAATATAAATGTTTCAATAAAAAAATTACCAATATACATTTATGATTTTACAATTGTGTTATTTTTCAGAAAAAAGTGAGTAGGCCAGGGCTTACAAGCTTGCCCGCTAGCTGCACCACTGATAATATACTAGTTTTTCAATCTAAATGTATTTCAATTTTAAAATAATTGTTTGAATATAATATTAATTAATAGTTTCGTTTGCATGCGATTTAAATTAAAATGGGGTCTATTTATTATTAGTTATTAGTTTATTACTATTTATGCCAAATGAAAACATACACGATGCTTCTAAACTTAAAAGAAAATACATTGATCTAATAATATTATTATTTTAATATAAAAAATAGTTTTCGAATTTTACAAAATTGGAGACAATTTGAAAACCCGTTTCCAATCCTCTGAAGTTGTCAGTTTTAACACTATTTTAAATTTATTAATCTTACCCTTTATATCATGAGTATACACTTTGTTTTCAAATAAAATACCTCCATTTTTAAATATAGATTCTTCTCCGTATAACCTTTGTTCGAATTCTTTATTACGTTTAAAAGGAAGGGGAGGTTCTTATTTCAAAATCATAAATACATTATTATTTATGGTATAAGGTGTGAGGTGAAAATTTATTTTAAGTAGTATTAAGATAAAACTTAATCGATTCATCGATTGGAAAAAAAACCATAAATCAAATTCATTTAAAACTTCCGAAGAAATCACTAGTTTATGATAAATGGATCACTCTGTATGTTGTATAGGTAGGTACTGAGGAAATACTACAATGTTATGACTAAGTGTATAGTTATACATTTATAAGAGTTTGTAATCGTTGGAATAAGTACTTAATTTAATTTTTATTCGGCACGTAATCTAACAACATAGATATAAATAATAGAATTATTTATACAATTATGTCTTTTTTTCCGTATATAATACCTAAGCTTTTTAATAAAATTTTAATAAAAAAATGTTCTATGTAAGTAGGTAGTACTTCTTTGTACTTTACTAGAATGATAATTAATTAATTAGGTATACCAACAGTTAATATTTTCTCTGTACTATATTTATAGCAAAAACATTTAGATATAGATTATATTATAATATATTATTATTTATTCATAACATATTATATAATTTGATACCTGCAAAAAATCTATTAATTTGTTCATACGCATATTATATATGTGATGGAAATCGAAGTAAACATATTATAGTGTAATAAGTGTATGGACATATTTTATTTCTTGATTAGCGGTCTCGTTTTATTTCTGATTGCCTTATTGTTATTGATTTTAGACTTTATTTTTATATGTATTCTAAGCGTAGCAATTAATGTATTTTTGTTCTGGTTAAGTCTGATGAATGTCAGATTATAATATTAACGTTATGTTTGGCCCAGAAACGATACATGCACACACACGCACATGTATACACATACACACATACATTGGAAAGACTTAAATTGCCTGCCAAATGCGCAAACATCGTTTATAGGAATAATACAACTGCTGTAATAATCGTGATTCCCGATCCAAATCCAAAGTTAAACCGATTTTTTCATCGTTTTTTGTAGGGACTTATATCATTGGTTATATTATAATATTCAAGCAGGCAACTCATGCATTGCTAATATTTGGCGACCATCCTTAAACGCTATCATTATACGATTATAGAGTATTTAGGATGCAGCAAATAGCGATAGTGGTACCCCAATATCATCATAGATGAACGAGTGGTACGAGCAGTTACGTTAACGAGGGATCATCAAATCTTCCTTCTGAATACTCTAGCATTCCATATCAGTGATCAATGTCTATACCTATTTTATTATTATTTTAATCACGTTTATATTATATAATATTATGCTAATAACAATATTTAAATATTCATTATGATCATAATTATCTTTCTGTATTCGGTTATAAATATTCATTAAAGTCACGATAACGGTGTCATTTTTAGTCAAGGCTCATGAATAAATAAAAAATGTAATTTTTCAAAAAGTACTTCAGTTGAGTTCATCCTAATAATACGAATTTATAAATGTAAATTTTCAGTATAGCTAATTATATTTTTTTTTTATCTACTATATATTATATATGTGATTGATAATAAAGGGTTTTTCTATTTTTTTTTTTTTATAATATAAAATATTTTAAAGAATAGAAAAGATTTAAAAAAAAAAAAATCGAAAATTAACAAAAAACATAAATTCATTTCATTTTTTTGAGTCAATGTTAGCGGATATTTAACTTTTTAACTCAACACAACGTAATACTATAATGTTAGTTTTACTTCGAGATTATTTGTTTTTCCTTTTTGTTGTTTGTTTTACCATTGGTGTTTATTTTTCATATTAAGTAGGTTATATTTTATTCGTAAAAATATAATAATACAAACAGCTTCAAGCAAATATACGGATTTTAATTTTATAAATTCAACAAATTAAGTTAATTAACAACGATTCTAAAAAGAAAATAGATATTATTTTCTAAATAATTATGTAGTTTTATAACTAGTCGAGTAAATAAGAAGTTACATTTTTACACTCACTACTTGAACTATAAAGATTGTTGTAATGACATTTGCATGATTAATATAATATTTTCCAAAATAAAAACGCCAATGTATATATTACAAACCTGCAGTACAAAGCCTGGCATCTTCGTCATAACCGTCTGGACAATCAGGAGCTCCATCACATAAATATTGAATAGAAATACAAGCACCGTTTCCAGGGCATTTGAATGGCTCATAAGGGTGACACGGTTCTCCTATAAAGTAAAAAAAGATTATGATTTTCTATAAAATAATATTTTGATTAATATATGCAATTGAAATTGGATAATATAACTGCATAGTACCATAGTATAGTACCTCGTATTTACATTCTTTGTACTCTTTCATAAGAACACTTTTTTTATACAACACATAGGAATTTCGAGGTGCACATTTTAAATTTTATACTGTACAGTGAACACGTTGGGCTCTTAAATACATTATTTTAGGCCTTAATAAGCAAATGTAAATTGTTGAATAGGGTTGGTATTTAAAAAAAAAAAAAATATTATTTTACTATGTATTAAAAGATTATTATGCACTCTTGAAATGTGGCGCCCGTTGTCAATGAATCACCTTATGGACCTCCTAAAACGTTCCTTGCCCCTTACTCGGAGCATAATATAATATATTTCAATTGATTCTTTTATCGTTAAACACTCATTATCTCGGAAAATATTAACATTTTTCGGAATCTGTTCTTTAAAACAGTTAAGAAATTGATTTCGCCTTCATACAAACTTAAATGTATGCTTTCTCTAAATTTATAAAAGCCATACATAAGTTATTCTTCTTATCTCTATACTTTTTTACAATCTATCTCATACAAAAAATCGGCTCCATTGTCTATTTCTCTAGCATAAAACTAAACTGGTTCATAGATATTGATGATATTGATGTCTCACTTCTAATTTTCTTTTCAATAACCTTTTTGACAATTTTCATACTATAACTCAATTTGATTCCTGTATAATTTCCAAATGTTTGTGTATCCTTTTTGCTTTTAAAAATAAATACCATAAACAATTATTTCTCTACTTGCATAGTAGTTTATTAAACAAATCTTTTCAACAGCTTATGCTTAATTCTCTTTTTCATACTTCCACTGGTATATAATTTGGACTTTTGGAAAAATTAAAAAAAAAGACTAATACTACTGATAGGACTGTCACTGTTTTAGAAGGAAAATTTAAAAAAAGTATATATATTGTATTTTTTTTTTTTTTATATCTGTACGCCATGTTAAACTATTTCCAATAAAAATATATTATCTTCCAAGTCGCCATTTATATCGAAACAAATGCTATACCCAATACCCATACATGTATATCATACATTTTCTTTAATCTATGCAAAAATTCAGAAATATGCTCTTTGTGACTTTATATACCAATTTAATAATAATATAGCTTTAAATTGTCGACTATCAGTAGTTAAAGGTAGAGGGTGAAAAGATGCCTTCTTTAAGGTAATATCGTCTATCCCCTTTAGTTTAAGTCTTTGAAACCTGAGTGGGGGACATATTAGTTATGGTCATTGAGGTTTTTTTAATGCAATTTTATAAACTCAAATTAATTCTACAAAAAATACATTTTTTAATACCTATTTTTGTATTATACATAATAAATGATAATCAAATTCTCTGTTTTAATTTATTTTTACTAAGCACACATATACTCGTAATATGTAGGGCAACATTCTTTGGGAAGAGGGAGCAAATTGTTAGCTTAAAATTGTACAGAACTTAATATGTATATGGGACAAAAACAATGAAATTCTTGCCTCCGTGATTTTTTTCCTAAATGTGTGGTTAAACTAAGTTATCAAAGACATCCTATCTTTTTTTTGTAAATATATTCTGCCTTCAAAGTTTTTTCCACTTTGACCACTGTCGACTACTGAGTTATATTATGAGTTTATCGGTTTAACTCATACAACGTGGTGGAATGCGTGAATCGCTTGCAGGTGTGTCGAGGTTCTGTGATAAAACTTCTACCTAACTCGAGTAAAATTTTTACCGACGAGTCTGCCTTATTATTTTATATTATTGTAAAACAACACCCGACCATGTGATAATAATATTATTTATTTACGTTTCACGCGTTTCCATCTATACAAATAATCCGGTAGCAGTTTTTATCCACCGCTATAATAATAAAAAACATCACACTATGATGTTCTACGGGGTTTCGTCACTACGCCAGTTAATATTATTACACGAAGCATTATTCCGTTTGGTTTCCCACGGGAACATCACAAGTTTAACGCTCCGGCGAATCTTCACGGAATCATTCTGTCGGAAGACTGCCGTACAACTGTTGAAAATAGCTACTTTTATTTGGTGGCTATGTAATGGTTAGGCCATTTAGTAGTTTAGTCACTTAGTAATTTTCTTGTATTGAAAGTTATATAAAATTAACTTAAGTCCATTTTCTTTGAGACCAAAGACATAATTTAACAGTTAATATTTAAACGCCAAAAAATGCTATAAACTCATTATTCTATACCAAAATATATTTTTCATAGCATCTTGGTGTATTTTAATTTTTTAATAAATCATAATTTTTAAAGGGGTTAAGTTGCGTTTATATTACATCGAATTGTACTCAGCTAAAAAAAAAATTTTATCTGAATTCCACCGGGATAAAAAAAAAACAAGTAGTAGTCGAACTGCACTCAAGTTAAGAAAAGGAGTTTCAAGAAAAATACTTGAAAAAAAACTTGGTATAAACACAAGACCTTCAACTATATGATAACAGAAAAACCAAAATTGAAAAATATATAACCTTCAATAAAAATAAAAATAAAAATAAAAATCAATAACCAACATTCAGTTTCTTATAACTACTATTACAAAGAAAGGGATGATATTGTTTATGGGAATACCATTGTTGTAAGCGGAAAGTTTGGAAGGTAAGATACATAGAGTTATTTAATTTATACCTGTGTGTAAAGATAAATTATTGCTGATGATTAACGAAATGCGGTTCTGAGCGAAGTTCTGGTAAACTTTTCAATTTTCATCAAAATTTGAATTAAAAACGTGTATAAAAATAACTATTATGTTACACTTGACTTTTTTTTGACCACTTAATATAACTTATAATGAACCTACTGATAAATTCTGAAGAATTGCAATTTGATCAAACAGTTCTAACCACACAAAACGGAAAAAAAACTAAAACTCGAAAATATTTATTGATATATTATGTCTTTAAAATTGTACAACGTCTAGAAATGTTTAATGAAAGTGTTCTATGAAAATTCCAAGTTTTATAATTATTTTAAACTAAATTACAACAAAAACAAAACCGAAAATAATGAATCCATTATATGCCATAAATGTTCACATTTTTCTTTAATTTTTACGAATTATTAAGAAAATTACACAAAAAAATTAAAAAATAACGCTTTTATACACCAACGAGTTAAAGTTTTTGTTATATAATGTAGGTACATAGAATTAATACTTTATTCATTAAATTTCTTTCATCGTTTTTTAAAGTTTAAGCACATCGTAATACATAGATTTATTATAACAATATCATGTAGAATATATATATATATGTATTACATTTTTAATATGCAATTAATGTATATTTATATTACATAAATAATATACAATATAATATGTACCCTGTGATTACCAATGTACCTATATAGATAATATTGTATTGTAAGTAAACAATATATTATAAAAGATACACCGTGTACTTACTTAAGTATATACATACATAGGTATACCGCATACATATATTATATATTTATTTATAATTTTATTAAAATTACAAAACCTCGGTTCATTAGATCATTAAGTTTTTGTACTATGTTACAAAAAATAGTATGAACATATTAATAATAAATACAATTTATGAGTTGTTTATCTTAATATTATAGCACTTTATGAAGTGTATAACCTGAAACTCCCGGTTTTACACATATTATTTTAAGAAGATAAATGTTCTTTGTTTTATATTATAGGTATAAACAAAGATTAATAAAATAATAAATATTAAAAGTATTACCGTATGCTATTATATTTTTGTTTATGTTAAAATATTTAGTATACAAAGTTATTTCAGGTTATGCTTTTTGTTCTATCCAATAAACTGAAATTAAAATGTTTTCATTGTTCCTTCTAAATAATAATAAATAAATAAATAATATCAAATATGATCAATATGATTAATACAAAACTTGGATTTTGTAAAACAAAATTTAATTTTTTTTTTTTAGTTTTAAAAATATAAGAATCGTAACGCAAATCATTTTTACAAAAAAAGATAATTTAAAAATATTAAACCAAAAAAAGTTATTGCACTTGTCCGTTTTCCACCAAACAACCTATACACGTTCTATGCTTTTTCTATGGCATGGGCGTCCATTGGGAGAGGGGCAGCAAAAGAAACTTGTCCTCTGGCCTTTTCATACCTACATTATTTATTTATGAACTTATAAGTTACCATTTTAAGAAAAACGTTTTAAAAAAAAAAAAACAATATTAAATTTAATAAATTGTCTCCTTCCTAGATTTTTGAAGAAAGACGCCCTTGACTATGAGATGTAGTAAAAATAAATTTCTTAAAAGATGGAATTTTTGAAATCATTTTTCCTTATCGTTAACTCATACCTAAATATAATCTACCTACCTATACAAAATTGTTTTAACTGATTTGTTTAGGTTAATAATTTATGTATATTATTTTAATATTTAACGTATAATTATTGATTAATTTTTTTAGGAATTTTGAGCAAACAGTTAAAATTTGAATTTGTTTGCCTAAGCATTGACTTAGGTATAGTATTCAATTAATTATTTTTAAAATTGTAATATGTGCCAGGTATTTACCAAATATTATAGATATACTCACCTATACTAAAAATATAATATTGTAATATTTAATAATAATATACTTATGTTATCAATAAATAAATATAAAATTGAAACGTCATAATACAAATATTACTCAAGATAAGTAGATACTTATAATGTGAAATGATAATAAATGTTTAGAGATGCGATCGTGAAAATAATAACATTTTCAAGTATACAAAAAATTTAAAAATATATTTTATTGAAAAAAAAATATGTTAAGTACGAATGCGCGATGCATTTCTAATTAAAAAACGATTTGATTTTATGATGTTTTGAAAAAGATAAATTTTTTTTCAGCTAGGATATCTACTATACAAAATGTCAGAATAATTATCAGCTGTATTCACTCACTATAAATATAGTATTGTGTAAAAAAGAAAAGACAATAAAGGTACATCATATTGTTTTACTATTTTGTTGTTAATAAATGAAATCGATACCCCCACGTCACTATTTTATGTTTCTATTTTATTATAGAATTTTAACGCAATATTGACGGGACATCAATAAACCTGTAAAAGTATTTCATATTATTCCTAATAATATAGAAATTTGTGTTTTACAATTTAGACACTCAATGAATTATCAATAAATCTTCACTTATATACAAAGCAGGTAATTGGCGGATCCAAGGGGGGCACAGAGGCACGTGATCCCCTGTCAATAGACTATAGTTTTTATTTTATATTTAATTTACTGAAAATATAAATAATGTTATTTATATTCGGTGTCTATAAACAACTTTCTTACCAGAAATCTGGTTCCGATTATCAATTTCAGGGGTTTCTAATTGAAAATTTTGATTGTTGGTCCATCTGGGAGATGAGTTAATTTCGGTTTTCGTTGTAATTTTGTCAATAACTGAGAAAAACCTTGACAATTTTTTGATTTATGTGCATAAAACATTCTTGATTTCATAAAAATGCTCAGCTATTTGATATTTGAAAACGCGGTTAGTTTTTAATTTTAAATTATTAAATTTTTAATTTAAGTTTATTAAAACATGTGTAACTGAAATTTGTTATCAGAATTGTCTTTCGTTATCAAATTGACAATGGTTAAACGTTGCGTAAAGATATAAATTAAATTACCCTACATGTCCTTCATTTGTCTGGTCTGATACTGCTCACGAAGAATAATCTATTTTCTTTTAAATCTGTTTGGTTCTTATGTATTTTTAGTTCCCGAACTATGAAACTAGTATAGATATTTGTTTTGGTTTGCTTGTTCCTCAATTAATAAGTAGGTCTAAAAAGAATTTAAGTAGCTTGCATAAAATCCCGAAAAATAGTTTTGAGGTTTGAGCTTAATATGACCACTATTGCAGTATATGGGAAATACGTTTCCAAAAAAAAAAAAAATATATATAAAATGGTTTTCTACTTAATTCATTCAACAAACAACCCATGTTTTCTGAATGGATTTATAATTGCCTCGTATTATAATGCACAAAATATTACAAATATTGTATACTAGTAAAATAAAATTTTACAGTAGATCTGTTGTGTCATTAATAATTTTCAAGAGCTTTAATTTTTACCTCTAGTACACCGATAATATAATGTATGCATTTTGCCTAAAAACATTTGTTTTCTTAATAAAATTAATGAATTCATTCGATTGGTAATAGGCTTTCTCAAAATAGGTGTTATGTTTTGCAAATTTCGGAAAATGTAAGTCCATACCTATTGTTTCCAAGTTGGAAACTTAATAATACATCTAATATGCCATATCGAAATATCGAATCGAATACTTTGTATAGTACTATTACAACATTAGACATAAACTATATTTGACAGAAAGTAAAACAATCAGAGACCTTCGAGTTGAATTCTCCAAATCGAACCTCTCATTTTTTGATTGTCGGTATTTTATTTGTTTAGGTAACGCGTAGGTAGATACCTACGAATTTCATTTTAAGTTTTTCGCTCCTTGAACTTAGCTTTTCGAGTTCTACGTGTTACATTTTCTCGTACACATTCTCCGCAATTTAATATACCTACCTATTTGGAAGTACATTGAAATATCGAAATGATAATTTTCAGTACCTAGATTAATAAACTGATTTAATAATAGGTCAAATTTTGATATAACTATTTATTGAAAGTATAAATGTATATATGTATACAATTTCTGAAAAAAAAAATAGCGCATTTCAATTATTATTTATTATTTTAAATGGTAAGTTTAATTATTATTTTACAGCTATTATACATTGCTGAGCGTTGGTATATCCTAACCTATATGTTATTATTATATTATTATATTATTAAATTATTTTAATTATTTAATGTTTATTATATTTGCATTAATGCAATGAACATAATGATATGCATATTAGTGCGTATACGAGTCGTTGTTTGTGTGTATTATTATATACAAATAATATTATTCAGCCTAATATATGACGTTGGGGTACGCCAATAAAACATACAAAAATCTTAATCGTAATCAAATAAATTTCTGACTAAAAACTTGAATCAGAATTAGCATAATAATATTCTTTCGGCGATTAGTCAATAATAAAAACACATCAATAAAAAATATGACAACAATAAGTATTTATTTTTTTTTTTTTATTTTTTTTATCTTACTCTTTACAAACTATTTATTAATATATACTATGGAGAAATAAAATGTTTTTTATATTACTTTCTGATAAATTTCCATTGAATATTTATGATTCATTTAAATAGTATTTTATTGATAACGTGTAGTCATATGGTTTCAATACTTATTGACTTAGGTATTGTAAACTAACGATATTATTATTATTTTTATTGAGAACACAGTTCTTTTTTTTCGATTTTACAAAACAAAATCGATACGATTTTTAAACTCTCCTGATTGTGTATTAGTTAAAAAAACATTATAAGAGTAACAAGTCATTACCAAATTGTAATACTACATATTTGTATTTGTTCGTTTTTCAATTAACTATATTTGTTTACATAATATCGAAATGTAAATTAATTAAACTACATATAGGTACCTAATTTCTTAACATTTTAAAAGCAACATTCAAATTAAATCTTTTAATTCTAATAAAATAAAAATGCAATTAAGTAAACGTAATACACCAAGGTGATTGATATTAATAACACTTCAATCACTGTTATGTTATTGAATATTTAATAAATTAATAACAACTTATAATTATATCATATAGTTAAATACAAATTCTGTTAGTGAGGATTAATTTTCAAACGGAATTTTTATAGTCCGACCAAACTTTAAGGGTACTATGTAAAAATTAACGATTTTGTCTATACACATAATTAAACAAAAAAACAGTTTTTAATTTCACTACAAATTATATTTGTATATTTTTTACAACTTGACAAGTTATAATTTGTTAGGCATTAAAAAATGGGTTATGATTTCATTATTTATGTCAATATCTTCTAAATCATTGTTCAGGAACCATCAATTAAATAAAATAATCAAAATCCAGCTATTTTGCATATTTTGAAGGTGATAACGAATTAAAACAATTTTTTGAGTGATTTTTTTTTTTTACTAGTATTTCAAACTATTTGTAGGGGGTAAATAGCTATTGCGTTTATTGAAATGTAAAATGAAACACTAAAAAAAAAAATTATTGAACTAAAATAACAGAGTGTATTTATTTTTTTTTCGTATTATTAATAGTTTGACATTGTTGAGTATTTGTTTATTGTTAATATTGTATAATTAGTTGGAAATAGCTACCTAGGTATTATGCAATAAACTACTATTCCACTACTTATATTATTTTATTTAAAGAAACATACTAAATCAAATGTTTTAGATCTAAACGGTTAAAATATGTTTTACGTACCTAGTTCATAATTCAAATCGATCTTGTTTTTTTAACGGGTTTTTGTTTTATGATTTAAGAGCATTAAACAAAAAGTATGACTTTTTCCGTAAAAGAATATATCTCACCCGTTTTTATATGAAAAATGGTGTTGATTAGCCACCGTCCATTTTATCACACATTTTTAATTTTTAGTATTGCCATAAGTATTTTCTAAACCAAACGAAAATAGCGTACCCGTTAAAAAATGTGTACAAATATGAAATATTATCTAGACATTTTTGTTTTAGTTGGTTATATTGCAGCATAATAATTATTATCATATAGGTACCTAACATAATAGTGTTGTATTTGTAACTTATGTCAAACTGTATTTTTTCCATATGTATATATATTATTAAAATGTCTTGAATTATGCATAAATTATACATTGAACCAGAATATCCTACGTTCTACAGAGGCGTGTGAATATGATATGTTGGTTCATGATTATAAAGGCGAATGTGTTATTATTGTTATATTATATAACATTTGTGTAAATATTACAATAAGAAGACTATAAACCGTGTAGCTAGTTGATTGAATTACACGCATGTCAACGTTAAATTATTCAAAGAAACCGATTTTTAATGGACATCTTTGACAGAAAGGACTGTTTGGTTTTGTAAGTATCGCTATGGATACTGTTTGTTTATATCTTTATATTATTTTAAACTGTTTGATTATTGAATACTTTGCAGAATAATATTCGAGAAGAGTTAATGCAAAATAGTAATAAAAAAAAAACTATTATGTTATTATTATTATTATTATAAGTAATACATATAGTAGTTAGTTTATATTTGAATTGAATTTACAAATTAATAATCATGATAATATATTTTAAGTGGATAGGTTTTATTTACCTATTTTCGAAAAGCGAAACTAACGTCTAATTTACTAAACTTACTGATCGATATTAAATTATAATATACCAACTCACCTGAAAACATAATAAATAAAACATTTTTTTCTATACACTTGTAAAAAAAACTATTATATTACGATAAATTTCTTTTTATACCACTAATTACAATTTATAATAAACCTCGTGTTAAATTTCAAGCATTTCTAATTGGTTAAATAATTTTATCCACATAGTACTAAATCAATTTATAACTCAAAAACTCAAAAATGCGAAATGCCTACAAATAGGTTCATAAATCATAAGTGTCAGAATGTTTTTAAAATGTATACGTATTAGTATTATCAATTTAAGTATTCTACGAAAATTGCAGGCCTCAACGAATATTTTCAACTGATTAATAACAAAAAATTAAAAATAATGAAACCGTTATTTCCGTTAACTGTCCCGTTTTCCTTGTTTTTTTTTCCGGTTTTGACCAACTACTAGTAACGCCGAAAATTTGTGCTTTTTCTTTTTCTTTTCGTATTTTATGAGTTTTTACCAATTATTATTATAAAAATTAGTTGGAAAACCAAAAAATGAATTACTTACATACAAATTGAATCAAATAAAAAACTTTATTATTTTTTGATTGAAACAAGATTTCTAGTAGAAAAGTTTTTAACAGATACAAAAAAATATCTTTAAATATAGCGTGATTCAATAAGCGTGCTCATCCCATTTTTTTGGTTAAATTTAGCATATATATTCAAATTTTGATTTTTGAATTTATTTGAGTTTTATTAGTGCTCCATAACGCTCCCCCTATTTAATATTAAAAGTGGAATATCTCGTCGACGGGTTGGTGGAAATTAAAACATTTTAACATCAACATTTATATAAACAAATAATCCATATTTTATTCTTGGATTTTTTTTGAATAGGATATTATTTGAAAAACCAAAATTGATTTCTTCACAAGATACTCCTTCAGTATTGTGAAAAATCGAATTATTTGAAAAAATTGGCTATAATTACACTTAAAAATTTTAAAAATCAGAACTTGAATGTATGAAAATTTTAACCAAAAAACAGGTTAAGCACGCTTAGTGAATAATTTTGTTTATATAAAACACCGCCCCATTTGTCTGCGTAAAAATCAAAGCTATAATACAAATTGATGAACTTCAATAAACAATTAAATACTTAAATCGTTGGTCATATTTCTCATTAACAAAGAGTATAGAATTATCGCATTATAATCTTATTTAATTTATGGTAAATAGTAGGGGCGTGGAACGAATATCTATGGCAAAAGTTACTATTCGGGAGCACTAAAATTAAAACCATCCAGATAAGTGAAAATTACAATTACACGTCCACCGATAAAAGGAACTTCAAAAATGACAAATTAGCTCGAACTTGTCTGCCAGCCGCTAACGTTGATGAATGCTCGATATTAAAGTACTCCGACTAATCAAAACTAATCAACACACAAAACAGTAAATATCACATTTTAAAATCGTTTACTGTGTTATATTTTTAAGTAGGTATAATTGGTAATACCTGTTATATTTATTTATTTTATCATATAGATAATGTTTCGTTTTTATCGGAGTCCAAAAAAATAACGACCCATTTATAATATTAATTTACAATCATTTTTAACTGAAATACTATCATTAGTATTACCAACTCATATTCCTCTGTATATCACGAATTTAGTTAAATAAGTACAACTATTTATGAAGAATAAATAATTTTTTTAATGACTACAGTGAGAGTTCATATAAATTTAAATGAGATCGTCTTTTAAAATTATTTTCTCAATTCCCTTATACCCATAACAATTCAATAAAGTCCCTTGACAATGACTAACTAAATTTTATGTCTTAGGTACTTAAAAAATAAATATTTACGAGCAATTTTAAATTTCTTTATTGCTACGGTTTTTTAGTCCATTACTAACCCTCTTACTATCTACTATTATTATCAGTCTCCAACTTATATTTTGTTCGCCATTGTGTGGTCACCTATAGATCCAATTAATTAAAACTGCATGCAGAAAATCGGTTGTAGAAAGTAAGGCAAGGAATGTATTGGTTTTACAATATTTTGTTTTTTATTTTATTAATTTAGTTTATTAGTTAGTAAGTTTAACTAAAATTTGTTAGTAGTTTATTTTATTTGTTTTTTTTTTATACTGTGTACAAAAATTCTACTTAAATCTAAAAAATTCTAAATCTTACTCTTTCAAGTGTAGTACCTTTTAAAAAAAAAAATTGTATCTAGCCTATGTGTAAGCAGTAAATGAATGTTCGTAGGCTTATGGTTAAATATAATTACCTATCACTTAGGGATAGGCACCGTCACGTATTCCATCATTATTGCAAAGTAACTTTTGTATTTATTTATTAGTTTACTAGTTTTATATATTATCAGGACAGAAAAAATAATATCTCTGCATTATCAAGTATTGTAAAATTAAATTTGTACTTTGGTACATATTTTACGAAAATGGAAAAAAAAAGTAATTCAATAACATAATATTTTGATGGTTCATTTCACACTGAAAATTATGTGATGAACGCAACAATATAACATCACATTTTTTTAGTGTTTTCAATTTTTGTCGAAATATGAAACCTCCATGTAGGTGTATCTATATATAAATGTGTTTTGTATGTTAAATCGAATTTAAGATCGCTTTTTTCGGAAAAGGACTTACAGATGCCAGGTGGAAGTTTTTATTTTTTGACATTCGTGATATCAAATTCCCGCTGCAAAACCTTTCGATGTACAGTATATAATAATAATAATAATAATAATAATAAAATAAAACAATAGAAATTAAGATAGTAATAATATAAATATATGTATTCTTTATGAAAAAGATAGGATAAATAAAATATTTTAATTTTTATCAGAACAAAACGATAAATCATTGATGATTATACGATACGATTCATAGTGCCCATGTTTTGAAATATCATAATTTTTATGATTTTCGTCAAAAGTCGAATTTAAAACGCTTATGAAAAAAAAACTACTAGTTACATAAAATTCAATTTAATTTTTTTTTACCACTAAATAAATTTTATAATAAACCTTGTATTCAATTTTTAAGCATTTTTTCTTGGCCAAATAATTTTATATTTTTATCCACATAAAACCAAATAAAAACTAAAAAATTTGAAATAGTTAAATTACTATAAATTAGCTCAAAATTCAAATATTTTTTTAAACTGTAATACGGCTGGTTAAGTATTTTTGAAAAATGTCAATTCTATACAATTATTTATAATGAATTGCAAAAAAAAAAAAAAAAAAACCGAATATTATAAAACCATTCCTGTTTTCCCAAGGTTTTAAGAAATTGTTTCAAATTATTTAGTAAACTACACAGAAAAACAAAAACCGACTTCCTTGCATGCAAATAAGATCAAATTTTCTTTCAGAAATGAAGCTACTTTTGGAATTCGGAAAATGATTTCTAGTAGAAAAATAAATTTGAAAAATCGAAAATAATGGAGTTTTTATTGCCATAAATTTGTCCGTTTTTCCAACACATATTTTCCCAATTGTTATTTATGAACAATGCTTGGGAAAACAAAAAACGACATCATGAATGAAACAACTAGATCCGAAATACTACAAAAAAACTCTCGTCATTTTTTTTACTGTAGCATGATTTCGGATAGAAAAGTTATTTACAGACGAAAAAAAAAACACCCATTACATTAAAGCCAATACATTCCTCGCTCAACTCAAAAAGTATTTGTATTGCACTCATGTGCACATGACACGCAACCGTAATATTTTCTTTTAATCTAAAACGTGAGATGCCCTCTAAAATAGAAACTATCTTCTAAATTCATAACACACACTTTCGTGGATTGACGCGAACTACCTACATTTTGTTCACAATATACGGCAAATTGCAAGTAGTAAAAAAATCATGTATTAAAGAACAAAACAGTAAAAAATACTGTGTATCGTCATTTTTAAGTCATTGTTGTAGGTGATAATCTAGAAAGTTATTATTTGATTATTTTTAGATTTATTTTGAAATTTAAATACCGAATGACCAAGAAATTCAGAAATCGAAGAAAACAATTTTAAATAAGTTGGGAAGTTCAGATCTATTTAATCATGTAGAGTAATTTAGTTTATATTATTTATAAAACCCGATAAACTCGAAAAAGATGATAAATTTTTAAAAATGGATACGATTCTGAAACAAGTTTTTTAATTTCTTTTAACAAAATTTAACAAATCAACAAAAATCGTTTTGGTAAATTTTAATTGAAAATTGTGTTAATGAAATCTAAAATAAAATATAGTGGTAGGTATTAGATGAATATGGGATAGAAAATCTACACGTTAACGTTTCCATTACCCTTACACCCATAAAATTTACTAAGGATAACCGTAAAAAGACACCACAGGCATGGACGAAAAAAACATATTTATTAAACCAATATACCGACGCATAATTTTCGTTCCATTCGGAATTTGCTTTTTTTTTTTTTTTTAAGAAAAAAAAGGACCGTTGAGCTCTTATACTTCATACATACAAATATATAATACTTATAGTCCCGCGGTATACCTAATGATATAGTTTTCCGTCTTTTTTTTGTTAACCTTTTTGTTTTCCGATTTTCTCTACAATAATAGTTACACAGTCCGCGTATTTTACAAAAAATGTCGTCTCTCTATGTTGGTACCTAAGTCCTATGTATAAAATATATATTATTTTAAACAGCTATACCGAACAATGCACAACCACCGACGGAGCGCATAATAATATAATAATAATATCAGCTTGTATACGTGGCGCAAACATATACGCACGAAAACGGGCCTGTATACATTATGATAATTTGACTGTACAACGACAGATAAGACTATATTGTTATACATTGTAATATTATTTCGGTTCCCGTATTATATTATCCACGGATATAATATAATCCCGAAGTTGTAGTCTAAAACGTGCAGCACATGGAGTTAGCGGCGTAAAATGGTAATATGAGAGTATACCTATAAATAAAATTGAAGAAATTTAGGGGCAATAATCAGACATTTAGTTCCATCATTTTTTTAAACCTTTTCGGGAAATAAAAAATGTTATAAAAATATTATGTTCTTAATAAAATTAATTTAACTACATTATTACCAGAATTACAGTGAAAAACCTAACCTAACCTTGCGAGTATAATAATTGAAATACTGAAAAGCGATAAATATATTGTGTAAACAAACACAGTAAATTTCAAATTGATAAAAAAATAAATTTAAATTTTTTTTTAAATTAATAAATCAATGATTGCTGAATAATGAATGATAGGTATACAATCAACCAGTGGTGCCAAGTCCTATGTTCAGTCTTGGTCCAATTTCTTTTAAAAATTAAGCATAGGGTTGCTTCATTTCGGGCTAAAGTTTGGTTGTCAAACTGAATAAATACTTTATTACAGAAATAAAAACCATAATATTTTAGACACAAACAATGGCACGGTAAACTTATAGTTGATAAGTGTATATTATTACAAAATGGTTTATAATACGAGATTTCATTAGGAAATTAATTTACAAATAATTTTTTACATCACAAATGTGCAAACGTTCGCGAGTCGAACAATAGTTATAATAATTATATTCTTCTGGAACTCGAGCATAAACATAATATAATGATATTTAAAAATCAGATATTGTTACGAAAATACGAATGCTATTATATTGTATTCTAATTAAATGCATCTTTTCCCGTATACATGAAAATGTATTATTAAAAACACAACAATATTAACCATCAACAGACCCAATTATTTTGGTTAAAGTCGTGCACTAAACATACGTTAAAGTTAGTTTTCTTATCTTCCGCTCACATCAGATCAGTCCATCACGCCTCGAACAGCAAAATTTACTGAATCATATGTACTACATATCAGATAAAATATATGTATACCATTTATGTAGTGAGTAGCGTTATCAAATAAATAAAGGAAATAGCAATATTATAATAATATTTTTTATCCTATTCATCAACAAATTGACTTAACATTTGGTTTCCATAAATATATTTATTTTTTTTGTTGTTGTTATGCGAATGGTGAGAATTGGTTGTATAATCTTTTGGCTCCATGAACACCTAATCAATCTATAATAAACCAGGTTTATAGAATATCTACTATGTATTATCTATAGATTGAAGATGAACGCCAAAATATGTTAACTACACTAAATAGACAATATGATGACTACTCTGAATAATTTTAAAGTTTAAAGACATAATTTTGAGTAATCAAATGCATAGTTGTGCCAAATGTATGATCAAAAGAGAGCATAAGAGAAAGATATAACTGATATATGGTAACCTGGTACCTCGAGGATAGCCAATTAAAATACTCAGTTTATTTCTCAGTCAGCAAGATAGGAATTATTTTTTTCAAGATGTGTTGTCGCACCCAGCCACTACTGACACATATTATCAGTGTTATAGAATGTTTCATCTAGTTGTATGTAAATCTTTAGTTTAAATGATCAGTGAAGAAATATGAAAATAATACTACAATTTATTTTCAAAATAATATTGAGTTGTTGAAATTACGTTAAAGCTTATTTATTATAATCATAAATTAAAATGAATGGCTCTTATTTACTGACGAATCTTACATAATTGTTTGTGTCAACGTGTATACTAAATACCTATACTAATTTACTATTGTAATTAGATAAATTATTGTATTCGTCCACTTAATACTCTACTTGACCGCGTTAAATATAATATCGTATTATACAAAGTACATTTATTTTGAATCAAATTCCATTCTTGGTTATAATTTATGTAATATGATATTTTATATACCATACAGCGGGTAATATATTTTCCGGAAATAAATATTATAATGAGATTAAAAAAAAGAATTATTCTATTCACATCAAAATGCGCCGAAGAAAAATCATTTTCATAAAATGCTTCAGGTCACACGGGAATACCTAAACTTTTTTATAATTTACTCGCTATTTGAAATGAAATTGTTATATTATTATATCTAGAAGATAATATTTCTCACTGGCTTTAAAAAATACAATCGTATCAGAAAAAAAAACATCATTATTTTATAGATACTTTAAAGAATAAAATTATAATTTTAAATATTTTACTATAATCACGTTCTGTTAAAATTATTATTCTTTACCTGAACATAACATATTTTACGATTATTTCTGAAGTAATAATTTAATTTTTTCTTTTAATTCAGAAACTATAAAACTATAAAAAAAAATAAATATTGTTTATGTTTATCCTATAATATAATTATAAGTTAGAAAATAAATTACTACGTGATTTTATCTGTATAGTATACCTACATAAAAGTATAATTGCATTTTTAAGTATTTAAGAAATTGATAATCTGTATTTATTAATTCAAATGTCTGTTCAGTAACTATGCTTAAATATTTGGAACTTTAATAGTACTCAGAGGATATTAATAATTGATGTTATATTATATTATATTAAGAAAATATTTTTATTTTGTAATTATATACTACTCTATAAATTATTATGAATTAATTTGAAATAATAAAAGCCGATATTAAATTTAAATTCTGAACTTAACTCAGAATCGTTTATCCATCTTAATGACAAATATTAATGATTTTAATTATTCAATAACACTAAATAATCTGTCATTAGGATTCCCGACATCGGAATCACAGTCCATCATACAAATTTAATTTGTCTAATATTAATAATTTCACTAATAAGAAACCAAAACTTGACAAGGGTATAAAAGTTGTAATGGAAAACTTTTGGCCGTGATGTGTTTTGTAGGTTTAGGTAAAATTTAGTAAATTGGTTAGTTTAAATGCGGTTCACCAACGTTCAAACTTTTTGAATTTGTTACTCATTTAGAAAGTTTACAATACCCAACTAATGAACTTTTAGGGTCTTTATAATATAGTGAACGGTGTATACCGACAATAAATTGGTTATTTTATATAATTATTTTTCTTTTTGTTCCAAAAATATTACTCGCACGTTCGATGATTTCGAATTTAATAATTTTTAATAGAATAACCCAAATAAAAATTAATTAAAACGCAGCAGTAACTATAATATACTTTACGCTTTGGGTAATCAGTTTAATTTTTGGCAAACAAGCATGCGTGCAGATATATGATGATTATTATTTTGAAATTTAATTCAATGATATTGCGTTTGAAAATGATTTTATGCGGAATTAAAACATATTATACAATAGCGTTATATTCTTATTACCTGTATTTGCAAAAAATATCAAAAGTGCCAACATCATCGTCATTTAATAAAATTAAACTGAAATAATATTTTTTTACAAAGTCTAAAAGTCATCACTGGCCCTGAACTTGCTTAAGTACCCGAATTTTTAAACTGTTTTTATTTTAACACTCTGTATATTTAGGAGTACACCGAGCACGTATATTTTATAATAATATAATTCCCACTCTTAACCAAAATAGTTTATCGGGTTTTGACTAAATTAATATTATATGTAATTCATTAATATGAAAAACGGTTTTAGTTTAGTTATATAATAATAATTACATTAATATTATTTGATTATATCAATAAAAATAAATTGAAAATCATTCGATTTTACCTATTAATACCTATTTATATCATGCAATAGCAGGTATAGTAATAATTTCCTACTACCTACTATTACATGATTATACCTGGATTATAATGTGGTTTGAAATTTAATTTTACGGGATTATGCACGTTATGAAGACGCTGTTAATGATATTATCGTTGAGTACCCAATGGTAAATTAGTGAAATAATAACGAACATGACAAAACCATCGCTTCAACAGACTAGACTTACAAATTTGAAATATTTAAATTTCAGGAAACTAGATAATATTGTTCTAAAACTTTGCAGGTCTTATAACACCGCTACTTTGTCATTTTTACTATAAAATTGTACCTCTATATTAATATAAAACTAATTACCATGGTTTAAATACGTACATGTATATTTAAATACGAACTGTGAATAGAAGATATTTATTCCGTGTAAAAACAATTGTTTTGAAAACCCTGACAACTTTTATTTTTAAAAGTACGTTTTTATATTTTTGCGAGTTCGCATGGATCAGTTTTTTTCAACTAAAACAAACTAAAACTTTATTTTCATATGTAAATGTAAATAAATACATTTAGTTGGTTATAGTACAGGAAACGTATAAAAATAAAGTTTCTCATAGAGGAAATTTGTGTATATAAAAAAATCTATATAACGTGCTTTAACTAATTAGTTAATGCAAATTTCGTTAAAAAAAAGTATGCTGATTACATTTTGTACTAATAATTGTATTGATTTTTATTTCTACATGCTATTTATACCAATATACTAAGTATAGTTATTATTGTTCAATCAAAAAATGATCCTAGTCGAACTGTTGAAATTTTATACAAAGCTAAAACTGTATTGGTTTTTTTTTTTTGTATGCAAATTACTTTTCTAATAGAAATCTTATTAATGTACTGAGTAAATCAGTGTTTGATTTTCTTTGTAGTTTTCTTAATAAATGGGAAAACTGCACATTTTTTTTTTTAATATTTGTTCATTCGTCAACATAGTAAAAATACAATATTATTAATACTAGTCGTTGAATACAGATATAAACTAAATTACTCTATGTATCCCCTCTTCAAACTTCTCTTCTAAAACAGTGGCACGCTAATTGGCTGTTTTGGCCTTTATTTTTACGGATTCGTAATTATTTTAAATAATGGATTAGATATTCGAGTTTTTCAAATAATTTCACATATTACAACAAGATTGGATTTTTTTTTCATGCGATCTTCTTCTTAACACACTCATCTCGTGTGCAATTTTATAATAATTAAATTAAATATAGTTCGTAAAATATTAGTAAATATATACTATATATTATTAAATAAATACGTATTTACGGTAGGTACATACGCATACTGTTATAGCGATTTATTTACGTCAACAGAATATTTATGCACAGTGCCGTGTGTATCACGATTACGATCATTGTCCGTGAACCTACGCACGAGCGTACCGAAATTGCATATTCAATGCGCCGCCAACGCGGTATTGTTGAATGTAAATACGAAATATAAAAGTTTTCTCGACGTAATATTTCAAAATCTTATTTTCGAACGTACTGAACTGAACGATAATCGAGTTGAATACCCGATCAACTACTAATGTGTATGATACACATCGTAAGGAAGAGAATTACTAATGTCAATAATTGTAAATTTTTTTTTCATTATATTTTTTGGATATAACTCGTATAAATGTATGTATATTCATTAGAATATATTCTGAAATATTGTGTATTAACACATTGTAACCACTGACATCTTCAGTCACTATAATATACTTAATGTTTGACAAATATTATATGAGATTCTACGACTTAAGCCTTTTGGAAGGCCTGCATTTTGGTTAGACCATTCAGTAATTTAGCCATTTAGCAATTGTCATTACGTAATTTAGTAAAATTAAATATTTAATTTGCTTGTATTACATAAAATGTACAAAATTATATACCTAAAATTGACTTAAGCCCTTCTTCCTTATGAACTTGACTATTTATATGTACATTATATTACCTATTTATCTATATATATTACACTGTACGTGAACCAAAGTTTAGCCGATCGAAAACGCCGATTTTACAAACGTTTAAAATGTATTGATTTTTTTGTAATATTCCGTTTAAACCTAAAATGAAAACGCGAATTTTTCACGTTGTTGTAAAGTATATAGTTATGATAACTGTATGTGAAAGTCTGGTAACGATAATAATTATTACGCATATTGTCATATTATAGTTATAATAACTGTTTAATTAAACAAAAATTATATCAACATATTATCACAATAACACAAATTCATCTAAACTATAAAACTATAGATATATATACCATAATATATCAGTAATATCCAGTGAAATAACAAAACAAAAACCAAAAGGAATTCGTGCTATATTTTGAAAGACCGATCGTGCAAAACCACCCCTTATAAATATATTGTAATATACCCGTGTAACGTATTGTTTGCAACCGTTGTTTGATTCGCGTCGAAGGTTTTATTAGCCAGGAAACTGTTGATTCAACGGACGAAATAAACAAACAATTTTTTTTTATAGATAGTGAGGGGAGAAATATAACAGGTATTTAACGCTATCGGAAAAATGTCTGATGGACAAAAACACAATTTTGTGTGGAGTTGGATAAAGGTTAGGTTAGGTAAGGTTGGGTTAAACAGTGAACAAAAGGTGTTTGAGAAATTATCGACGCGTTTGACCGTTTTCGATGGAAGGAAACGGCGATAAGATGTGTTTTACAATATATATGTATCTTTTTTTTTTTTTTTTGGAAATTCTGCTTACCTATGTTCCTCTTGGCGTGTATGTGACCATACAGTTTGTTGAGATCAAGCGCGGCTACGATGAGGCCACCGCCACAGCAGCACAAAATCATCACGGCGGTCAGGAGCTGCTGCCTCGCCATGTTGATGATATCGTTGCTCGACTGGCACGGACGGTGTGACACTGAGAGCGTACAATAGATGCGTGTGTATATGTACAGCCGCGCGCCCGTGTGTACAGCGTGAATGCGTGCGTTTGTGCCCTTGTGTCCGTGTATTCGTTCATGTATGCCCGTCAGTGTATGTAACCTGTGTGTGCGCCGCCGTGTCGGTCGGGGGCCACCCGTGACGGCGGCGGCGGCGGCGGCCAACACCCAAGCGAATAGGGCGCCGGCGCCGGGCACCCGCTATAGCATTACGGTCCAACCGTATATTTAGTCGTCACCGCCTGCACCTCTTCGCCGCCGCCACCGCCACCGACTCCGGCCGTCTCTGTGCTACGCTTCCACCGCCGCTGCTGCCGCCGCCGTCGCCGCCACCACCGTCACCGTCACCGCCAGCCCTTTGCGTGTTGTACAGTCGTCCGTGGTAACAGGTAGGCTGCGCCGCCGTTAGGTTAGTTGTTGCGTATTATACAGACCGCCGCCGGCCCAGAGACGCCGGGAAGGGATGGGTCGCATTGAGGCGAGGAGGAACGGAGGTGACAGGGTTTACGAACGGTACTCGGATTATCGGACATTTTCCCTTACCACCGTCGCCACCGCAGTAATAATAATGAAGAAACGCCGCCGCCGGTTGTACCCTCATTTGATACGAAACACAAACAAATGTTCGTCGTGAAATTTTATTGTGAATAATTTTCCAATCGTCAACATTTTCAGTTGTAATATCGTGCCACACACGGCATCATCATCAAACAGCAGTAATATAATATCGTGTGTCTCGCACACGGAACATAGGTATTATAATTTATTCAATCAAGATAACTGTGTTGACTAGTGCTGGGCAATATTTTGACAAATCTAGAATCCAGATTACAATTATGTAATCCTGATCAATCAGATTCACCCGGATTTTTGGAATTCGGATCCAATTCTAGGATCCCAGATTCACTGATTTTATTTGTCTAAAATTGGCAAGGTACTAAAAAAGTATAAACTAGAAAGTAAATACCATAAACAACTTAGGACAGTTAAACGGATATTATGTTAATTGATTTAAACAAATGGTTTATATTATGATATTCTGATTTATACCTATTATCCAATTTGATAAAAATAATTTAGATTAAACGGATTGCAGTGTTTGTTTCTATCCTGATTGATCCGGATTTGGTGTTCAGCACTAGTATCTACCGAATATAATATCGGCGTACGAGTAGTTAGAGTGGTTGTGGTCTTGTGAACCCAGTGGTGCAAGAGAACACAAATGTAGAAGAATTTGTAGGATATGAGGACATTTAATAATACGAGTAGAATTGATCATGTAGCCGAATATAATGCGAAGGGAAGTGATAGAAACTATCAAAAATGAGAATGCTATGATGCAATAAATATATTATATTGTATAGCGTACAAACAGGTTCCGTAAGAATAGGTATAATATATAACAATATAACAATGGCGTGATCGAGGAGCCAAGAGTAGTAGGGTTGAAGTGAGGGGAAAACGAGGGAGAATAGCTGATTGAAATGTTACGTAGATGATATTATACGCATAATATAGTGGCGGAGAAGAATGAAATGTTTGAAAAATCAAATGTCCAAAATTAAGAGTTTTCGAATTTGGTACAAGAATTGCGCTACATGCGTATCATCAATCTCTTTATATTATATTATGATGACGGGTCGACTGTTGCCTCCAAAGTGAACACCCGGAAATATAATAATAAAACGCACACGTCGTTACGCATTCATGTTATTATTGTTCGCGGTCTGCGATTTTCGCACAAAATATCATAATTTGTTATTTCAACGCGAATTACCATGACGCCGTGAGTGTGATATCCGGTCTCGGGAGATACATATAAACTACTCGTATATGATCATAATACTGTATTATATTATTAAAACAATAACAACTGAAGCGGTGAAGGCAGCGACCAACTGTTGGAGGCGCATTAGGACTGCTGCCTATTCACCGTAGTGAAATGAAATGTATCTGTACAGGGTGATTATTTTATCAAGAACAATGACACGGTGACTGATATTTGATTTGAGGAAAAATCAGATTTTCTAGTGCCCACGATTTAAAAAAAAAAAAAAAAAATCCGTAGAGAGGTAACTCCACAAAAAATAAAGCATTTTAAACAAACCTCAACTATAATGTTATTAAATCTATATAAACAATTTTGCTTCAATATTGGTTGTGGAACTAACTCTGATTGAAGTTATTGGCCATAATTAGATTAAGAATCGGAGTTAGATCATGTTTGGTACAACCCGAGAATGTTTATATACACTCATGTGTTATATTATACCTCCTTTTAACGACCTTTTTTTAAGGTGGACTTTTTATTGAAACAAAAACTAACAACAGTTCTACATAACCTATATATGGTATATTTTAGTCTCCCTACAACAAAAAAATTAGTTAGTATCGAATAATAATAATAATAATAATATATATATATATCTACCATGCATTTCTAAGAGACTACTGGCCATTTGAATAAAAATGCCTAAAGCAATTAACAGAACAAAAAAAAAAAAAAATTGGCGATAACTAATCTAGATTCATCACGCCATCCATCATGAACAAATTAAGTGGTTTGTTAAAATATTTGTTTCTTATCTATCATAATGGACACGAATTAGTTTACAAGTAGTCTGCTGGTAACATACATATATGAATTGGTTTCAATGAACTGTTGTTTGAATAAGTACAATTATAATTACAAACTAATAACAAAAATCGAAAAAAGTTAAATTTGAGGGGAGTCATAAAATCCTAATTTGTCATGATTGACAATATTAATTATTATACGTGTGTCATAACGTAATGTTATATAAAATTTACAATTTTCGAAGGGAAGGTGTTGAACTTCAACCACCCTGTATATATAAATAATATAAATCCTGCCTAATATAAATCCACACTTAAGGTGATTAAATCCATTAAAAAGAAAGGTGATATTTAGACCAAAAGGTTACACAAAACTGACAACTTATTTTAAAAATAAATTTTAATTAATTAACAAGTTTACTAGATCTTTATAGTATAAAGATGGTCTAAATAATTAAAAGGCGATTAAACTTATTATTTAAACTCGTTTTGGCGTATGTGAACCAATTCGAACAGTTTTATGTTATTTGTATAAAGAACCAATCCGTACATTTTTGTTTGATCCGGGAACAACTTCCGTAGTTGTCGTTGTAATGTAATTTACTCAGCCTTAGAATGTTTGAAAAAAGGGAAGAAAGAGAAGTGAACCGATATACTTCTAATACTTTGTTTTGGTTTGAAGTGTATGCTCGCTGAGCTACTGCGAACCATCGGTAGTGTATATTAATGGAAATTTCAAATATATTTAATTTTTGGGTTTTTATTTTTCAGACATTATATTATAATTGTAGTTTATAAAAGTATATTCTCTTTTTCGGATTGGAGTTTAAAAATATTTAGTTATATCGACAATCAAAACCCAGGTTGATATTGAGTGTTTGCAGTAGGTAAGACATAATTAAATGGAACAGTGATAAAATTTAAAAATATTATAAACAAAATAGGTAAAAAGATTTTATAAGACTTGTGAAAACAAATTACCCTGTGTAGATGAACCAAACTCATTTTAATTGAAATAATATATCAAGCACAGTACGTGGGAAGAAAAAAAACAATCGTGTAATAATAATATAATGCTACTATACAAACATAGACATCAGAAAGCAAATAATATTATACGTGATATATATATTGCTTTAATATTTCCCCCGGTATCCATAATACAACTTTTATTATTATTAATTTACCATGATATACTATTATTAAACTTTTTCAACGAACACCGTGGTTGAAATAATATTTCCTTATAAGGAAATTTATATAGTTTTTGTAGGTATAACAATATCGATTGTAATTTATAAAAAAGTTACTTAATTATTTAAAGGCAGTTAATCATATTCGTTTCTATTGTTTACCAAACCTTTAAAGTGTATATTTTATGTAAAAAAAGAAAACGAAATATGTTTTAAACATTATTACATGAGTGTATAATATACACTGTATATATTTTCAAATCCAGTGTAAGTAATATATTACAGAATTTTTTTTTTGACTGCTTTTGTTTATATTTTTGCCTACATCAGCTGCCATCACCAGTATACAGTAGAGATAATCAAAATCCCATATGACAATATTATTATTATTTATATTAAAATATCAGCTACCTACATTTTTTTTAGAGTATACTACCACTGATCACGTGTACACGAGTGTACTTAGATGGGAAACGGCATTAATTTATAGAAACATTGGCTTAAATATTTTAACATTTAAATTACTTACATTGAAAATTATACAAAATCGACTTAAACGCTTCTTCCTTAGAACTAAATATATATATTTATACAATTTGTGATGAACCTTAAAAAATCTAAATAAAATTTAGATTTATGGTTTAAATAGTTTAAATAGACTAATACTATAGAATTTTAAATCTATGTCTAAGTCAAATATCATAATCATGTATTCATATAATATCGTGCTAGATTATAATCTTTTAAATAGACAGTTAAACCGATATTTTAATATTTTAATTCATATTAAATTAATACACTAAATCCGTGTAAAACGTAATTCCAGGAATCATAACAAAAACGCGTGTCAAACAGCGGTGATCGCATGTTAAACAAATATTTATTTTTTTCCGTTACAACAAAGTGTTTTTTTTTTTTATTATTATTATTATTATTATTAAAATAAATGCACAACCACAAATATTTAAAATAAACTATAGGCAACTATACCAATATTACCTTTTTACGTGTTCATACTAAACATACGTACAAATTAAACTAATTATTTTGACCATTTTAATTCATATAATTAAACGGAGCATTTGACAATCCTTAAATAATTTTTTTAAAAAACAAAACCCTCCAAGTGGATACATCCATCGAACATGTATTGTTTAAGACCAGTGATTATTAACGTTTTTAAAGTTATTGTTCTCTTGAAGAATAAAATATTGTTCAATGCAACATTTTGAAAACCTTGTTATTAAGGGCATGAGAAAGAGACTATAGAGTTATAAAATTTAAAACATGAAATAACCCCTGCGAAAATAAGTATAATACATTTTCAAAATGTCTTTTATAAAA